AAAGATGAGTCAATCAAATATATTTTAGTATATCTTTGACATTCTAATGAATATTTAATTTTCAGACACAAATTTGATCTTCTAACATATCTTGTATTTTCTAGTGTGTTAGGATACACTACTTTTGGTGAAAATCTTATAGCATGTGTCAAGCTTTTTGTCACATCATGCCCATCAAAAGTCTTTTTTCTTTCTCTTAAGATTTGTTTGATTTGATTGGATCAACATACTTTCTCTCTCTATAAAAAAATAGGCTGAAATTTTTTTATAGGTCTACAAACTTCTACTTGGTAAACACACAAGGTCTACCTACTTTCTCTCTTCTCTAGCCTCCTAAGAGAATGTTAACTTTTGTTCTTATTTGATTTGGTTTGAGTATTGAATTACTTGCCTATATTTTCTTCATTTGAGGCATAAAAAAACATTTTTATATAAAAAATAAAACAATATGTAAAGATTTATATTTTGAGTTGTAGATTTGTCTTAAAATATATTTTCTAACAAATTTTTATTCTATCCTTATATAATTACTTATTAACACCAAAGTCATTCTACTAAATAGTTCCAACCACTTTATTACACATCATAACTTTTACTATTGCTATTTCAACAATTCTACACGCATTATTATTACTCATGAGGACTCTCCCTCAATAAGTGATATGTATGTGTCAAACCAATATATAAGTTTGCACATGATAAGAATAGGTAGAATCAAGAATCAACGTATTCGAGTAATTCATACTGAAAGATATTGCTTCCCTTTCTAAATTTATTTTGAAGATCTACATTATCTACTTTCCAATAACCTTATTTCTTGTAGTAGAGTTACTAGGCAGTCATAAGACTAAGGCAATGATGAGAGAAGAAGAAATACTTAATATTCTTGCTCCACCTTACCCTCCAAACTATGAAGTTGCGAACCAACCTATTGAATACATTCATATGCTTTTGGTGAATGTACTCCAGCACACATAAGTAAACTATATGATTGCTTCTTCAAATATTAGTAATTTGTAAAATATTTTAGCATGTAGAATTTTTTAATTTCCTCTATAAATCATTAGTAATATCCAACTCACAAATGTTATATATTCAATTATCAGATAAATTAAATTATACTGACTACTTTTAAATCTAATTTATCACAATCAGCATCACTTAACCTTTCTGATTTTTATTTACAATAAAGATTCCTATGACGTTTTTCTTATACAAAGATTTCATGCACTCTCTAATATCATAAACCGAAGTCCATCTTTCCATCGAATTTCTCAACACAAAGTTTGTTATTAACATTTTTACAATAACAAGCTTGATAGGGTAACACTTACTTAGATCTGATATCAAATGTTGTTGTAAAAAAAAATATTAATTACCTACAATGTAAGAAGAATCGTAAATGTAGTAGTAACAATGTTTAGCTACATCCAAAATATCAAGGAAAAGATAATGGAGATAGAAATATCATATACAAATGAAAAAACACAGAACTAATACAATAGGATTTATGTAGCTTGAAAATATCCTCCAATATTCATAGAAAGAGAGCGATATTTCTTTGATTGAACAAAAAATAGGAAAAGAGTCATACGAAATCTTTGAATATCCTTCTTCAACTTGATGTTGAATATGTCCCTCTTTTTAAGTAGAAAAGAGGGAGGGAGATATATGTATATATATATATATCAAAATTGAAGAAGTGAGAATCCTACCGTCTTCTTAGGTCACCAAGTCTAATGTCCCCACATCCTCATTGTCTCTCAAGACTCTTCACAACTTTCTTCCATTCCCCTCCCCTTAAAATAGAGGAAGAAGAGAGAAATAAAGATGAGAGAGAAAGAGAGAGGAGAAACAGGTGGGAATCTGTTGTAATAGATAAGAATCCATTTTAAGTAACTCCCCTTCTCTGTTTGGCCATTGTAACAGCATAATTAGCTTAACCAGTCAGTAAAAACAATGACCATTGTCGGGGAACGGTGCATGAAGACATGTCTAGTATATCCGCTCTTAACCTCTCAAGGTTTCCCAGATCCAACACTCGAGTTCACACGAGAAAGAAAATCAGTCAAGTTCCACATGAAGGAGGTCAATTAACCATTAACAAAGAACTTCAATATTCTACTAGTTAATCCGCTGAAAAAGTACTATTGAACGAGTTGTTAATTAGTACGATTTTTTCTTCTTTGAGGTGTTTCTTAGCTTGAGGATTCAAGCTCTCTCCTTTGTAGATCTAAGGGAGTAATTTTGACCATCATAGATGCAAGAGTCACCTTAATCCAGCTTTGTAGACTGAAAGATTGAGGATTCCCAAGTCTCGTGAATTCAAAGCTCAAATCTTTCATTCCACCCAAACCACCCTTGTCAACCACGCTAAATTATGGGATTATGCACCGACAATATGTCTGAAGCATACACCTTCTATTATTCCCTTTAGCTTCCGTATAAATTGCCCCTTGTGTCTATTCGTACCTTCACAGGCTTTTGGTAACATAGACATGGGGCACGGCCACGAGCAGGAGAACCTATTCGCTGAAAAACCAGGTAATCCTTGTGAGACTTTCACATAGATTTTTTCGTCTAATCCTCTATGCAGAAATACATTCATAACATCACATTGTTATATATCCCAGTCATAACTAGTATCTAATGGCAGCAAATTCTGACATTGTACATTTTTGCCACAGGAATAAAAGTCTGTAGGTAATTAGCCCTATAGATTTGAATATATTCTCTGGCAATCAGTCAAGCCTTATATATTTCTACGTATTCATCTGCTTTATATTTCATTGTTAAGACCAATTTATAACTGATGATTATTGTTCCTTTTGGTAGTCTCACTAACCCTGAGGTTTATTCTTCTCTAAAACTTTTATCTCCTTCCTCTCAGGGCTCTTGGCCTTGCCTCTGGGAAGCGTCTCCAATCTTCAAGCAGCCGTCGCCATAGTGGGTTTGTTGGGTGCGGTTGTGATCACGGCAATCGCCGGCATGGACGCCATGTGCGGAACCATCCTTCAGCATTGTCATGCTCCTTGCACCGAAGATACCGCTTTAGAGGCCTTGCCTGAGTGCCATATGTCTGAAACGCCCGAGCCGGCCATTACGGTTCTTCCAATGCGAGTACTCCTACGATCACTTTCTATGTATAAGCCGAGGGATGATCTCACGGTGGAACCAAGATTCGGGTCTCCGGAAGGAGTCGTTCCACATCCAAGAACTGGGTTCGGTCGAGTTTCGCACAGCCGAGATGATACGGAGGAGGTCAGGTTGAACACTCCCCAATCACGCACAGATTGGATTCGGAAGAGTTACACGGCTTTCTCTCTCTCTCTCTCTCTCTCTCTCTCTCTCTCTCTCTCTCCCCCTCCCCCTTTAGCTTGTCGGGTAAGCCTTGGGATCATGCCCCACTCCTCTTGTCGATCGCAACGGAAACCTCTCGAGTCCGTCCACCCTCTCCGTGGTGACTGCTTCTCCCGATCGATGCGGTCTCACCACAAGTTTTATTAACCCCCGTCCCCAAATCATCTTAGCATCCTCCAAGCTAAAGATCATATCCAGATGGGTCCTTGTGGGCATCGCCCTAGAGAGAGAGCGCGGAAGAGAGAGAGGGACGAGAGAGAGAGAGAGAGGAAGAGAGGCAGGCAGACAGATGCCCCTTTACCGGGGAATCCGCCCCACACACTTTCAAATCCCGCCAGGCCCTTCGTCCCATTTATTTTCGAGAAATATAGGAATTTACCATTTATTAATTTCAGCGATTGTAAATCTCCTCATCCCAAATTAATAGAAAAATATCCCAGTTATATGCATTAAAATATCATAAAAATACTCGATTTTGCATGTATTTATTTATCCACGAATAAGAAAAAATGGTATTAAAAAAAATCCTGTCACCCGCACAGTGAAGCATCCTCTGACGCCGTGGACTTCGCGGAAAACAAAGACCACATCCACATGGTAGGTCGCTGTTGTGGGACCCAGAGTAAGCTAAAGTGGGACCCACCTCGGAAGGTCTCACGTCCGTGTCTCGATGCTTGGAGTCAGGTGACGCACGTGCGCATCGGCTGGAGGCGCCGCGTGTTAATCGCCAGTTATCCCTTTCACACGCTCTAGAATCTGCACGTGCCTATTTTAACCGGCCCCTGTAACCCCCAACGGGCCTGGGCTTCGGACCTGAACTCTGGGCGGGCCCGGGCCTCACCCAAGAAAATCCTTGAAAAGGTGGGCTCCAGTCAGGCTGCGACCACGAGGCTGATTGTAAGGCAGCCATCTGGCGTTAGGAGTGGGCTTCGGGCTTCGGGCTGGATAATTCTCACTAGACGACTTAATCTGGTAATATAAATCGATTATCCGGTAACGAACTAATTTATTGATAGTAAAGTTACAAGACGGGAAAATGACGCTTGAGCCATCAATAAAATATAAATTTATTTACTTTTTTATTTAGATGTGATAAATACCGAGAAAGTCCAGCGCATATTCTCTCTATAGTTTACCTCAGTATCAACGGAAATCAATGACGTTAGTATCCCGAGGAACGGGGGTATATATAAAATTGGGAAATGACAGGAGTTGGGGTGCAACCCCGCCGCCGTCTCCCCCCTCACATGGGCTGGTCCAGGAGACGGCTTGGAAAGCAATCGGGGGTAGAGAGAGAGCGAGAGAGAGAGAGAGAGAGCGAGAGAGAGAGAGAGAGAGAGATTTAACGTCCCCCTTCCTTCCGCTACCGATCTGAATATACGATGCGCAAGGAAAGGGTCCTCTGTTCTTCTTCTCTCCTTCAGCCCCTCTAGTACTACGTCCACTCTCTCTCTCTCTCTCTCTCTCTCTCTCGATACCTGCCCCTCTTCTTCTTCTTCTTCTTCTTCTTCTTCTTCTTCTTCTTCTTCTTCTTCGTCTTCTTCGTCTTCTTCGTCTTCTTCGTCTTCTTCTTCTGCCTCTTCTTCTTCCTCTTCTTCTTCTATCTTGCCGTCCTATGTGATCTGCAGAGGAGGAGGCAGATGAGTTGCAATGGGATGGCGCCGTCCTTCTTCGGGGCGGGGTTTCTTCTGCAGATGCAGACGCCCCAAGGGGAGGAGCCGCCACCGCCGCCGTCCCTCTCCCCGCTCTTCGCCGGCGATCCCGCCGCCGCCCAGGACTTCCACGGTGAGCAACTCCCCACCCACAATTCTCCGCCCATTTCTGCTCAAATCGCTGCCATTTTCTCCGGCGGAGTTATCAGATATGCCTGGTCGGATGTAGGGGTGGCGACGATGCTGGGGAAGAGGTCGATGTCCTTCTCTGGCGTGGAGGAGGGGAGCGGGGAGGGGGATCTCTCCGACGACTGCTCTCAGGGGACGGAGAGGAAGCGGCGGTTGAACGTGGAGCAGGTGAAGACGCTGGAGAAGAACTTCGAGATGGGGAACAAGCTGGAACCGGAGAGGAAAATGCAGCTGGCTAGGGCGCTGGGGCTGCAGCCCCGGCAGATCGCCATCTGGTTCCAGAACAGGAGGGCGAGGTGGAAGACGAAGCAGCTCGAGAAGGACTTCGACGTCCTAAAGCGCCAGTTCGAGGCCGTCAAGGCCGAGAACGACGCCCTCCATTCCCACAACAAGAAGCTGCAGACTGAGGTACCTCTCTCTCTCTCTCCCTCGTCTCTCTCCTCCATTCCCATCACGGAAGCTCCAATCCTCAGAGGTTTCCCACCGTGCTTCTATTCTCTGCCCTCTTCATCTCTCCTCCATTCTCGCAACTCGAGGTAAAGGGAATCAGATCCCGGTTTCCTATCTATCCTCTCTCTCTATTTCTCTCACCTCTTCCTCCCTCCATTCGCTCAAGAAGAGGCTCCAGGCTGAGGTAATTACCTCCCGGTTTCCTCCATCGTATCCCTCTCTCTCTCTCTCTCTCTCTTTCTTTTTTTCTCACAACCCCCACCGACCCCGCCCCCTACCTTCTGGATCTGTGACGATCGTTTCTGGGTTTGCACGGGCTGTCGTTGGATCTCCCGCTCTTGAGTCTTTTGAGGAGGATCTTCAGCAACCTCCCTCCCCCAGAGTGAGTGTACTTGCTGCTAGTAGTTCATGATTGAACAATTATGGCTCCATTAAAAGACCTCCCATCGTTTCTCATTCTAACTCCGCCGCGTGAGCATCGCAAAAGGCTTCTACAATTTAAGAACTCGAAACCCTCCATTCTCTCTCATCTCTCCCCACGTCCCGGAAGATTATCCCTTGGTTTCCCCATTGTATCGCCTCTCTCTCTCTCTCTCTCTCTCTCTCTCTCTCGCTCTCCCACTCGCTCGCCCTTCCCTAGAATAAATTCCCTGTGTTTTCCTTATCGTATCGCCAATCTTTCTATCTCTCTCTCTCTCTTAGGTACTGCCGTTGTTATGATGCAGATCATGGCGCTCAAATGCAGGGAAGGGACGGAGCCCATCAACCTGAACAAGGAGACGGAGGGATCCTGCAGCAACAGGAGCGAGAACAGCTCCGACAACAACCTGGACATGGCGAGAACGCCGCCGCCGCCGCCGCCGCCGCCGCCGGCGACGGACAGCCCCGCGAACGCCCACCAGGACAGGCCCTTCTTCCAGCCCCTCCGGCTTGCCGCCGGCATGGCTCAGCTCCTCCACAATCCCCCCAGGTCGGAGCCGGGCCCACAGGAGGAGAGCTTCTGCAGCATGCTTTGCGGCTTAGACGACCAGTCCGGCGGCAGCTTCTGGGCCTGGTCCGATCACCAAAGCTTCCATTGATCGTCCTCCGCCGTCGTCGAAAACTAGAGAGATTCGAGTCGCAGAAGCTGGTGGATAGAGAAGGAAGTCATCTCTTTCCTTTAATTTTTTCTCTACTCTCTTTACCTACGAAGAATCCCGAGCTGGGCTGGGGTGAGGATTAATTAAATAAGGATCTCTCGATTTTCACCATCGCCGTCGTCATCCTCGGTGTTCCTCGTATTATCTCTGCATGGGCCATGAAATAAAAGGGTTTCATCTTCTCCTCGCTCCTTTACTCGGCCGTGGTTGCCGTGGAGCTCGCCTTCTCCAATGGTATACAGCTCACAGAGAGAGAGAGAGAGAGAGAGAGAGAGAGAGAGAGAGAGAGAGAGAGAGTACAAGAGCGAGGGAGAATCTGCAGAGTAGGGAAGAGGACAAGGAAGAAGAGGAGATGGGGAGACTGCAACTGTGGCTGGAAGGACCGGGTGGAAGAAGACAAGTCAATGCGAAAGGCCATGTCCTTGGAATGGTACTCTTGACAGGGAAGCCATCGCCCCTGCGCTAGAAAAAGGGGAAGGAGACCCCCACCCGCAGACGTAGATGTAGAGAGAGAGAGAGATAGAGAGAGAGAGAGAGAGAGCATGTGACACACTGTCGCCCACTTTCTAACAGGAGGGGCCGACTTCCTCCGAAGGGGGGGAGTGTAATGACGGTGAGCCCTGAGATACGCAGAGCTGTTCCTGGCCAAAATGACGTAGAAGCTGTCGTTTAGGGAAGGGGGAGGAGGGTAAGAAGCTCTCATGGAGACCATATTGTACGGAGCACAGCTCATCCATGGTCCTGTTGTCTCCTCCCCACCCCCCCCCCCCTTCTCATGGATTCCTCAGAGGCTCCACTGGCTCCTTTGTCACCTAGCAGGCCTACTGTTCGACGAAATTCCCCTTCCGCCCCATCCTCCTTCCTCCGCGCCCGTGGAAGCTCGCTGGCCACGAGACCTTACGCGGTGGGATGGCTCGCCACGGCGGCGCCGCCGCGGGGCCGCCCGGCCAACGTGCGGTGGTCGGTGGAGTCCGTGCCGGCGAAGCCGACAACCGGGACTTCCCCCCAGAAATTCTGGCGCCGATCACTGGGCTTGTCCACATGCAACACAGCCGATTGCCCCATAAGATTCCCCCACCCATTTTTTCTTCCTCAGGAAGAACAAGAAGAAGAAGACCGTCGGCCGCCGTCTCGAGGAATTTCACCCCCGAGGGAAGGAACATTCTCCAGAGTTCAGAGGCTTTTGGCGACTTCCGGAGGGGGGGAACCCATAAAAACTACTGCCCAGTGGGGGGCTGTCTCCAGTCCCCATCCGTTTACGCATAGATTATGGGGAAATCTACTGAATCAGATGGCAGGCGATGGTGTTCTGCAGCCCTGGAACGAGGGCAGGCGACTGCAACAGTGCATTTTTAATGGAGGGCCATGATTCAGAACAGCCATGGATGCATTGGAAAGGGTCGTATTATAATCGAGTCTTCCATGTGACCGGGAGGGCAGCCGCTTAGGGATCATTTAATTACGGGGTTAGCTCGAGGTTAGATAGATAGATAGATAGCGAGACACACAGAGAGAGAGAGAGAGAGAGGCTGGGGCATTCGTGGGTGAACAGTGATCTCCCCGCATGAATACGGACCTGCGGTCAACGGGCCCCCCCCAAAACATTTGTCAACCATGATCCCACAGATTCTGAACATGGTGCAGCTACAGCTACCCGCTTGAAGATTAAGAATATGAGATGGAGAGATGGAAGTCAATGGAGAGGATACGAGAGAGGGGTCTTCTCGGGCTTCTTTCTTCCTCCTGTGTTTCAGGTTTATGTTTCATGGAATTCTGGGGGAGGTTCCCTTTTTTTCTCCAGCAAAAAATTCAAAATGTGTCATCCACGGTGGAATCAAGGTCAACAGATTGTGTTCTGGACCTCCCATTTTAGGGTTCGTTCAAGCTATGAATCCTTGCAGATTAGGGTTGCTTCCCGCATCCCCCACCCCGATCTCCACCAGCATCGCGCAGACAAGATGTTCGTGCAATTGCCTATGGTTTGACCGAGCCCCCACAAATGGAGTATGAGAGAGAGAGAGAGCATTGGATCCTGACTGAAACAGTTAAAAGAGGAGATGATGCCCACTGAAGGGGGGGGGCCCTCGCCCCACTGAATTTCGAAAGAGCTCGCTTTCCGGTCCAGAAAGGAAAGAGAGAACGGTGAAAAAAGGTTGGGGAAGAAGATAAAGAGGAGGATGGCCTTTCTTTCTCCACCGGGCTCTGATCTCAGCAATGGCCCTTCCCCGGGCCCTCTTTCCCGAAAGGCCTCTCCTTTTTTAGGGTTTCCAAAGGCAGGAATTCACGACATGCTGGTCTCGCCGGAGCTGAAGGCATCCAATTCGTCTCGGATTTCTTATAGCCGGAGGAGCGTGCCGAGTAATAATGGCGGCGGCGACGGAGCAGTGAAGCTCCGTCACAGAGAAAAGCACGGCCAGCACGAATGGCCCTTCCAGTGGGAAGAAATTTATGGGAACGGCTCACAGCATCACGCAGACCACCGCGCCCGGCCATGGCGAGGATTAAATAATCAGACTGAGGTTGAGGTTGAAGACGACCCATCTCTCGACCCACTACGCCCATCAATTCCCCTCTCTCATCTCCTCCGCCGCCATTTTTCAAACTCCTCTGGGCCTCCCCATTTTCGCGCTCATCGAATCCGCAGACCCCACCACCTACAAAAGTCAGTCCCCCCTCGCTCTGTTAGATCGCCGCCGCCGTCAGTCCCGCCGCCGACTAGGTTTTTTGTCGTCGTCCTCCTGGGGATCGGCGATCGCCACATGCCCACCTGAACTTTCGTGCCCAAGGGGGGCGTTTCTGCGCACGATTCATGAAGAAGCAGCCACAACGGACTGGGAGATGGAGCGCGCCGGCGAGGGGGCTGCGAGAGAAGTGGGCGGCGGCGGAGGAGGAGGAGGAAGAGGAGCTCCACAGCAGAAGGAACGCCACGTAGTCTCATGGTCTCAGCAGGTTTTGCAATCTCTCCCCTTTTCCGTTAACTCTCCTAATCGGATCAATTTCGGCGGCGGCGATCGTCTTCCTTCTTCCTCTCCTGGTCTCTGACTGGTGGCGGCGCAGGAGGACGATCTGCTCAGGGCGCAGGTGGGCATCCACGGGATAGAGAAGTGAGCTACTCAACTCCCCCTTCCATTCTTCCTTGATTCTTCCAGTTTCTGACGGCGGGTTTTCTTCCCCTGTTCTTGCAGCTGGACGAGCATCGCCGCCCAATTCAAGGATAAGACCGGCCGGCAATGCCGGAGAAGGTTCGTACGATCACCTTCCTCCTTCCTCCTCCGAAACCTGGACGCTGACGGAGGGATTCGCCATTGCAGGTGGTTCACCTACCTCAACACCGAGTGTAAGAAGGGAGGGTGGTCGCCGGAGGAAGACGCGCTCCTCTGCGAGGTAGGCCAAACTCCCCGGAGGAAGAGCTCCGAATAATCTCAAAAACCTTGCTGTAACACGAGAAATCTGATCATCCGGGAAGAGGCTGATCTACAGGCCCAGAAGATCTTCGGCAACCGGTGGACGGAGATAGCGAAGGTGGTATCCGGCAGGTGAGCTCGATGATCCTCCCCCGAAGGTTGGCTCGTCTCTGAGAGACGGAGATGAAGGTTTTCTTGAAAGCCCAATGCCGTCCGTTCACTTCCGCAGGACGGACAACGCGGTGAAGAATCGCTTCAACACCCTCTGCAAGAAACGACTGAAGCAGGAAGCCATGACCAAGGAGAACACCCACTGCGCGTACCTCGGTTCGACGGGGGCAAGCCCCGCGAGATCTCTCTCCCCCGTATCTCTCTCCTCGTTCAAGAAGATCAGGTATGGAGATCTCCGCATTCAGGCTGGTCTCTGCTCAAAACCCACGAGTCTGACTGCCAGAATCTTTCTCTCGCTCTCTTCTTGTTCATCGAGAATAGGTATCAGATGGCCAGTCTGAAGGAGAATCAGGGGTCCCCTGGGGGTAATGCTATGGGGGCAGAATACAGAAGGCCTCCTCTAGCTATTCTTGGTCAGAATCACGGTGACGACAACCTCAGGGATGTGGGCACTGGCGGTACGTGCTCTTTCTGGCTAATAATTTTCCATCTTCTCTGGGAAAAGCACGGCTGATTTCCATCCCGTGGCGCAGAAAAAGCATCAGAGATGAAGATTCATGGCGCTTTCCTGCGAAGAAATGACCCAAAGGTCTCAGCCTTGCTGCAGCAAGCAGAGCTGCTCAGTTCGCTCGCCATTAGAGTTCATACTGACAGCACTGACCGATGTCTGGACAGCGCCTGGAAGGTACTGAGACTTGCAGAGCCATTTCTCTCTCTCTCTCTCTCTCTCTCTCTCTCTCTCTCTCTCTCTCTCTCTCTCTCTCTCTCTCTCACACACACACACACACACACACACACACACACACTCCTTGGTGACATCAGGAGCTGAAGAACTACTTGACCCAGAATGGGGTAAGAGAACCCGAGAAGAGCGAGTCTACGCAGTTAGATTTCCTCCTGGACGACTTCAAGGACTTGATAGAGGACCTGAGGAGCGGCAGCACGGGGAGCAGCCCCTCCGTCAGGTAACCAGTAGGTCCGATGTTGACTCCTGGGGAATAGGCGTAGACTGTTTGACCAACAGTTTCCAGCAACCATTCAGACGGGCAGATCTCCCAGTCAACGAGGAGGCGGCTCGAAGCAACGCCCAGAGCCTCCCTGAAGAGAGGGGGCGAGAGGAGGAGGACGACGACGACGGCGACGCTCGAGGTGGCCTTCACCCGGAGAATCGGACTCCATCCGAAACGGAACTACCCGTTGACTTACTACGATTTGACTCCGGAGAGATCGTCTGCTCCTTGTCAAATCCGGCGTTTGACTCGCCGCTCCCGACAATTCCCCTCTTCAGCCCTTTTCCAGTGGGGATCCCAAGCCCGAACTTTTCAGCAAGCGTGAGTATTCCATGAGCTTACGAACATCTTCCACCGTGACTGCCTGTTTCTTGCTGTCTGAATCTTCTTGGACCAGAAAGGTTTTGGCAGGAAGCTGACGAGAGCTTCCTCTTGCGCCTTTTCCAGGAGCGGCGGTTCCTTCTGAGCGTATTTGGTTCGTCTTCTTCCTTCCCCAACGCCGGCAGCCCTAACCAGAAGCCCCCCGCCTGCAAGAGGGCCCTTCTGGACAGTCTCTGATATCGTCCCCGTCCTCCTCCTCTGGTCTCCACATCCCTCTTCCTTGGCGGCTCTGTGGGTTCTTCGTGTGCCGGGATACAGAGACTTCGCCGGCGGCCGCCGCGGGCGCTGGCTGCATGTCCCAAGGCTGTTGAGTTCCAGACCTTGCGACCCGTTTGGACGACCATTTCCATCGAAAATGAAGAGTTCCACGAATGGCGGGTCTTCCGCTAGCTCGCCAAAAGTCGGTAGAGACATGAGTTGGCGGCTTGGGTTGACCTTTATCTCCTTGGGTCAACGGTATGTCAACCCCGATTTGCTGGTATCGAGTTGGTCGGGACACGACTTACGAACTTTCTGGATATATCATAATAAAAATATCACTCTCTATCTTCATACTGTTTGACTAATACTGTTTGGTGCCCTAATCAACTGAACAAAAACAGGGTACAGCCTACGAAACTGCCTTCGAGTTCGACCAAGCACACGTGAAGTCAGAGAGAGAAGACAAAGTCTTCGTCACGGTATTCGACATGCACGGTACCACGGCTCATCAACGAAAGTCAACGTAGGTGATCGCCGGTGACCGCGCGATGACCACAACAATCACGTCGCAGTCATCTGCATATTCCACGTGAACAGTCTGCTGCGCGCCCAAGAACAAGTCTTCTCCAAGCCGGTGGCGCCCGCCATTGTTTCACCGGGATGCTTCCGGCCAGCTCCGTCGCACGTAATTACTCTTAGCATGGTCAGCGGAGTTGACCTAGAGAGAGTGTGAAATTGTATGAGGAGAGAGACTGTGGGCAGATAAAGGAGGAGCCCCCATTTTCTTGAACGTGATTTTTAAGGCCAAAAATGGAAAAAAATAACTGACTGCGGTCCTAAAAAATAACCGAACCGACCTTAATAGCCATCCCTTAGCGGATCAATAATATCCATTAATGGAAATCGTAGTTACCGTGTCCGATGTTTACGTCATTATGCCCCTGATCCAGGCCAGGGGATTCCGTAAATACCCCTCCTTTTGGCTACCCGGGCATCTGGCGTAGGACAAGGGCAGTTTAGGTAGACATGGAAATATCCAGGCTCTGTTGGGGCCCGCTCCTGGAACATGAGCTTCGTGGGTGACCCCCTCCGTCACGTCGCAGATGGTGGGTTTTTACCCGAGCCAGCCGGAACGAATCCTTCCTTCTCCTTGCCCCTCTCTCTCTCTCTCTCTCCGTGTCGGGTTCTCCTCAGCTTCTTCTTGACCCTTTCCAATCGGACTGTGGAGTGTAGGAGAGACAAACCGACGGAGGCCGCGGTGGCGGCGGCGGCGGCGGAGGAGAAGGCCTCTTTTGTATTGTGCTCCTGTCTAGATTTTTTACTTTCTGGGTGTTGTGGGGCGAGGATCAGAAGGCGGGATTTTGAGAGGATCTGCCCAGATGGGGCCTTGATTGCCGGCGGTAAGGCGCGATGGGCAACTGTCAGGGATCGTCCTCTTCGCGGGTGGACAGCACGAATGGTGCGCAAATTCTCGCGGGTGAGAGTTCGTTCCCTCATCTGGGTCTGTGATTTCCCCCCTGTTTCTCACTCTACGGTGTCTCCCGTCCTGGTGATCTCCCGTTTGCCTCAGCCTTCCGAGGTATTGGATTCGCCCAATCGTGCCCTTCTGTTCTTGAGATTTTTGGTTGCCCGGAATTCCTGCTGCTTCTTGGATCGACGGGAATTATGTCATGAGTGCCTATCTTTTTTTCCCTCGGTGTCTCGGATTAGGGTTTCCGTGCCCTCCCTTCCTGACCTGGTTCTCCTCCATGGACGAACAGACCCCTCCAATCCGAGCAGCAAGACCGGGCTTTCCTTCCCGTCCACTCGGACGAAGTCCTCGGCCTGCTCCTCCTCGACGGCGCCGTCCTTCAGCGGCAAGAGTTCCGGTGGGAGCCTCCCCACGCCGAGAACGGAGGGGGAGATCCTCTCCTCCTCCAACGTGAAGGCCTTCACCTTCAACGAGCTCCGCAGCGCCACCAGGAACTTCCGCCCTGACAGCCTCCTCGGAGAAGGAGGATTCGGCTCCGTCTTCAAGGGCTGGATCGACGAGCACACCCTCTGCGCGACGAAGCCCGGCGCCGGCATGGTGGTCGCCGTCAAGAAGCTCAACCCGGAGAGCTTCCAAGGGCACAAGGAGTGGCTGGTTCTTCCTCGACCTTCTCCATTTCTTTTCTTTTCTTTTCCTGTTGCTGCTGCTGCTCCTGCTGCCTGGTTCTTCCTTTCGACCCTTCTTCTCCATGTCTGTGCTGCAGACTGAGGTGCAGTACCTGGGTCAACTTCACCATCCGAATTTGGTCAAACTGATTGGATACTGCTCGGAGGGTGACAACCGGCTGCTGGTTTATGAATTCATGTCCAAAGGGAGCTTGGAGAATCACTTGTTCAGAAGTAAGCATCCCCCCCCCCACCCCCCTAATATTTTTCTCATAAATTAAATATACACGATTTAATTTTATTTTTCTATAGCTTACCTCAGCACTGTTCTTGAAGCCCCCATCTTCTGAGATGTTGATCAGATCTTCTCTCTTATCATTAGAGTAAGGAAGATTATGGTCCCATCCATCATCTGCTGAGATATGTGGATCTCTAACAATGCCAATTAATTACACGTATTAATCGGTAGATTGCACCAAGTTTCACAAGCCAAACCTTGAGTTGACCAGGAACGACCAGTTGAGTTGACTCTGTATTCGCTGCCATGCTGCAAGCTTAATCGACGGATCTTCCTGCCCTTTAGATGATGGATGGTGACGTTGTTTTCTTCTAAGTATGGGAAATCAAGGACTCAAAACCATGCTCCAAGCATAAATTTCATTGGGAGATCTTCCTGTCCTTTAGATGCTGATGATGATGATGCTGATGATGATGATGGTGTTTTCTTCTAAATATGGAACATTAAGAATCTAAGACCATGATGCTATTTGACGTAACATTTCCTCTTTCAGGAGGCTCCCAGCCGCTTTCCTGGGCAATAAGGCTCAAAGTCGCTGTCGGAGCCGCCAGGGGGCTCTCGTTCCTCCACGACTCCGAGTCCCAAGTGATATACCGGGACGTGAAGGCTTCGAACATCCTTCTTGATGCGGTAGGCTGGAGAGAGAAGATGCCGGAGCTCATGAGCTTCCGTTTTTGGGAAAAGGAATCCTCCAATGTCGGGCGTTGACTTTGCGCAGGATTTCCTCGCCAAGCTGTCGGACTTTGGGCTGGCGAAGGCGGGCCCAACGGGGGACAAGACCCATGTCTCCACACAGGTCATGGGGACTCACGGGTACGCAGCTCCCGAGTATATCGCCACAGGTCAACATACATGCCCTCTTCTTCTGTAGAACCCGCCCACATGTTGGCTGCCGCTGCTGATTCCGGCTTGGTGGGCAGGTCGTCTGTCGGCGAAGGCCGACGTGTACAGCTTCGGAGTGGTCCTGCTGGAGCTCCTGACGGGGCGGCGCGCCGTCGACAAGGACGGCGGCGGCGGCGGCAGAGGCGTGGAGCAGAGCCTGGTGGACTGGTGCAGGCTTTACCTGGGAGACAGGCGGAAGGTCTACCGGGTGATTGACCCAAGACTGGAGGGGCAGTACCCGAAGAAGGCGGCCATCGCCGTCGCTGCACTGGCGGCCCAATGCACCACCGACGAGGCCAAGCTCCGGCCGAGGATGTCGGAGGTCCTGGCGGCGCTGGAGCAACTGCTGGACCGGAGGGAGACGCCGCCGGTGGCGGCCCCGCCAGTGGGGCGCCGGCCGGGCGGCCATGGGGAGGGGCGGAGGTCACCTCTTGGGCACCATCGTCCGCTGCCCACCCTCTCGCCGGCCCCGGCCTGTCGTCGATCCCCTCGGTCGCAATGAACCGCTCCTGCTCTGAGGATCGAAGTTCTCTCTCTCTCTCTCTCTCTCTCTCTCTCTCTCTCTCTCTCTCTCTCTCTCCTCCCCTGTTCGGGGTTGGCTCAAATTGGATGCCCAAAAAGTAGCAGAAACGTGAGCTCTGTTCTGGAAAAGAATGTTGGCCCATCTCCGAAAAAGCTTCGTCATTTTTGCAGAATTTGTGTCCCTCTTAGCAGCCCAGGAAACACGGATGAATTGTGGGGAAATTCTATAGATCGGGAGAATGAAGTTGTTATTTTTATTATTTTAATGAGACCGGAAGCTTTTCTGTAGATCGTAGAAAATTATTGTAATATTAGAGGAGTTTAGTGAAAAATAAATATATGAAAATGTTGTTTTTAAATGGTTTAAATATTTATTTTAATTTGTATTGTCGAATATGGAAATGAAATGGGAATAAAATATCAGCACACGTTTTTAAATTATGAAAATTGATTTCTTTTCGATTAATGAATGTGGGGAAGAATTAAGGAATACAAATATTGCATTAGATGATTTTAATTTAAGAATAATTATTATTGAATGTGGAGAAGAAATAAAAATAATCAGAGACTCAGTTAATGGGAATAAGATATTGACCCATATGATTTGAAATGATTTTTCGTCTGTGAAAGAACCAATGAAAACGAAAATCGGATCATATGATATAAAATGACTTAATTTTTATTTATTCGGAATATATTAAATATGGAGAAGAAATGTAGGAAATACTCGAGGACTTGTTCGGATTTCAGAAAACCCTACCTTCTCACTCCTCGTTCGGATTTTGCCGCGGAGCAGACGCGAAGCAGATGGTGGCCGTGCTCGCGCCCGCCGCCGTCCCGTTGGGGAAGCAGGAGACTCCTTCTCCCCCTTCGTCCTCGATCCCTCGGGCACCTTTACCTGCTGGGCCTTCTCTGCTTCGCCGGCGGCGCTCTGCTGTTCTCTGCTCCGCAAACCGGGTAGAAATATCGCCGGCGGAGCGGCGGCGGCGTCGGCGGCGTCGGCGGTGGTGGCGGCCGGAAGAGCAAGTGGGATGCCACCGGTTCGATACCTGAGAACCCACCTCCTGAGAACCGCCGCTTCGAGCTGCAAGCCCTTCTATTCCGTCAGCAACTCGCCGCCGGCTCCCTTCTTCACGGGGAGAAGCAGCGACGAGACTTACGCCTGGAACCTGGCCATCGCCGGCCATCTGGAGAGGAAGAACCCGAGGGGAGCCGTCTCGGAGTACGCCCTCATGAGGAAGGAAGGCGTCGAAGCCGACAGCCACACGGTAGGGTTCCTGGTGAAGGGTTGCAGCTCCATGGCGGGGGCCAGGGAGGGCCAGCAGGCCCACTGTCACGTCCTCAAGATGGGGTTCAGCTCAGAGGTGATCGTCCAGACGGCGCTCCTCAGGGCATACGCGCTGCTGGGGGAACTCCGCCACGCGCAGAGGGTCTTCGACGAAACTCCCCGCAGAGATCTGCCCATGTGGAACGCCATTCTCGCGGCATACGCTCAACAGGGCTACCCGGAGGAGGCCCTCCAGGTCGCCCGAGCCATGGCGGAAAGAGGAGAAGGCTTCCGGCCCAACGAGGTCACCGCAATGAGCGTGCTCTCCGCTTGCTCCTCTCTGAGGGACCTCAAGAACGGGAAGCTCCTCCACGGCTTCGTCCTCAAGAACATCCCTTCCCTCGACGTGCTCCTCTGCAGCGCGCTGGTCAACACCTACGCGCACTGCGGGGCGCTACGTAGCGCCCGGCACCTGTTCGACGAAATGCCCGTGCGAGATGTGGTCTCCTGGACCGCCATGATCAGCGGCTACTCCGACAACGACCGCCCCGCGGAGGCGCTGGCACTGTTCGAGGACATGGCGGCGGCGGGTGTCCTTCCCGACGAGGTCAGCTTCCTCGCCGCCGCCGCCGCCTGCGGCAAGCTGCAGAGGCCCGATCTCGCCGAGTCCCTCGAGCAGTACTCCCGCCGGAGAGGCCTCTGCGGGAGCACGCGTATGGCAAACGCGCTCATGCTGATGCACGCGCGCTGCGACAATCTCCGGCGGGCCTGCCGGATCTTCGGGGAGCTGCGGGAGCGGACGGCAGTGTCGTGGACGACGATCATGCAGGCGCTGGCCATGCACGGGCGCGGCGCGGATGTGCTGGTGCGGTACGCGCAGATGCGCAGGGAGGGGATCGCGCCGGACGGGCTCTGCTTCGTGAGCGTGCTGAGCGGGTGCAACCGCGCGGGGCTGGTGGAGGAGGGGCGGCGGTGCTTCAGGGACATGGCGGAGGAGCAGCGGCTGACACCGTGGGTGGAGCACTGCGGGAGCATGGTGGACCTGCTGTGCAGAGAAGGGCTGCTGGAGGACGCCTTGGCGTTCTTGAGGAGCATGCCGATGAAGCCCGATGAGAGGATGAAGAGGGCGTTCTTTCGCGCCTGCGAAAACCGGGGAGGGCTCGACTTGGCTGCTCGAGCCATGGCGGAGCTGTTCGGATTAGAAGAGCCGCCGCCGCCGCTTGCGGTTCAAGATGCGGGCTTTATTGGACTAAATTCTTGACCCAGTGGCCCGAACCAGAGCCCACTGTATACTGACCAAACTGATCCAAAAGGAAGCAGTTTACATGCGATGAAGTCACGAAGAGCAGAGGAGACCGGCAATAAGAGCCCGCTTTATTCTCGTCTTAAGAAAGACAAAGGGAGAGATAGAGAGAGAGAGAGAGAGAGCTATTGTTTGCCACTACTCGACGGAGAACTTGAAGAGCATGCGGTGGAGGTAGGTCTCGCCGGGGTGGACGATCTGGGAGGGGAACTGCGGGTGGTTGACGGAGTCGGGGAAGCCCTGGGTCTCCAGGCACAGCCCCGAGTAGGGGCCATAGGCGGCGCCGCCCTTCCCCACTGCCCTCAGCGTATTGCTCGTATAGAACTGCACCCCCGGCTGGTTCGTCCACAGCTCGAACCCTCTCCCCGATCCTCCGCCGTCCCTCACCACCGCCGCCCGCTTCATTCCATCCGCCGCCGCCGCCGCCGGGTCCAGCACGTAGTTGATGTCGTACCCGCCGGCCTCGGCGATGCGGCTCCCCACTCTGCGTGGCTCCAAGAAGTCGTACGCCGTCCCCGCAACGGCGGCGATCTCGCCGGTGGGGATGAGCTCCTTGTCCACCGGCGTAATGTGTCCGGCGAAGATCTGCACTTCGTGGCCTAGCACAGTGCCACTGTCGTGCCCGCCGAGGTTCCAGTAGACATGCTGGACCAGGTTCACCGGCGTGGGCTTCTTCCCCGGCACCGCCTCCATGACCACGGTCAGCTGGTAGTCCCCGGAGATCTTGTAGGTGACGAACACGTCCAGATCCCCCGGAAACCCTAAAATAGAACAAAACCCAGTTCATCGTCGTCGTCGAGAGAAGAACCAGAAGAGATTCAGGATTCAGGAGGCGGCCGTGCCTTGCTCGCCGTCGAAGCTGTGGTAATGGAACTTGACGAAGGGGTAGGGCCCTTCCAGGTCCTTCTCCTTCACGTCCCACATGACCTTGCTGAAACCCCTGTGCCCGCCTGCATGCAACAAATTTTTTTTTATTCAACCACTCGATCGAAACCAACAAGAAAAATGAAAAAAAAATGGTTTTTATCAGTTCTTGACGTGTTCTTGGAGGACCGACCGTGGAGAGAGTTCCTCCCGTCATTGGGGAAGAGCTTGTACGTCCTGCCGTTCAAGGAAAACTTGGCCCCGGAGATCCTGTTGGCCACTCGCCCCACCAATGCGCCGAAGGAGCTCGGATTTTTCTGAAAGATAACGATAAATATCATAATATATTTACACAGATCCGGGAAATTATGATATTATCGACGATTATTATGAACACACGGTTGATTTTTCTTTTTCACGAAACTACGGACCAATGGGGGATCAAAGAGCTCATCGATGATGTCTGATAAACCCGAGATCGTATGATAAAAAAAGTGGTTTTTTTTTCCAACTCAAGTTGGTAAAAAAAAAAAGGCACTGAAAGTTTATTGACCCACATAATAAGAAAAGAACCCGACAGATCACACTGCAAACCCAGTTGTACGATCATTAACTACGTTCCCCGTTGACTCAGCCGCCAACTGACGACAGAGAGGCAGCTCTGTCAGAAGACAACATGAGGGCCACCTTGGTGAACGTTAGCGATCAGAGAAAGAGAGAGAGAGCGCGGGGAGTGAGGCTGGCGCGAAGACTTGTCCACATCGCAGCCCGGGCCTGGCCTCAGTCGAGCAACCATCAAGAACAGCGACCACACGTCTTTCCTTAGGATTTCTCGCCAAGAATTACGGTTCTTGATGAGCTGACGAAGGAGGGATCGGGTGGGGGTGGGGGTACTCACAAGGTATTCGCCGAGGGACTTGCTGGTATCGTAGCCAAGCGCAATGTCGGCCAGCTTCCCTGCCAAAAACGGTAGTAAGAACAGAATAAGAACACCAACAAGCAAGTGATAGATTACACGACCCGCAGTCGTATGAAGCATATGATCGAACACTTTCTTGCAACCCCCAGTCGGCCCTGAAATCACGCGAAATGTTGAGCAATCTGATCTCGATCGAGAGCCAACGAGGAGAATGGCAGAGATCTGGGGAGGTTTTGGCGGAAATCCTCAAACCGGAAAGTTCTCAGAGCCGAGATCGGAGAGAATCGGAGACGAGGAGAGAATCGAGCTTCTGAGAATCCACGAGGGAACCCTACGGATCCCCGGGGAGATGAGATGATCTCGAGAAGACAGAGAAGAAAAGGGAGAATCAAACTCGCAGGGGGATGGTTTGGCTCGATTAAACTCGCAGGAAAACAGCAGCCGCGGAGGATTCAAGAAGAGGAGCACCATTTGAATCGGGGAGGACAACGGAGAGGATGGTGCCCCCCCAGTTGGTGCATTTCAGAGAGAAATCCCCTTTCTTAAGCTCGAAGTACTCGAGCGGGAGGATGCTGGCGGCCAGCCCGAAGAGAGCAGTTGCCATTAGGAGGAAGACGAAAGAGACACGCATGGCGGCGCCGCCCGCAGCCATTGTCCACTTTCTTCAATCAAACGAGCGAGAGAGAGAGAGCAGAAACAGAGCTTCGCCCTCCACAAATTTTCCGAAACCCACTACTTCTAACTCTCTCTCTCCCTCCCTCCCTGTCTCGCTCTGTCTCTTCCAAGAATGTTTTTTATATTGATGGAAATCTAATAGGACCCACAATTTTCTTAAACTATAATTACGAGTCAGATTGATTAGAGAAAACTAACCGTGATTAGTTGTGTCGGTTCCAGATCTAACACCACTATCTAGACTAGGGAGGAGCAACAAATGAGGGAGAGGGCACGTGGTATTAACCAAAGAAGTCAAAGTTTCTGACCGGAAACGCCGCCCGATGCCGGATGGATCAACCGAGCATGGTAACCTCGGAAACTTACTATTTCCCATGGTTTTAAAATAATTATTATACTCCGGGGAGTAAAATGCGAGAAACCCCAACCTTATCCAGATTCGGCCAACGAGCATAAACCACCTGTCAGTCAGACCTCCCGGGAAGTCGCCAATACCGGATCGACCGAGGATGGTAACCATGAACTTGCCATTTTTCCGGATGGTATAAAGAGAATTACAACACTCCTGGGGAGTAAAATGCAAAATTCCACAACCATTATAATACTCACTCAAAATGGTTGATTCTGGTCAGCAGCACCGGAACAAAGAAGATAGGATGATAAATGAAACAGAACTAAGATTGAACTGATAATAATAATTAAAAGGAGTTGACTTTAGTCGGCGACTAAAGAACACGTCAGAGCACAAAAACACAGAAGATGAGACCATCTATGAACCCTAATTCTCAAGCTCTGAAACAGGCTAGCAAATGAATCCAAGGTCCGGGGAGAGTTCAGACTAAACATGATCCGACGACGAGGATGATTATGAGCTGGCGCATCAGCCGCTTCAACGGTAGCGGCGGAGGGACTTGGTCTGGTTTCTCTTCCAGGTGGCCCTCCTCGAGGGCCGGGCCTTGTGGTGCAGGTGGCCCTTGCCACGCAGGCCCCTGTACTTCTTCCCAGCAGAGGTCAACCCCCGGAGTTCACGGTGCTTGTGGACGCCCTTGCAGATCCAGTTAATTCTCGGGTCGTTTCTAATGGCATTGTGAGCAGCATCTACGAGAATCACCTCGAAATATTTGTACGTTGAGTCCTGAGAGAGAAGGCCGGGGAGGAGGAAGAAGATGTCAGCCGGTGGGAGGAAGAAGAAGAAGAAGAATGTGGGCATGGCATGTGGGAGCTCAGACCTCGTTGATCCAGTAGGAGTTGAGGACCTTCAGGCCTCCCAGCCTCCTTCCAGCTCTCTCCTCTGCAACTGATCTCTTGTTTCTCTGGAACTTCAACTGGGTGATACCCTGGTGCTTGGGCTTACCATACACGATACCTTTCGGCACTGGCCTCTTGCGTCCACCGCGCCTGACGCGAACACGATAGATGACGTAGCCCTACGGGAAGATAGGAGCAGATGAGCATGGGAGGACAGAGTGCAGGTACTCATCAAAAGGAATAGGTTTAAATAACTAAAACCAGCGTCAGGAAAAAAAAAACAGAGAAGCTGAGGTACGGACAGTTCAAATAAGATTTCATTCTAGAACAAAAATCCATTTTCGGATTTTATTTCATCTAATTCTATGACCGGAGCAATGGGGCATAGATACAGTATGCAACGATTTTGAAACAGGAGAGATTTCAAGAAATGGCAGATCCATTCAGTCGGACAAAGCACAGATACTCATCAAGAAGAATGAGTCTAGAAAATTTAAACCAGGGTCAGAAAAATAAGAGAAGCTGAAATGGACTCGGGAATGTGAATTTTGATGAATTTGTTAGTCGGCTTGCTTCTATTTCAATGTAGATCGTTCATATGAGTAAATGTTTATTTCATTCAGTCGGGGTTTTTTAATACCTTCTATTGCCGAGTATTAATCAGAGTATTAACTAGATGATGAGCCACGAAACATAGAACAATTAGAAGGCAGAAGAGCAAGGTAAGCAGGAAAGAAGTCGACTCGGAGTAACAAGACAAAGCGACTGGTGAAAAGAACAAAATGGTGAGATGGGTAAGAATTAAAGATGAAAGAAACACCTCTAATGATCATTCATATCTTATCAGTCTAACCAAATTATTATTGCAACTAATCAGAAAAATCAATTGCCGGAATTCTCCTTGTGGAAACACGCCTTCCATTTAAGTGTTTTTTGATTTTCAGTGATAACACTAATCTGATTGTAGTCACCACTAAAATTTTAATGACAGAAGAAAGAGCTGGATGCTATGGATCTAAATATATCTGAGTTTGTTCGTTTCCGAAAGTGTTTCAGATGTCTTCAACTAGTATGAATAAAGCGTTATCAAAACAATTTCCGCGTCCCAAGATCTGATTGTAATCCATCTCCACTAGATAATATTTCATAAGCACAAATATGCGTCAAGTGTTAGTCATTGAAAGACCACTACATATATGAATCATGCAAAGAAGAAAAAGATGAGGAAGATGATGAAAACCGCTGGTTCAATGGTTGAAATGACCGGAAATAGCAACAACTCCAGTTGATATGAATCATCAACCTAAGCTATTAAGCACCCATTCAGGAGTCTGATAATCGTGAGACACAGAATAAAACTGACGGGAAGACGCCCTTTCCAACACTCAAGACCAACATAGAATGAGAAAAACACGATGAGGTTAATGAGATAACCTGATAAAGCAGTAACAGGGTCGACTTGCTAAATTAACATGGTCGCTTATATGTATATGAAAGAAAGAAAAAACATCGCAAGAATGCATAACTGGCTCCATAGATATCTAAATGAATTAAACGGGATAAATATCGAACGAGAACCTCCTAGATAAAGTGCTCATATACGCGTTTCTCATCATCGTAAGTGAAGAACGAGGCCCTATAATAGGAATCTGACAGAGTTTAAAGGATCATTAAGCGAGGGTTCATGGTACAGGTTAAGATCAAATAGAGCGCGAGACAGAATCAATGGGATTTCGCGTGTCAATCGACCACGATAGGCAACCAGAAATGCTACAACCTAATGATGCATTAGAAAAGAAAACAGACCGTCACTGAAACCTAACCTGCTTGGCCTTGTAGCCGAGGCGGCGGGCCTTGTCGGGCCGGGTGGGACGGGTGACCCGGACGATGGCTGGCATCTGCCGATACTCCCAACAGCGCACACGGAGAAGGAACCGCATGACGTCGCTCTGCTTCTTCCTCCATAGCTCCGACACGTACGTGTACGCGCCTGCAGATCCACAAGAGAGGCGAAACCTCAAACCACAACCACAGATCTAACCCACAAAGGAAAAAATAGAGGGAGGAACAGATCCACTAGACGAAACTAGAAACGGAGCGCCAGGACTGGGAATCGCTCACCCATCTTCTCCCTGTTCTTCTTCTCGTCCGCCGCTGCGGCCTCCGCCGCTCGGGAGGGCGATCGTTCCGGTTCTTATACTACTAGGGTTTTACGGTATGATCTCTCGGATCTTGTCGGGACCATCGGGCAATCGGGTGGATAGACTCCGTAGCCAAGGTCGGACAGTCTAGTGGATCCCTTCTCGGCTCACGTTGACACTCCGCAGACTCAAACGGTATCCGATAATTATAAAATAAAAAAAGCCCGATGACGATTTTCATTTTTTATTTTATTTTTCCAAAAAAAATCCCGAAATGACGCCCCGGTAGATAATTAAAAATATATATTATTTTCATTTTGGTTAAATGGGGAATCGGATGGGCTTCTCTTCTTCCCTAGGCCAAGTATGGGCTTTTTAATGGGTGCTGGGCCCAGCCCGGACCGGCCCGGCCCGTGTGTGGGGGCGGTGGGAGCCACGCGGTCCAGTAGTCAAAGCCCAGTACTCGCTTGGTCGCGGAAGCGGATGCCGAGGAGAATCGGGTTTCCTTTTGCCGCTGGCGGCGCATCGACGGCGGCGGCGGCGTGGGCGGCGGCCGCCATGGCGTCCACCTCCATGGAAGACAGCCGGGGGGAGCAGCCGGACGCGTCAACGGACAAACCCGATGGCCAGCACGCAGTCGCTGCCATGATGAAACAAGTGAGGTCCCTGAAGAGACGTCTGCAGGTGGGAAACCTAGGGATCTTGAACCCCTTGCTCCGTCCGTGCTTCCCTTAATGTGCGCAGAATCCTGACGATCTGTTACCGAAATATCAGCTTCTGGAGCACGAGAACCAGATGTTGCTCTCTCGGATGACCGGCTGTCGGCAGTGCTGCAAGGTTCGGTCTCATTGTTTCTCTCGGTTGCTAGCTAAATTCACTAGTAATAATCGTCCTAGATGCTTCTCCATGCCATGTCTACCGGTGTTGGGGCCGACACTTGTGGATGATCTGACGAGCACAAGACTCATCTAAGGGCGTAGCTCTGGAGCCAGATGCGTTCCCTGCGTAGAACGCGGGATGTCTGATTCTCCTCTGGTTCTGCTTGTAGAGTACGAACGTAGCCTGATCATAAACTCTTTAGCCGCAGTGGCCTCTTTTCTCGGATCACATTTGGTCCCCCATTAAAGCCTCTTGGATTCCCATTTCACAATGGGTGACTGTGTTCCTAATTTCCCTCTGATTTATTCGATTCTTAGTCGTCAAAGAATGTAGAAGATGTTTCTATTCTGCAGGTGAAGCTATCCTGCTTCAAGGCCTCTGGGTCCTGTCTTCTTTGAACACTTGATCAATGGTGGTTCTTCATTCTACTTTTCTAAAAACCAATTCATGCATCCAGAGGGTTAAGATGTGAGATTCATCGCTGGACCCTCATGAACATGGAAGAGCAGAGAAAATCTTTATGCATAACTCATCTCAGGAGCTTTCATTCTGTCTCTTTGATGGATACATAGATCCCGAATAGAACGTTTAAGTACGTGGATGAAAAAATTCTACATTTGCCCCCCCCCCCACCAATCATATTCATTGATTTTGCCTTTTAGTTTGGTTTAGCAAGATTATTATATGCTGAAATGGAAGTTTGTGGTGGGTTGTCGTGATTAACTTGTATGTTTATCCAGTGTGAAGCTCCTCGTGAAGTCCAATCTGTTTGTGCAAATAGAACAAATCCGCTCATCAGATTCAGTATAATCACTAGTGAATGCCCAAAAACTGATATTTACTTGGCCTGTTGGAGTTCTTAGTTTCTAATGTTTGAACTTGCGTCATCTTTGTTCACTTTATTTTACTATTTATTGCTAGTAACTCGTCATGGTGATCAAAACCTGCATCAAACCATGAACAAAAGCATCCCCTTCAATGGAAGGCATGATGACCAGTTACTTCTGGTTCCAAAGTTTTCTTTTCTGGGGCCTGGACTGTGAATGCAGATCCCAAGAAGAGTTCAGAGAGTACAATTGGGCTCGGCTTCAGGAGCCATGCTTCAGTTCTGGGGACTAGTTGACTGATTATCTATCAGATGCCGCTGCTCAAAGAAGAGAATCTCTGTTGACTTTCTGCTCATCATGTTTCCAGATGGGACTGAAGGGCAAGCTCTCCCTCCAGTGCAAGGCTAACTGGACGGATGAGTACAAGAAGGCCTTCATTGACATCTGCCTGGACGAAGTGCACAAGGGCAACCGACCGACCACCAGCTTCAACCGATCAGGCTGGGTCAATGTCACAGAGAGATTCAACGACCTGAACGGGACAAAGTATGTCAAGGGTCAATTCAAGAACCTCTATGCTGTCATGAGGGATAGCTGGAGGGAGTGGAAGAGCCTGGTCAACCGGACGAATGGCTGGGGGTGGGACCCTGTCTTGCAGACGATAGACTGCGACCCCCAGACCTGGGAGGAGTACTGCAAGGTCAGTGGAATCAGGCAATGAGCTCCTCTTTTTTTATGGTTGGTTTCTGACTCTCTCTCTCTCTCTCTCCCTCTCTCTCTCTCTCTGTGATATCCTTGTGCAGAGCCACAAGCAGGCCAAGCAGTTCCTGACGAGGCCTCTCCTTTATGAAGACGACCTGGATGAGCTCTTCAAAGGAACAGCAGCTGCCGATGGGGAGACCTACTGTTCAAGTGAGCCTGACGTAGATGGGGCTCCAGTGAAGCTGCTGCCAGTGACAGACCAGTTCGAAGGATCATACTCGATGGAAACATTTGAACCATCAGATGCACGGCCAGAGAATGAGGAGGTGCTGTCAGAGGAGCCATCTAGGAGTCAAACCAGACGCCACTCTCCACCCGATGCCCACTGGCGCAGGAGGAAGAAGTTCAGAGCCGCCAATGGTGCCCAGGCCCAAGTCACTGGTGCGCCAGCAGTGACCCCTGGGTCTCCACCCCAGCCCCCCTCAGCTGCAGATGTGATCAGGCTGCTCGACCACATAGAGGATGTGGAGATGGGTGGTAATCTTTACTTGGGGGCTCTGCGGGTCCTCCGGGACACAACGGAGAGAGAATTCTTTGTTGCCTTGGATCCACGTGTGCGCTCAGCCTGGCTGCGCAGCATCGTCTACGGCCATAAGGGTGGTTAGGCTCCACTAACCCTGGTTATTAGACTTCTGTCAGTGTTGTTAACCTGGGTCATGGGTAACCTCTTCAGCAAAGCTTGAGTGCAGATTAGACTGGCTGGTTGGTTCCAAGTGCCCACCACTCAGCCTCTTCCTCAGCATGTCCTTGCACACTTGCTGCACTGCTAAGGTTAACAGCTTCTTGTGATCCTTACCTTGACTCAGCATGATTCCCCCCACAAGTCTCACTCATTTGCACTGAATTATGCCACTCATACATACTGCACTAATGCTGCCTTGTGCCTCTGAACGCACCACATATGCTGCACACATTGTTCCATGCTTGTGCTTTTGTGTGCACTGTGCACCTTGTAGACATCTTGTCGTACTCATGCTGGTGGTATGGATCCTCACTTGGAACCTGTAGTCGAGATAACACACGGTGCCCAGTACTCGTGGAAGAACTCTTAACTTTATTGATCAAAAACTGTTTACAAGGAGAATGGAATCTAATATTTATACCAGATCCCTAGAAAGTTCTAGACACACTGATGTAACATGAAATGAAAGGTACATGAGGACATATATGTAAACTTTTAAGGTATACATGTTATTAAGTACATCTCGACAACAGAACTAGTTGCCTTTGTCTTGGGGTCATCTCACCTTGGTAATATAGGTAGCCCTTACTCATGCTATTTGCTTGTGCAACTAGATCATTTATGCCCCTTGACATTCAATTAGCTTGCCAACATTGTGACACAAGTAAAAAGAGTAAAGCACATTCTTTAAAGTAGGGAGATGAGCAAAAATGAGAAGATGACCTCTTTCAGTAAGATTGAGATCACCATTTCTATAAAGGGAGCATAAACACTAAGGCATCAACTAGCATCTCAACATCAATTTGGTAATTGGCCCAATAGTTGATGTCTTACTCTTCTTCACAATTAATGTCCTACTCTTTTTTACAATAGGATCCCTTTGAAGAGTGTTTTTGAATAGTATTCCCTTGATACTAATGAATTACTCTGCCACACTCAAAGGTAATAGAATACCACCATTATCTCATTATAATGAATCCTTTGAATAGTATTCCATCTCATGCAACTTCGACTCTCATAAGGCATCAAACATCCCTTCAACAACATTATATTATAAATTGATAGAATTGAAAACATTTGTGTATACATTAAAGGGTTAACAACAATCCAACATCTATATATTAGTTCAATTGTGATGGCACACTTTAAGCTCTTGAATAAATATTAACACTCTAATGCTACCTCACACCCTTCATTAAAAGATACATTATGAGGACCACAAACTTGAAATAGTCATGCATAAATTTCATATAGTTAAGTAGAAGAGCAACCTCAATTTTGTTAGACAACTAGGCATTTATCAATCGTCAATGATGCAGACCTTTACTAATTTACCCATATGGCACCTTACACAATGGCATGAGTAAGAAATATAATTCATTCTAGCACACACAGCTCACATTGTCTTACATACTTTTTGAACATATATTATAGACACCTCACATAGTTCTCTACTCATGAATTTATTTCAAAGTGACATCTATATATATACTACAATAAATTCATCAATATAATTTTTGAAGACAATGTTCATAAAGATTTAGAATGGTCTTGATAATAAATATTCTACATATGATAAAGTATATTAAATTAATATTTTGCATATGATAAAGAGTCTATGATAATAAGGAAAGATGGTTACTTACATTGAGATGAAGAAGTACATGCCTTCAAAGTTGTTCACAAGTAAGATATGATGTCTAATAAGTATTAATTATAATGAGTTAATAATCAGTTAATAATATGTTTTACATATAAATTTATGATAAATAGTTTTATATCTATGTTAATTTTGTAAAATAATTTTTTATGTGGCTAATGTGAATTTTTAGATAATTATGTAATTTATATGATTTGTATATTCATTTTTTAAGTTAAAAAATATAAAAAATATATATAAAAAAATAGAGACCTGCTAGCCAGCCATCACTTAGTAGTTAACTCGAGGAGGGAGGGGGGGAGACATTGCACTTAAGTGGGTAGACCCAAATTAAGGGAGCCACAAGTTGGGCTCAAGTGGTTAAGGAACCAATACAAAGTAGTGTGTCACTCTCCTTCCACATCACTAGGAGTCAATCAAGTGGGAGTCAAGGAGTGTTCATACACACATGTATGTGGGTGCGGACCACTTGATTTCATAGGGCCCTCTCCTTAAGGGAGACATTGCACTTGAGTGGGTAGACCCATATTAAAGGAGCCACAAGTTGGGCTCAAGTGGTTAAGGAAACAATGCAAAGTAGTGTGTGTCACTCTCCTTCCACATCACTAGGAGTCAATCAGGTGTGGGTCAAGGAGTGTTCATACACACATGTATGAAGGTGTGGAGCACCTAATTTCATAGGGCCCTCTCCTTAGGGTTTCCTAGTCATTATGATTTTGGGAGAGGGAACTTAATTCTAGAGGGGGTATAAAGATATATGCATCTTAAACATCTAGATAAAACTAATTTGAGACTAAAAATTCTGTCACAACATGTCAGTAATTTTTGGCCAAAAATATCCTCGATTTGCAAATTAAAATGAGGCCATGAAAAAGGTATTTTGGTAAATTTTAACCCTCTCTCATATAGCTAAGTGACTAACAAAGGTTAAAATCTCATAAATGTCAAAAATTACGATTTTTATCTATTTTCTTCGTTTTTTTTTTATAGAACACCAGTCAACAATCAAGCCACCAAAAGCACTTGATCATCAATAGAATCTTCGTTAATGATAATTTAGCATCATTATTAATAATTGACGAGAAATTCTAAATAAAAGATCATAAATTCATCAAGGAAATAATCTCTTGTTGGTCAATGAACAAGCTTTGTTGAGAATAAGGCAATCAACTGAGAAATCTATCACAATCTCTTAAGAGTATATCAAATGTAATAAAGAGCATCCTCTTACTATGCAAACCAGAGGATGTAGTTTCATAAGATATACTTTACCTCTATTCAACTCAGCTCCACCTAGCTATAGCTGCCAAAGAACCCGTTGCCACCAAATTTTCAGTCTACCAAGTGACAACCACTTAAGACAAATCCTTTGAACTTTAAATGTGAATTTAGAGAGCTTCTTGAGCAGTTACTACCTATCTTTATCTTGTAGACTTTAAACATGAATTAAAAGAGTGCTCAAAATCGAACATGTCTAAAGAGAACCTTTTAGGCCATAAACACCCCTCAAATACATATCTTCACTAGACTTCCATTTTATTAAATGATAGTTGCCAGAGACACATCAACACCACTTATTCTAAGAAGATTCAAAGATTGCCCATATTATCTATGTCCAAGTCTTTGAGGCCATATACATCACATGATAATCTTTTCTAATGTTCATAATTTATGTGATTCTTGATGTAATCTTGGAGCTCTATTTTACATATTTTAAATTAATTTAATCCTTACATTTATGATGTTTTGCTTGAATTTAAATTTTAAGACTTTTTTTGATCAATTACAATTCTTTTCACATTTACAAATCTCAATTTGATCAATTTAATTATTTATAATCATTTACACATTAATCACTCGGCAAAAATCTATTTCTACCTAAATCATTGTTCATTGGGTTGCTGATGTTATCATGACATCAACACCCAAAATTTCTTTTTATAATTTTTTGAAATACATTTATTGTTAATAATTTTTTTCTAAAAATTATAGAAGATCTTATTCTCTCAAAAAATCTTAAATTGTATATAAAATTATCTTATATTCCTAGGATCAACCTAGAAAATTCTCACTATTTTTTAAACTTCTTATAAAATAATATTTAATATATTTTTTCAAGTACTTTTAAAATTTTAAAATAAGTATTTTTTAATGTTATAAAATTTAAATTTTCTCTATTTAATAAAAAATAACTAAGTCATGTCAAAGTATATTAGCCCTCACATCCTCATGCTCATAGTAAAGTCTTGATATGATTGTGTTAATTTACATACATGTCTTTAAGTTGCTTTTGATGTGGTTGTCGCCTTAATAATGTCTTAGTGGCTTCTTTCATTGAGGAGAAATTACATATTGACAAGACTTAGTTGTGGTATAATAAATCACATAAATTTAAAATTTATAAAATTAGAAATTAATTTTCATATATTTAGAAATATTTTTAATAATATATATCAATTATAATTTAATAAAAGCTCTAAAAATATTAAAAAAAATCAAAGTTAAAAGCAAGAAAAGTAGAGTTTCAGGCTTGTGATAACAATCATTAAAATTCTGTAAGTTTAGGAGGATCATCAAATAATGTTGTAATCTCAAAAGCTCTCCTTAGACATGAACAACACAAATATTTACTAGATCTCTTTTTGAAGTCTAGAAAATAATAGTGAAAATTAAATTAGGTAAAAAATAATAAAATTGAGTTCTACCATTACAATGGTGATGTGTTGACAATGTGTTAGTGATGCGTCAAAATCTTGACTATTTAGGAGGATTGTCATGTAGTGTCCACAACTTCAAAGGGTCTTCTTAGACAAGGATGACATGGGCAATATCTAGATCTTCTTGTGAAGTTTAAAAATATACAAAATAGGTCATCAAATCATCTCCAATAGATATCACTCAGTGGAATAGAAAAATGATGACTTTGAAACTCTCCGATGATTGTCACTCAACAGAGATAAGTTGGATGAAGGTGGAGTGCATCTTAGGGAGCTTCATCTTCAAGTTTGCACAATAAGATGAGGCTTTTCATCACATTTAGTATGCTCTTAAAAGGTGACGACTTGTCTCCTAGTTAATTGTCCTCTTTCCGATAATGATTTGTTCGTCGATCAATTGAAGATGATTTATTCGATAGATTCATAATCATTTTATCATGAATCATTCAATAACTTTAGTATTGATACTTGGTGAATTGTATTGACGAGATTTTTACTAATGATTAAGTGATTTTAGAGGCTTAATCCTTCACTAATGATTTACATAAAAGTCATAATTTAATCAGATAAAAAATATGAGTTTTAGCTCTAGTAAGATTTGAACTCATGACAGTTGCCTATCTACATGATATAGAGTTAAATAAGTACTCAAATATCCTTATATAGTGATGTCATCATGGTATCTCGTTGTTATAAATAAATGATATTTTTAATATTGAAATCATTGAAAATATTCTAACAAAAGTATGACTAGAGTTTAGTTCCACATCGATTATACGTTGAGTTTTGAGATGAATATATAATAATATGAGATTTGAGAATTAATGAGTCCCTTCTTCACATGTGTACAAACCACTCTTTACTCCACGCTCAATTAGCCATCAGCGACATGGAAGGGGAGTGATGCACACATACCCCCTATTAGTCCATCCTTAGCCACTTGAGTCTTTGCTTGTGGCTATGCTTGACTGTGCTTCCGACTTATTTGTAAGCCTGATTGGTTAACATGTCCCTCTTTTTTTATTTTTTTTATTTTTTTATTTTATATTATATTCATTTATCTTAAAAATAGAATTATAAAAATTATATCAATTCACATAAAATCACATTAACCAATTAAGAACTACTTTTCAAAATTTAACACAAATATAAGTCTACTTATTATGAGTTAAAGCTAAAACTATATTATTTATTAATTATTAACTCATGATAATGAAGACTTATCTCATATGCTTCACTATCCACCCTAACAGGTATGGGTGTGTTGTTGATGATGCGTAGCAAGCTTTGTTCATGTTTGCATGAGTTAGACTTTATCTTGTCTAATGGGTACCTCCAAAATAGTGGATAATTATTACTTTCTTTGAGTTCTTTTTTTTTCGGCTTCACTTTGAACTTTTTAGATGATCTTATTATAGTGGTCATTGTAGTTGTCACCCTAGTCATGGTGTCACACCTCTAGTGCCACAACACAACAAGTACATTGTAGCCAAACAACATGCATGGGTTGACATTGCACATGTAATGAGTGCGGTAGTATAGCATGGCAACATGGTGAATATCAATGTATATGAATCTTTGAGAGGTTAAGGGGTTGGTTTATGTGGAATTAACAAAAATTGTATTAGGTATTCATTTATTTTAAGAATTGAATGTTTTTTTTATTTGACAAGATGACAACATCAGTTGAGATTGAGATTGGAACTTCTAGTGACTACATGTTAATAGTTGAGATGATGAATCATCTTGGGAAAGTCCCCTAAATTTGGATGTGTGCTCTTATTTTGATTTATACTTGGGATATATTTATAAGTAGCAACATATGTAATTACTCTACAAGGTATTACAATTTTGATTGCACTCTCCATCTAGCTTATGTTTATGCCCTTTGAAAGCGATTACTTCTTTAGGTTATTTAGTGTTTACATTATTATATGCGTCCAAAGTAGCTAATTTCAAGATAAGTATCTTTGTCTTACAAATGGGCTGATAGAATTATGAAAATTACTAGATTATTAACTTTAGTCTCAAAGTATAATTAATTTTAGCTAAAATATTATTATATCAATAAATGATTGAATTATAAATGTAATCATATTCCATCATTTTGATACTCTCTCTCTCTCTCTCTATCTTATAGAAGAGACATCTAGGGGGATAGTGAGGGAGAAATGGAGATGATAAAACTATAAAAGATAGGAATAGAGATTGGTGGATAAAGATAAGAGATCAGAGGGAGATGGAGAGTTCTAGTAGTAAAACTAATGTGGGACAAAGGATGAGAATCCAAATTAAGATCTATCCAAAAATAATTCAAGCAAGGATCTAGGAGAATTCACTCTTAGGAGAGGAGTCAATGGGGAGATTTATTATAATATCAAGTTAATCTTGCAATTCAAAAAGAATATGATTTTATCAACCACTAAAAAAATGATATCTTGATTTAATAATTTTAGATCTAATGTTAATTAAGGTTGTAAGAATCACCATATATGAAATTTAGTAGCTATGTTATGTTCACTCAAGTGTCAATTGTAAGTAGATCAGAATTGGATCAAATATAATTGAAAATAAGGAGCCAATGTGTAATTGATGCCTTCACAATGTCATTGACTATAATTATCCAATTCATGATCAAACCAGCTAAATATTGAAAGGGAGAAGAAAAATTTCATGGAGGAAGAAGAAGGGATGGAAATAATGAAAGGTGGAAGAAAGAGTAGAATTTGACCCTCTTGTCCTCCCCCTTCTAAGGGAAAATTTTGACCCTCTCAGTCTCTCCCTTAAGAAGATGAGAAAAAGTGAAAACATTCACTTCAAACTCAAGAAAAATTCCAATATTCATCATATGAGTCCATGCCCTTATTTATGAAAACTTTTTGAGGCAACAAGGGGTAGAAAAGTATCTAAAATAGAAGTCATGGATTAGGTGCTTCATGAAGTTTTTCTACTTACCACATCATAGTGATCATGATTCAATCAATATTGATTCACAATATATCATTCATATAAATTCCACAAAAAATGATGACAATGAGGTATTTTTTTCCTATTTTATTTAACTTAAACTTTGAGAGAAAAAGTAAAATTTTCAAGAGAGGAGTGAATAGTTTCTCTAGTTTTGAGCCTCCTAATACAGAAAGTTAGAATAGAGAAGTCCGGTGCTGCTCTGATTTTGCCTCCTAAGGCTGTAGAATTTAGAAGATAATTTTTGAAATCTCATGTTACTGGAAGTATGAAATCTTGGAAGTCATTGTCTAAACACTAAGGTTTAGGATAATTTAAGTAGTCTTTTGAAATTTTATATTAACTTTTATTATTTGAAAATCATTATTTAATCATAAGGAAAACTATATCAATTAAAACTCTCGTTCTCTATTTAGTGTTACTAGTTAGAACTCAACTAAGATGTATGTTCATATCCCCATTACATTATTTAAATATAACATCAAAATGGATTGACATGATTAATATTTTAGGAGCCTCTTTTGTAAAAGATCATTCTTATGTACACTTTGGTCCTATTCAATGGCATATAATACATTCATCTGAAGGTCAAGACTAAAAGATGACAACTAAGTCCAACATGCCAATTCCAGAAGCAATCTACTGTGAAGATAGACCCCAAAAATTGCTGATCATGTTTCCTAAATCAGTATTTGCGAAGTGAAAAAGCAGTAAATGAAACAAAAATCTGGGCAATATATGAGTTAAGCAGAGTTAGACAGCTCATCATGGTAAATGATTCATCCACGTCGGCTGTTGTGCCACAATGGATTTTCTTTATGCCTATTAAAGTCTATGCGCAAGCATGGCAAGTAATTTTTCAATGGTCAGGGTGCATCCCTCCTCTGACATAGAGACATAGAGGAACATTCACCCTCTACTTCTCTTTATACTGGGTATCAAGTTTCCTACTCCTACTAGACTCCTCTCCATTCCTCACGGCAGGCGAGCAAGATGTTCCTGCGTCGCAGATGTCTGTGTCAGCGGCACTAGCCATCATGTCCTGCAACGTCACCACCGTGCCGTACTCTCTTAGGCGCGTGCTCACTAACTATTTGTTTTATATGACAAGGCTGGTGGAACTCGCCCTGCTTCCCGATACAGTTACTTCTCAACTTCTTACAAATGGTGGGACTGTCTTTTTCTCTTGTCACCTTCTCGTGGCGTGGTCGCGTGAAGGGGACCTGATATTGGACTGACTTCCGCAGGCCGCACAGGACAACAGTCATACAGAGGAGTATGTGGACAGAATTTCGCTGGTGTTCATGTTAGCCTATGAGAGTCGGAATCGGGAGAGGAGAAACGTTTGAGACTGGTCCAGAGAAGAGAAGAAACTGCTGCTCTTCTACACCGGTGAATGAGCACCTTAGCTCGGTATTATTGCAGCACGTGCGTGGTAGATGGCGATCGCCTGCAAATCCAAGAAGGGATCAGGATGCTCTTTCTTCGATGAGATAGGTCCTGATTGTGGCCAAGAATGGGGAAAGTTCGAGTCTTGAACGTCACCCGCGTCTTACTCTCGCCACTTGACGGCGCCAGTCCGGAAGCCATCAAGCTCTCCTTCTTCGACGCCAGATGGATTCGCTTCCCTCCCCTGCAACTGCTGCTGCTGTTCAGCACCGACCGCCCGATCCCCTCCCTCGTCGACGAGTTCAGGGAGTCCCTCTCCCAGACGCTTTCTCGTTATTATGCCCTCGCCGGGAAGTTCACCGCGGTCGACGGCACCGGCGACCTCGTGATAAGTTTCTCCGGCGACGGAGACAATGGGGTCGATTTCCTTTGGGCAGAGGCGGAGGGGATCCATTTCCAACGGCTCACGGACTACCAGGACTACGACATGGAGGCGTTGTCGTCTCTTGTGCCGGTCTTAGACGCGAGTCAGCTTCCGGGTCCGGTGTTCTCCGCGCAGGTCACGGGTTTTCCTGGGAGAGGAGTGACGATTGGGTTCTCTATGCACCACATGGCGGCCTATGGCAAGACCATATGGCAGTTCCTTGATGCGTGGGCGGCGGAGTGCCGGATGTCTTCCGCCGGGGGGGCATCGAGTCTCCCGGAGCCACCGCATGGCTGATCGGTCATAAGTCACCCTCGATCGGAAGAGATTGCCAGGAGTATTGTGAGAACTTTCGCTCCCAATCTCCCAAGCGTCAGCTCAATGGCTCTCTGTCACCGTGTTTCTTTATATATCCATTTATCTATCTTGCAATCGATGAAACCTGCGCCATGGCTGATTTCCGATATCCGACTCTTCGGTGAATTTCTACGATCCGCATCAGCTGTCACGAGAGCCTTCATCGTCAAGGTGGAGAGCATCGCCCTCCTAGAGGACCGAGGCACCGCCATTCACCCACCCTCCGCGTTCGCCGCCCTCGCCGCCCACATCTGGCTGAGCGTCGTCAGAGCGAAGGGCATCCCTTCTGACGGCCTTATCTGTCCTTTCCTTTTCCAAGTCGACTGCCGCCGTCTCCTTGACCTTCCTCCCATCAAGGACGGCTACTTCGGCAACTGCGTCAAGCCCTGCGTGGCCCTGGCAAAGGCGTCAGAGCTGCTGGCCGGCGGCGATGAGGGCTTTCAGGCGGCCTGCGCAGCGGTGCGGAGAGCGATCTAGGAGGGCACTAGGGAACCGTTGAGTGACCTTGAGCGCTGGACAATTTAGATTCCTATTGCGGGTTTCCCAATCGAGAGACTAGTGATTTTGTCGTGGTCGTTGAGGTTCCGGGCGTACGATGCGGATTTTGGCTGGGAGCGACCTAGGAGAGTGGAGACGTTATCCCTCAACGGGAAAGGGGAGGTGTCACTGTTAGCGGCAAGGGATGAAGAAGGCGGCGTGCAGCTGTCGGTGTCCATCTCACGGCTGTGCATGGATGCCGTCGCCTCCTACTTTGTGGATGGTCCGGAGGCCTGATGTTCCCTCTGTCTTCTCATAGACGGCTGAACCTGTGCGGTGTTTCTCTGTATGAATTTCGTGATGTGTGATCGTGATGGTCACTTAACTATCATTTGTGATAAACTCCGCACAGTATTACGCAGCAAACAATACTCACTGAGGAAATTCAGCTTTACGCAGGAAATAATAGTCACTGAGGAAATTAAGTTCATGTGAAGTTTTAGTGCTCCGGAAATCCTGGACTTGGAGTAGACCGAGACCTAACCCCATGTGTGCAACTGGATAGACGTAGAAAAGCGTCAACTTGGTGTTGTTATTGACCCAACTAACTTGTCGGCCATTTTTACAGCCCAGTAAATAAAGGGATGTTATAATGGAGTTATGGAGGGGATTAAATCGCCTGTCCTTGATAGTAGGGTGAATTTAATCTCCCTCCCTCCCTCTCTCTCTTCGTTTTCCCCTCTACTTTTCCTCTGTACCAGCGGGAGGGACAGGGAGCTGGGATCCTATGAGCTGTAAGAGTTGGGAAGCAATTCAAACTCCTAGAAGATTAGAATAGTACTTGCTGCGACTTAGAAGGCAAGAAGATATTTTTCTTGTACCAATCACAAGATTAGAATATAACATCAAAGTGGACGTTTGTAAAGGAATGAGAAATCACTTAGGAACAGATTGACATACTTAATATTACGAGCCTTGCTTATCGAAAGGTCATTCTTAGGTGCACTACCTATATTCATTGCCACAAAAGTTGCTAATGATGCTTGCTAAATCACTAGGAAAATGGAAAAGCAATGAATGAACAAAAATTATGGGAAATAAATGAGTTGAGGAGAAGAATCAGTCAGCCCATCATGCTACATGATTCATCTACATCAGCTGCTACACCCCAATTAATGTTCCTTTGTTTACAAGAGTTTCTATGCACAAGCATGGCCAGGCATTTTTGCTCAACTTCTTACAGTCTGTGGGCCTAAGTTTTTTCACTTATTACCTTCTGGAAGAGCGTGGTAACGTGAAGGAGAGCTGATATTTAATATGACACTGTCATCCTTGGACCTAATAACACGTTGAATGTTCTACAGAACAGGATGTGGATAGATTTCTGCTGGTGTGCACATGTTACCGAATGAGAATCAGAATTTGGAGAGGAGAAACGTTTGAGATCTCGAGAGAAGAGAGGAATCTGCTGGGAACCTCGTAGACTGGTAAATGGCCACTCCAGGAAAAAGAGCGAAGTCGGCAGCACGTGCGTGGTAGGTGGAATCGGGATACTCTTTCTTCATTGAGGTAAGTCCCTAGTTGTTGCCAAGAATAGGGAGAGTTCAAGTCTTGAACATTACCCGCGCCGTCATCTCATTACTTGACGGCGCCAGTCCCGAATCTGTCAAGCTCTCCTTCTTAGATGTCAGTTGGATTTGGTTCCCTCCCCCAACAATGGCCGTTGTTGTTCAGTACCGACCTCCTGATCCCCTCCCTTGGTGAAGGGTGCAGACATCCCTCCTCCGGATGCTTTCTCGATAATAAGACGCCGGCAAATTCACTTAGGTCAACGGCACATGCGACCTTGTGATAAGTTCCTCCGGCAACGGAGACAATGGGGTTGATTTCCTTTGGGCAGAGGGGGAGGGGATCGATTTTCATCACCTGATGGACGAGCGGCACTACAAATGGAGGTGTTCTTCTCTCTTGTGCTGATATTAGACGCGAGTCAGCTTCCAGCTCCGGTGTTCTCCCCGAAAGTCACGGATTTTCTTGGGAGAGGCGTGGCAGTTGGGTTCTTCGTGCACCACATGGCAGTAGATGGTAAGGTCATATGGGAGTTCGCGGATGCATGGGTGGTGGCAAATCATTGGCAAAGTTAGAGTACATGTACTCATTGGCAAGTTGAAATGTGCAGAAAATCAATGCATCAAACAAATCATGAAAGTGCTAAATTTTATTTGATATGGATTATACAAAAAATTAAATAAATTGTGCATATAAGTTCAGGTATGACCCATTAAAATGTAAAGGAGTGGCCTGCTTAATCACAATGCCATAATGGATACGAATAGAAACAACTGTAAAGATCCAGATCAAAACTTCTCAAGTCAAAAGTAGCCATTGAAGATGGTGGTCCAAGTCTTATGCCCAAATATATAAAAGATTATTTCACCCAAAATTAGGGCAAGTAGAAATTGAAATAAGTAGCTAGAAGTGGAAGACTTAAGAGATAGTTTCTTTCTCTACCTCTCTCTCTTCCAATGACAATGACCCAAGAATCTCTTAATGAAATTGACTTGCAAAGTCATGTGGTCGAAGAAATATTTCAGGCAGCTCATCCATCTTTTGCAGATTGGAAGTCCATTTTTTGTCAAAGATAGTGGTAAATGTTAATTGAGTGGTTCCTTTCATATGTGATAATTATATTATTAGAGTTTGTCAAGCTTTGAGACACGTGGTGTGTTGGCAATGAGATTCATTTCAGAACAATTATAACCTAGGGTGTTATGGGTCAATATAACCTTATAGAGCCATAGCTATATGAAGAATTCTTGATGCCATAGAATCATATGTATTCTAGGGACTAGGATAATGAAAACAAGGTTAAGTTCTACATTGAACAAATGCAAAATGAGTTTGGCCAAACCACTATAAAGCCCACCCCACATTCTATGTATTTCCCTCTTTCAACTTCCTATTTAGATCAATTAAAGAGAGCAACCAAAAATTGTAAAATAAAATATATACAATAAAGGATAGAGATTTTTCTTGAAATATTTAAGTAAAATTAACGAACTAGTTCACCCCCAATTTTGATTTGTCATGCTAGGAAACAAAGGACCAACAAGACAGCCTATCATTCTACATATTACTCATGCTTCTATATCATAAGGCCCAACCTTAGCATCCTCATCAAAGAATAGTATATCATCTACTTATATATATATATCACAAGTAAACTCTTGATCAGGAACTATTACTCTACTGCCTCCTCTTTATAAATAAGAGCATTCTTTGACATCGATTAGACTACTTGTTCTGATACTCAAAAGTCAGTCCTTAGGTTTTGTATTTTCCTTGGAAACTCACAAGTCTCTTGGAAGATAGAGGAACAACGACTAATATCTTTGCCCACACAAATTTGAATATTGTGCATTGGCCACTACTGCTACATAAATTTTTTGGTTACAATAATTCATAATAATTTTTTGCATTAAGGCACCTTTCCCACCACTTTTATTTTGTGACAACCAAGTTGTCGTTCATATTACTTCTAATCCAACTTTTCAAGAGCACACCAAACATATTAAGGTTGATTGTAATTTTATTTGAGATAGACTTGTTCAAAGATTTACTAAACTTCTTCTTTGCTGATCTCAACATAATCTAATTAATCTATTCACCGAACATATCATGACTAGTCAATTATTTCATCTATTGTCTAAAATGAGTGTCAAAAATCTGTACTAATCTTGATGGGGAGTTTTAAGAATCTCATACATGTACCCTTGCATGTCCATAATGTTTAACATATTAGAGGGAGGGGACAGAGAATCAATACAAAAGTCCTTTTTCCCTTTCTCTATAACACTGTAAGTTGGGGCATGGTGCCAACTTTGTGGTGGTTTGTCGACATCCCTAGTTAGGCATAAGCTCTTGAGATAGGAGTTGAGAGGGGGAGGAGAGAGAGTTTGCTTTACGGGCCTAGGATTTATGGTTTAGGTCCAACAGACTCCTCCTGCATCATTTGGGACTTTCTGGATTACTAATTTCATGGTCTAAACTCAACGCAATGGCACCAAGCCGAGTTCCCCTACTAGCTGGGCAGTGTAAGGCTTTGGGCCTCATTAATTCCTATCCAAACAACTTTAATGACCCCCTTATCCTAAGAAAGCTGGGAAAACAAGGGTGTATGTGGGTTTGTGTATTTAAGAGAGAGAGAGAGAGAGAGAGAGAGAGAGAGAGAGAGAGAGAGGGTAATGCGCTTAATGAATAGGTGTAATGGGCTCGGCCTGCATTTTTTGAATGCCTTAATTGCGACAAGCAACAGGCTGGGCCTGCATTCAAGAAAAAGATATAAATACTATAAAATAATACATATAATTGGATTTTAATTATTTTTTTTAAAAATGGATAAATAATCTAATTTTTAGATAAATAAAAAGATTAATATTATTGTTGCTATTATTATTTATCATTTAAGGCCCCGGACAGGTGGGAGCGGGTAGGCCATGAAATCGGTGGCGTAAAGGTGCTTTGCGGACGACCACGACCACCCCGCGCCCTCTGAACTCAAAAGCGAAGAGCGGGGAGTCGGTGGGGGACGTCGACCAGGAAATCGCCGCAACTCGAGGGAAAGAGGAAGGGGAGGGGGAGGACTGGGGAATGGAGGCGGCGCTGGATCTTATGCGGCGGATGCCCCCGAGGCAGGCGGAGACGGCGCTCTCTGCGCTCCTCTCCCTCCTCCCTCACCATGCTGACAATCTCCTCTCCCAAATCGACCAGCCTCTGCAGGTTCCTCTCTCTCTCTCTCTCTCTCTGCATTTTTGTTTCCAACCGAAGTGAGGAGATCTTCGGGAGGCATCGGTGTTTTCTGATCTCTCTGTTTTTGTTTCCTGCCCGGCTTGATTTTTCTTCTTCTATGTTTCGCTGCTTTCGTATTTCCTGTGGCGGCATGGCTCGGACGGATGGAGCAGGCCCTCTTCGACGCGGAGTCAGGCAAGGAGTTTGTACTCTGCGAGTACAACAGAGACGCCGATTCTTACAGGTGAAACCGGTTAACGAGGAGGGAGGGAGAGCTGGATAGATTGATTTGATCTTCGTAGTCACTGATATTCTTTCTCATATTTTTTATGAAATTATTAACGTCTCATCGTCGAAAGTATCTCCCCACTAACACTCCCATTCCGACCTTCTGCTGCCATCCTCACTCGACTATAACTACATCTCTTGTGCTGCCGTTCTATAAGAATCCCATGGGAAGCGGAAATTGAGACGTCGCGTTTGGTTTTCTCAGTCCTTCCGTTGTGTCTTCGATGGGATCTTCCGTCTTTCCTGTATTGCATGCATTATACTGTGTTCTATGGTAGATTTCTCATTAAATTTGTCACACTTTGGTGCAAATGACTGTGTGCCAAGTATTTTCTATTAATTTTTCTTCCTTGTTCAAATATAGATCACCATGGTCGAACAAATACCATCCCCCATTGGAGGACGGACCCCTCCCATCAGATGATCTGAGGAAATTGGAAATCGAAGCCAATGACATCTTTTCAGTCTACCGCGACCAGTAAGTACCTTGACTGTATTTTTCATAAATCTGATCTATCCATCCTTGGCAATTAGTTTCATTCAGAATCTTAATTCACATTTCATTCGCCATCCATGTCGACGTTCTCTGAGGTAGTAACGGGGAAAATTACTGGTAGGTATTATGAAGGTGGTGTTTCTTCTGTGTACATGTGGAAGGATGATAGTGATTGCATTGCCGCCTGCTTTGTGATCAAGAAAGGTTCGCAGTTGTGCCATAAATTTTCTGTGTCAAGGGGCATGTACCTGATTGTCCTGAGACGTGATGTTTTCTTGGTGAATGTGGCTGAAGATGGTTCAAAGTCTGCTCATGGGCGGAGAGGTTACCTACAAGAAGGAGCCTGGGATGCCATTCATGTCATTGAGGTAAGGACAATTCATTACAGCAGTAAAAAGCTTTCTGCTGTTACCCATGGGGTTTCCATTTATTCTACTATTGTAGATTTCTATCAAATGCATTTTTTAACTATCTGTTTACTCAGGTAAGGTCGGAGGTAGATGGAACCGCTCACTACTGCTTAACTAGCACTGTCATGCTATCCATGACAACAGAGAGCAAGTCCTCCGGAACTTTCAGTCTGTCTGGATCGATCAGAAGACAAGTAATTTTGCTTACATTTATAGTTTTTGTTTTTTCTGAATCCTTATCTGCAGTTGCTTCATTTGTTGGAAAACCGCTTCAATTTCAAGCTTCCTCAAACAAGTTGCAAAAACATCTTAAAATGATACAATCTCTGTTTTAGGCGGTAAGAGCTCTTAATTAATCAAATTAACTAGATACTTCTCTTCAACCTCTGCTCTGTCAAGGAAACTCTATGTTCAATTCCCTCATAGCGTCCAGTAATAGGAAACCATATCTGCCTCATAAATTACATAATGCTAGACACCTGACTTTATTTGCAATATTCAACTGAATTTCGTTGTTTTCCATACCAGTCATGTGGATGACCAGATCTTAAACGTGCCCATAATTTATCGCTGTTAGAGGCCATGAATTATCTTTGCTGTATCCCAAAACGACATTGTCTGATATATTCACCTGCCCCGTTTAAACTTTAAAGGGTTGACCTTTCCCACCTGAGATTTTTCCTGAAGAACCATACTGGTGTCTGTGAGATGATCCCCTTCGCCAAGAGACTCCCATAATTCCCTTAAATCCAGGTTTTTCCAAAATAAAAGGCAAATTCCCCATTGATCTTCACTCTCTCACCTTCCAGATGAGTTTGGACCTCCCACTGGAAGATGGGCACGTCTGTAACATGGGGAAAATGATAGAAGAGATGGAGGGTAAGCTGAGAAACTCCCTGGACCAGGTACTTATTTGTTTCCCCTTATCGAATTCCTCCCCTACCCCCATTCTTTCCCTGCTGCTTCAGAAAATATCTCCAACTTTGGTAGGTTTACTTCGGGAAGACAAGGGAGATGATCTGCACCCTGAGGCCTCCCCAGGATGGCATGCTTGCTAGACCTCTACCCCAGCGCTGACTGACCCCTCCCCCTTCTGCCGTGCGGATTCAAATAGATAGATAGCTCACTGCTGACAACCGAATGATCTTGAACACCCCCGGTGAGTTTAGATGGCCTCCCATGGAAGTGTTCATGCAGGGTACTATGTACCAAACTGGGATAATTGAAGGTTTTTGATTGACCAACACTATGTGTATAAAAAATGTTTATTTGAGTGTTTTATTTTGTTGAAGCTAACATATTTAAATGGCGGAGTGACTAGCCTGTGATGAGTGCGTTGTATTAATTAATTTTTTATAATAAAGTGTTATATGATTTCCAGGAGGTTTTAATGATATGCAGGGTTCTATCGATTTCAAAACTCTATTGGGGTGGCTAATTCATTTATTTCCAATTTTTCTGTTTTTTTTCTATAGTTACAACATTATCTTTATGATTTTCCATAGAGTATACGTCTTTAGTTTGCTTTTATGAATCTTAGTTTATTATCATTTATCATATATCATTTTGACGCCCCCATGGCAGGGTTATCTTTCTCCAAGGCTTTTTATTATGTGTGATAAATTCCCAGATAGATAAGACAATAAAAAATTTACAATAATATAATGATTATTCACCAGTATTGTTATGACCCTTCGATGCTTGTTATAAATGTTCTTCCATTCCCATTTTATGCATTGAAACAGGTTTCTATCCAATCGAACATCACATCAACCATATTATCTATTAATTTCAAGTTCAATATGATTCAACCCCCTCGTCATATATGGGCCTAATGATTCCTAGCTTACCTTAGTTCTAAGGTGGAAGAATCTAAATGGAGAATTGACATCAGAGTCTCTCCTGACTGCATGCACCAAGGATCAGAGTCTTTTTTGTCTAACACTGTGATTATGTCAATAAAAAGAGAGGGTCTCAAATCGTCAATAGATCCATTCAATTGATTCATTTGCATTATCTGCTATCTAGCGACAATTTGTGGCACAACTACCAGTAAAGTCAACTCCAACTCCACACCTGCTCATTAATCTTCCACATTCTGATCCTCTCCTGTATAATCTCCTATTGTTTGATCTTCCACAAGCCCAACTAGTCTAGCCCATCCATACTTGGTTGGCAAAAATATTATTTAAAAAATTATAGAATGTAAAATGATGTCACAACCAACTAAATCCAAATTATTGTGAGTTTACTTGCCACTTCTTCTCTAGTACAGGGGAAAATATTGCAATGTACTATGCTTGATATATTTTTTTCCTAAGTTAAACATCAATATCAGGTACATTACATCACAATCTCATATTGTTGTTCAGTGTGAATGTCAACCCAGTAATGTTATTGGGTGGATTATTTACATTTCTCAAAAACTATCCCCAACTTCTTGCTACACTCAACTTTCATTGACAACATATGTAACCAGAAAAATCCCATGATTTTTGTCCACACTTGGTCTTAGCCATCAAGATACCACTATATTCATGCTCAAAATTCATATTGTGTGTGCATTTGATTTCAAGATTCATCCTTTCACGTGGCAAGGCTGTAAGCCATTTCTATTGTTAATTTTTTGTCCCCTAGAACTCTATGGCAAGGAATTCCAACTTTATATTTCTCACAACATTTTTTTTAAGTGTAGAAGCAATCTCATCACTACCTTTGTGACACATGGCTATTATATTCTTTAATTTCATAATATCATTAGCTAATGAATGAGTACAACCATTGGAATAGAGTGAACCTTTAGAGATTAGATTTCTTCCTAAGTGTGATACTTGCTTGATATCTATCAAAGTTCTAATTATTCCATCAAATATCTTGATTTCTACTACTCATATCTCAATGATTCTACACTCAATGTTATTATTCATGAAAACCATACCTCTATCATGAGATATGTAAGGTGTCAAATCAGTTTTTAAAATGTAAAGATGTATTAGGAACAACCAAAATAGATAAATAAAAAGGTTTTAGACACTTCATCAATGATTGCAAGTACATGGCATGTACATACTACATAATCTAATTTTACATACTCAACAAGTACCCTAAGCTCGTCATTTGCTAACAACCAGTACAATTATAAATGTTGTCTTTATGCATTGGTGACGTCTTGGTGCAGATTTGACTATTTTTACATCCATAAACTTGTCTCTTAATTTTATTTATGAATTATCACAATTCTTCTAAGGAATTTCCTTAGCTTCACGATTCGTAATAATATAAAATTCCAATGACTCATACCAAGGTCATCAACATTGGGTTTGATTTCACTTCAGTTGTCGAAATCATCTTCATAATCATCATTATGCATTTAGATTCATAATCATTGATCTTTTTTATGTTTGTCCATATACACTTGCCCAATATTCAGCTACTCACTTTTTCAGGAAATATTTGAAACTATTTGGTCACACATATAACATTTTTGTTTTATAAAAAAAACGTCATGTTCCCCAAAGTGCAGCCATGTAAATGCCATTTTATAAATCCAACCAATTGGCACATATTACCATCCATGGGGAGTACGTTTTAGCCTATCTTTCTCAAAAATGTAAGGTTTTAACTACCTAGACATTTCTTCATAAAATACTATGGATTAAAGCTCTGACTCAAAACTCTATCTGAAATGTCCACCGTTGACTAGTGTATATAAAAGGTTGCGAAGACAAGTGGCAGGCACAAAAGTGAAACAAATAGAGTGGCCATTGGCTGCAAAGATCCCATGCATCACCTCAAGGGAGGCTCTGAGAGAGAGGATAGGCAACTTGACTTAACGTAACCATAGTTCAATTATTTCTCATTGACAGAATGAAGTGCAGCAACTGCAGCAAGTGACAGGACAACGGATGGACCTTCAGAGATTCAACAACTTGCATAGTCCTAAGCTTAATTAACTATACATAATTTCTTTCAACTTTTTAAATTATTTAATAATTCCCTCAAAGCCATCGCAAGGGACACATCAAAAAACTGTTTAATTCTCATGTAGTTTTATCACATTTTCCATCACCCCTCCTTCCCTATCTCTCTCTCTCTCTCTCTCTCTCTCTCTATCTCGCTCCCCGTCCCTAAATCGTCACAACATCCCGCTTTTAAGGATTTCTCCTGTAAATTACCTCACTAAGAATCCAGTGAGAGCGACGAATCCTGAGACTGCGCTAGGCAAATCCAAAATCATAATAGATACATCCTTAGTATCTGCCACTTTCACCCCCGGCAGTAAACCAAAAGCAGATTTTTCCCATCCCTCCAAAAACCTCCCCTCCCTTGATAACTCTGGCACAAAAAAAGCAGCCCTCCTACCACCATTCACATCTACGACCACAGCATACCCCACCGACTAAGCCAACCAAAAGGGGAAGGGAAGACACCATAAAAGGTTGTAAGATATATATATATATATATATCCTATATTTATATGAATAAGTATATACGTAGCGAGAGACAGAGAGAGCGTGGTGATGGGCATACTCACATTAGGTCAGCTGGCGTCGGTGTGGAACTTGAGGCAGATGCCCATGCTGAAGAGCTCCTGGTAAAGCAGCTTGGCACCGTAGGGAACGTCGACCCTGACGATCTCCTCGGAGGAGCGGCAGAAGGGACAGTAGGGGCCGCGCACCATCTTCCTCCCGGCGACCGGGCGCTGCACCACACCCGCTGCGCGCGTGCAGCGCTGGCAGACATGCATCTCCGAGGCGTCGCTGAGCGCGAAGAGCCGTTCGTGCAGGTTCGCGGCGGCGCCGTGGGCCAGCAGGCAGTCCCTCTCCATCTCCCCGAACCTCACCCCGCCGTACCTCTTCCGGTCTGCCACCGGCTGCCGCGTTAGAGGGTGAACTGGCCCCGTGTTCCTGAACTTCACCTTGTCCTCCGCCATGTGCACCAGCCGCTGGTAGAACGTCGGCCCCATGAACACCATGCACCGCATCATCTCTCCCGTCCTCCCGCTGCACACCCTCTCCGCCCCCCACCGCGTGTAACCCGCCCTGCAAACATGGCAGTAACCAGTGAGACAGAAGATCCTCCCGCCGGTGGACTCTGGCGCCGGGGGGGGAACCTACCTGTGCAGCTGCTCGGTGATCTCTTCCACCGAGGGGGCGGCAAAGGGCGTGGCGGACCGCGCGACGGTGGCGTCCGCGCAGGCGGCGACGCCCTTCCCGAGCGCCGCTTCAAGCAGCTGGCCTGGCGTCTGGCGGGTGGGGAAGGCGTGCGGGTTGATGACGACGTCGGGGACTATCCCCTGCCCGGTGAAGGGGAAGTTCTCCTGTGCCTCCAAGAGCCCCACCACGCCCTTCTGCCCGTGCATGCTCGAGAACTTGTCCCCCAGCACCGGCGACCGAACCTGCCGGAGGACGACGGCGGCGAAGTTCTTGCACTCGTCGTTGGCGGAGAGGACGACCCTCTGCACAGACCCTCTCTCCGTGTGCTTCAGCTTGACGGAGTGGTCCGCCCCCGACTCGGCGACCCGGCCGATCACGATGTCGCCGCTCTGCAGGCGGGCGCCGACCCAGGGGAGACCGTCTCCTTCCAGTGAGTCGACGCGGCCGATCTTGCTGTCGATCTTCGCGAAGGCAACCCTGTCCTTCGCCTTCAGACGCCTCGCCGAGAGGAGCTCGATGTTGTCGACAGCGGATTTGTAGCACCGGAAGAGCTCCGTCCGGAACATCCCCCGCTCCAGGGCGGCCCGGTTGAGCACCAGCGAGTCCTCCTGGTTGTAACCCTGGTGGACGTTGACCGCCACGACGGCGTTCTGGCCGTTGTAGAGCTCCGCCTTCCGGAGGCACTCGGAGGTCGTCGTCCTGAAAAGCGGCCTCTGCGGGTAGAAAAGCTGGTACGAGGCGGTGTCGAGTCTCGCCGCCGGGTTGACCGTGGAGACCCCGACGGCTTGCTGAGAGTGCTTCTCCGATTGGTAGAGGACCCTCCGGGCGAAGTCGTGGTTCGCGAAGGGGACGAGGGAGCAGCTCAGGCCCAGCAGGAAGGAGAGGTCAAGCTCGCAGTGGGTGTACTCGGGCGGCGGCGACAAAGCGCCGCCGCCTTCGCTGAAGATGTATTTGATCCCCCACGCGGTCCGGCAGTCCTCCTCCTCCTCAACGCCGACGAGCTCCACGAGCTGCTCGTCGAGGAGAGATTGGAAGGAGAGGCGTCCGCCCCTGAGATTCTTCGCTCTCTGGAGATTACCCGCGATCAGAAGAGGCCGCATGATTCTTCCCGCGTCGGAGAACACCCGCACCTCTTGCTGATGAGGATCCCATTTGATCTCGACCTCCAAAAACCCAAACAAGAGATTTAGCCCAAGAACCGAGGAGGACGAGAAAAGAGCGACAGGCAAAGAAAGCATGAGATAATACAGTCGACCAATCGAATTAATCTCAGTGATTGGACGAAAAACTTTTTTTTTTTTGTTCGTAAGAACTTCCGATTCTCTACTTGGTGGCGAAAACTATCATCCGTATGATGCAGCAATAAAATAGGACAATCAAAATAAATTCAATAACTGCATAAAGAAACCTCATATGCTAATATATTCACAGGTTTATTTTTCGTGAGAACTTCCAGGAGTTTGAGGAGTGTACCTCAATATGGAGGAGTTTTCTTCGCCGGAGGCTTCTAAGGTCAGCGGCAAAGGATCGACCGTCCTGACAGGCACCAACCCAGGTGCCATTTAAGAAAACCTTGTTCATTCCATTTATGGACTGGAGAGGAATTCTTTCCAGTCTCTCCATCCCACATGCTACCAATGATTCTACGATTGATTCCCTACGATGGGTGCTGACAAGTCCAGTGACCGCCAGATTTTTTATGAGTCCACAGTTTTCTCCATCTGGGGTGGACAGGAAGCATAACTTTCCCCAGTGAGATGGGTTCCTGCATAAGTACAACAGACAAAAGTCAACGCCATGTTAAAGATTTTGCATGGCGAAAAGGTCGGGTCCCCATTATCAGTCAAACAGAATTCCAAGCAGGCATGCTCCAAAATCTGTCTACAGGGTCGAAGAGCGGGATGAAACATGTTGGATGTTCTCTTTCGCCGGAAACATAAGCGTAGGGTTCAACCATCTTACTTTAATCTTTCATTTCACGTATGTTTCGAGCCACATGAAAGGAAGTCAAAAGTGATAGACCCGCAATTTCTATGTCTAGATTGTAGAAGGCATATTGCACAAGAACTCTTCAGGATCTGTCACCAGGGAGCCATAAGTGCACATATGCCGATTTATCTCTGTGGTTAGGAGAATTCAGAGATCTCCCAACTTCTTGGTTTATCGTTTGAATAATCCATGGAAAAGAACTGTACCCAGAATGAAACAGAAAATGGGGCCAAAAAGACTGAATATTCACACACCAGAATAAAAAGGAACTGTACGACAGAACAACCAAACAAAAAAAAAAATGACTTTTTTTGGGATAATAGCTGGTAACTGATTTCTTTCAATCAAATCTACGAGATCAGAGAAACCTTCTAGCTGAGGAAGGCAACAAGAGCAAGGAATACTTATTTGAATAACAAGGAGCAAAGAACCGAGAAGCATTGCCATAATTTACTTTCCATTGCAGTTTATAGTGAAATGCTTAAATTGGTTGTAGAATAAAAAACATAAAGAGCGTTGATTTGGGAGAAAATGTATAACATTTAAAAGTGCTTCGGGTTTTTTTTATTGGCATATTAACCCGTATTTTCTTCTCTTATTTTAACCCAGTAGTGATACCTCAAAAGCAATTCTCATTAGGTGTGGTGTCATCAAAGCAGCTTGACCGGAAAATAGTTTAGGAATACTGACAAGTTCCATCTGTTTTCTCTTCCTCTATGACTAGGTCCCTGGCATCTTGGCGGGAGGCATATTATGCTGCGACTATCAGAGAAGCATTCTTCTCGATAATCATATAATACAGCATTGCCAAAACAATAAAAATAGTAACCATTATATCAAAAGCCAAAGCATTCGTTATACAAAACATTTCTTATGTTGTATTTCTGCATCATTCTTCACTGATCCCAACGATCCAGGAAATGAACACACGAAGCCAGTGCAGATTATGCACAAAAAATGAAAAATAAAAGAGAGATGAAGAAAGAAGAAAGAACCGTATCAGATTTTAATAAAATATTAATTTATTACATGAACCAAACATCGGAAGACATGAACGAGCAAATACTACAGAGCGAAGATAAGTAAAATTAACAACTCAAAATAAACATAAAAGTGAACTTTATTTATCTTGTTGTTTGAAAATATGGATCAGAAAATTTGAAGGGAGGATTGGGGAATGTCTCCCTTGAAATTCATCTTATCAAAGATCAGAATCGGAAAATATTCCAACCGAAGTTCATTGTCAGACAAAATATGTAGACTAAGGAGATTCATAACTGCTGATAAAAGGTGATGAAGTACTTGCGAATTTGACACCCTTAAGGTCTGTACCCATGTTCCTATCTAGAAGGCTTACTTTCCCATGATCTCATGGTTTTTTAGATATATTACCCTGTAGCTCAAAAAATTGCATAAATCATCATTCAATTTTTAAAATAACTACGTGCTTTTGAGGCTACAAAAATGTTTGCACTAGTAACAGCAACACAAATCAAAATATACGGAGCAATAGCTACTGACATCTAATTGCACAGTAGTGACTACAGTGATAATTCAATCTTACGGAAATCTGGCATCCCCACTCTTTCCACTATATTGGAATTGCTGACGTGTTTTTCTCAGATCAGATATCATCTGCACAGGATTAACCCTACGAAGATTGGCAATAATTCCTGTGGAGGTTTCCGTTCTTTTGTAAGGATGACTCCATGTGCCAGAGGAAAATACTCTCCCTAAACCGTTGCTGATGATTGATGCATCTACGTAGTACTCAATAACATTTAAATCACGATCTCCATTCAAGTCTCTTTGGATGACCTTGGACATACGCCTTTGAGCGTGTTTAACTCGAATATACAGTTCTCTCGATAGAAGATCGCCAGATAGCTCCAACCTTTTGTTCCTAAAATCGTGCATATTATCACACTTTCTTTTGCCAGACCAGGCAAGCAGCAGGGATTTTACCATGTGTCCCAAAAAAAGAGCCTTATTTATATCCTCATGCATAGCAGGAAATAAATATTTTTTTATGCACTGTTCCATAGTTTCACTTGGCGGAAACTTGGTGTTTCTGACCAAGTCATTAACAAACTCCACTGCTCTTTCTCTATCACGAAAACCAGAAAATTGCTCATCTGCATCTTTGATTGTTTCTAATAATATATTAACTAGCCTGGAATCAGACTCATCAATGTTAATCATTTGATGAACCTCTCTATCAGATGATGCACCAAGAGCAAAAAATAATAACCATACTGGCATTGTCGCATACAGAAAGCAGACAGTGACAACTTTCTTTGCAGTTAACCCAATAGCCTTTGAGTCTCCCCTGAACTTTACATAGACTCTCTTCTTCTTAGCCTGGGATTGGTACTGCACAGCCCATGACGGCTTATCAGTTGTCCAGAGTCTTGATAAACAACGGTGTTCTTGAGCTATGAACACCTATGGAGAGAAAAATAAAAGTACTTGAAGAATGGCCATTCGCAACAGTGTCATAATTGAGAAGAGATGTATGATTTTATTAAAAGTGAAAGACAAGAGAAGAAGATGAAAAACAGAGAGACATGGTAAACTAGACGGTAACACTAGACCAGGTTAAAGTGTAACCAGACTAGTATCATGTAACAGGTCCCTCTTTAGAGAATAAATTGACCTAGACAATAAAAAAAAATTCAAATAAGACTGAAACTGGCTAAATCGTGAAAAACGATCTCTGAAAGAACTGGAAAGCCTGCATGAAATGATGGTTTCCGGCAACCTTTTCTTCAGTGGACTGCTCTGTAATCATTGAATAATAATTTCGACATGCTTTCTCTAATTCGATATGACATCTAGATTCATTAAATTGTACTTTCATTGCACAACTCATTTTACCCATAATTATAATTTACACGTAGACCTATCAGTAAAAATCTAAGATGTTATACAGATCATTTAGGTTATAGAGTTGTGATCAAAGGTTCAGCAGCTGGGAAAAATAGATAGTCACAGTGCTAAAAAAGTGTGTCGTGATAGAAAATAACAGTAATATATATACTTATATATATATATATAATATCCATTTCGGTGAATAATAAATACATTTTCTTGTTTGCTTTATGAATGCTATCATATTCCCTAGCCTTCAACTTCATCGCCTGATCTCTCCCCCATTTCATGATATCGACTGCTGCTGATTCCGTGCATCTGACCTTCCAGTCAGAGGACTGACCGTATATCTCAAAAAATCCCCATAAGTATATAAAAGCAGCAACTACACAGTAAAAAAGGATCGATTAACACTTTTTACTTGGGGATGGATGAGATTAGTTTTGCGAGACACACCTTGCATATAGCTGATTTTAAGAGAAAATAGCAAATATCAATTCAAATAATGGCTGGCCAAACAAATAGGCATCCTCTATGAGTAGTCACAGTTAGTTTATGTTTATAGTTAGGTCGCTAGCAAGGTGCCTTGCTTTCAAAACAAGATTTAGAATCATAGGAAGCATGGAAACTTCCTTTAAGGCAGTAACTTATGATGTGTTAAGGGCGGACCAGAATAGGAAATACGGATGTAAGGCTGGTGAGAGCTTAGAGATAAGTATAACCAAAAACAATAGATCTTCAATACCGAGTTAGATTAGAGATCACGAATAGGATTGACAACGATTATGCCTTCAAGCTCGTCTGCAGAGACCTATGGGATTTACAGATCAAACGACCCACCAACTACCCTCCTCTTGACGATGTAGAGATCCAAACAACCTATGGGACGCTAGGAATCGAGCAAGACAAAAGAACCCACAGTTTCACTCTTTGGGGCCCGAAATTCACATCAGAGGACCCTTCACGGCCCTCTTGGAGAAAGAACTAAGAGCAAAAATTTTCATTCAAAAGATAGTCCCTTGACATCAAGTTTAGCCACTTATTTATACATGGAATACGAGGCCTTTGAAGGGGACTACAAATCCTAACAGCTCCCTTAAACTAATAAGCCAGAATTTTGGCTTTAAATTCTACCTAAAGGCAGGGAAAATGCTTGGGATACACTAGTCTTAAATAGACCTTAACAATCTTAGATATAGCCAAGATAAACTTGGGCTCAGTGACCGACGGAAATGAGCAAAAATGTTCCTGTTATATTATTCACCAAGTCCAGTCATACGCTTCCTTTAACTGTAGATCTTGACGAATGCATGATTGACTGCAAGTCCTCATCACTGATGGTCTTCTGGAACAGCACAACTGGTATACTTCCATTAATTTTTAATTATTGATTGTCATCCAATTCCTGTCAGAGGTTTGTGAAGAAAGAACTGGCCGTGACTGTTAAATAAGGAAAACTCACTAAAAATGAATTGATCGGATGCACGGACAGACGAGAATGTTTTGGATAACTTAAAGGTACAAGCGGCCAATTTCGAAACAAAGATTTCTTAACGATCTAACCCTTGTCACCTGGCAAGGCTCTGACAGAAATATACGATGCACTTACAGAGATAAAAATAAAATAACACGGACACTCATACTTGTTCAAAAAACAAAAACAAAAAAAGAATCTTGTCATGTGTGTGCATCTGCAATACAAAAATTTAAACATTATATGATAATTAGGGCAATTGAAATAAAGAGGATTATTTAGGCACTGGTATTATGAGTTTGGAATATAGGCATGGATCCATGAAAATAACGATTGATACGTGGACACAATACAAAGGGGACTAGATTCACCTTTTCTATTCCTTTAATCAGAAAGTATCCGCCTGCATCAAAGTCGCAATCACTTTTTCCAAGTTTATAAAGCCAGCAAAGTTTTGATTTCACCATCACAGGTACTCTCCCCATCACTATCTCTCTCGTATCTTCATTCAGCACCTTATCGTTGATATATTGTTGTTTACCCGTCTTGAATTTGTCACTTTTGACAAGCTCTTTAGTATATACCTGAAATTTCGACAAAAATGAAGAGTCATAAACATTCAATGCACCACATTTGGAAAATGCTCGATGATAGAAAGTTCATGAAAGAATTATGACGATTTTTTTTCAGAAAGTTACTGTGATAGGAAACCAGAGGACACAGTTGTGGTTTCATTCAGGACGGTACAGTTGAGTTGTTTACTCATCAGACTAGTTAAACATACATTTAAAATGAGTCTCAAAAGTTGACATTTCATTGACTATTAAATCTTCAAGTCAGCAAGAGTTACTGCATCTCCACAAAATTCAAGTACTACGGCACCTGAGTTGTTGCCGCCAACAATAAATTTTAGATGGAAAATAAGCAAAACCCAGGACTGTAGCCAGCACATTAACTGTAACACGTCAAAACAGATATGGTTGATTTATTGGAGACACACTTTAAATGAAAAAAATCAGAGATATCATGCTCTGATCTGTAAATCGAGCCGATGGGCGTCAGTTCCACTCAGAATCACATAACATGTTACTGATGGGAAGATACTCAGCAAGTTAAAAAATAGGAAAAAAACGTAATATTTATGAGCAAAATGCGAGTATCATGGCCGTCAATTTACCAGATACACGTGATGATCATAATAAGAACTAAGATGGTATTTAATAAAATTGCTTAAGTTCCCAATATAACTCAGAATGGATCAGCAGATATCACAGTCCATGTGCCATAAAATATTTTATTCTTTCCCAGAAAGAATATTATAAGTCATACATGATGAACAACAAATGAAGATATGTCCATTGTTAGGAAGTAGATGGTACGAAGTTTTTCCAGAAAACCCAATGAAGAATGAATAAATCTATGTTTAAGCATTAAAAAGAATGATTTTCTTAGGGTGCTACAGCTTGATTTACGCTTTATGTTTGTACCTAAATGCATTTCACTCGAGGTTATAGAGCCATGAGAAAAGAAGATAATTCTCAGACCAGAAATAGTTTAAACAGTATCCATAAAACAGACACAAACAAGTCTTCCAATCTTCAAAATTCTGAAATAAAGAATTCTCCATACAGGACATAGCGATAGTAAAACATAAAAACCCTAGTCCCTCAATCCTGTGGCATTTATCATCAAAGGTGTCACAAAAATGTATGTGGTTTTCCTTTGAATTAATTTGTCCGTGAAAAACCCTTCATCTGCTAGTCAACAGAGGTACTTCACCAGACAGAGAAGCTCAAATGAAAAATAGAGATCGAAGAAAAATGAACACATACTGAGTAATGTTAATGTTTTCTGCACGAATAAACTCATCCGGTTACCTTGACATTTACTTCCACAAACATTCTGGCCGAGTATGTCATATTTTGAAGCCGAGCATGCTTTGGCAGCAACTTCAGAGGCTCATCACTGCTATTATGCCTTTCCGTCCAGAATGTAGGAGACTCCAGCCTAACTTTTCCGAATGTGATTCTCGCATGGCGCCAGCCACTGGAACCTTTCTTGGAGGGATCATATTCGGGGTCCACATTGACTTCACCAAGTGAATCAAATATCTTCTGTAAACCATTATCAACGAAATCATTATATGAGTTGATCTGATGACTGATCAAGCCAAAGTCATTAAAGAAGGCATGGGCTGCCTCCTTACAGAACCTATGAAGGTAATTCTCCCCCAAATCTTTGCTGGATAGATTTTCACTCCTGAAGCTGAAAACATCTGTGTCTCCAGTGCCCTTCATCAATGAATCAGTGTGCTTCGTGACACCCTCTATGATATCTTCTGCATTCAGCATCTCGTCCTCAATCTTTCCCATGCTATTTAAGCTCGGACCATCATCCACACGTTCAGCTTTATCCATTACAACTGAAGAATACAATAAAAATCAGAGGATCTCATTGGGTGACAAAAGTAACGACAAGTTGGACGACTTGAGCCCACGGGAACAGCATAAACCCTGAAATATCAATGGACCGTATGAATGATAGTCCCGACTCCACGTTAATTTTTAGACGTTGAACCCAGGGAAATTTGAAACTGAAGCCGTCACTGCACATTCACCGGACAGCTAGCCATTTACCGTGCGTAAACCAGAGAAAGAAAGGAAGCCAGTATCGGTGGAAAGACTACGGAGAAAAAAATGACCCAGTGCACTGGGAACTACTTTAAAAGAAAGCTACGTTACAGCAATGGCTTCAAAGGAAAGGAGACATGTGCACCAGGTTCAATATCCACAGAACCCTCCGAAAAAACAAAGGTACTGGTTAAATGATGGTATTGGATAAAGGTGAAAACGAAAATTTAGAGATGAGGGAGAATTCTTTCCTGCTGAGAAAAACAGATATATAGAGCATTGCATGCAAAGAACACAGCCCGATGTCCAGGCGGAGAAAACATCGAAGGCCACACTTAACGCAAAAGCATGAACAGATGTATAGAACGCGAAAAAGTCGAGAAGCGGGAATCCCGAGAGCACGAGTTTATCTGAGGAAGTCATTTCGATAATAGAAGAGAGATTTCCCAAAAGCTACAAACAAACATCTCGAAGGAATGGATCAGAGCAAACGTGTCATGAAAAATAATAATAAGCTACCATCCAGCTTTGCATGCAAAACGCAATGCCCCTGCATTTACACCAAAACAATACCCTACGATAGACCTCAACACCGAAGCATCAACAGATGCGCAGAAGGAGCGCAAACAACGCACTAGACAAGGTGAGGTTGTAGACCAGTTGTGATTCGAAAGTCCTTCCAAAGAAGAGCTCGGACTTCCCCAAACTCCCGTCCCCCAACGCTGTTGAACGCGCAGAAGACGAATCGAGCGCGGGTGGAGCGCACGGCACCACGAAGAAAAACCTCGACGGGATCGGTGATGGCAGAGAGACGGCCTGAAGCAGAGATCAAGCAGAACGAGGGAAACACCGGACCTCTCTCTCCCCCTCCAACCCCCACACCCCCTCTCAGAGGAACTCAGGAGAAAGGACACTGCCTCGCTTCCGTCTCCCTCCCTTTCCCCGCGCAAGACAGACCCTCTCAAAAATACCCGTCCACTCATGTTCAGACACGTGTAATTGGCCTGTATGTCACTGTTATTAAAACCCCATGTCCGTAAACTCAGACCCCATTGAGGGGGAGAGGACTTCGACCGATTAGAGCGGGTGGCTGTCCCCATGGCGCGATCTTCTCGGAACGACGGGGTAAGAATATCACATTCTCCACACCCTTTTCCAGACACTAATGGGCTTTTCCTATGTCCGGCCCCCTAAGGCCCAACAAGCATAGTCCGTTCCGTCCTAGTGGGCTCACGTTTCAGCTACTTCGGTGAAAACCGATTCCGGAGATTTGGGCTCCACCAAGGGGGGTGGGACCCATTTCTCTCTTGGGCCCAGCCCAAATCCCTCCCCTTCTTCTTCTCGGTCCAAACCCTACGCTTTACGCTTTACTCTCTGTCTCTGTCAACACCACCACCGAGACAGATCCATTCGGCGGCCAAGTTTATTTAGGAAAATAAAACCCCTAGCCCTCTATTCTTTTTTTTCCCCCAAATTTATAGGGATATAAATGATATACGCTGAATCTTAGAGTCTTTGCGTATATCATTAAATGCGCCTTTCCCCGCCCCCCCTTATTAATCTAGGAACATAGCACCATCGAATCGCCTTTTTAAAAAAATATTTTTTCGGATTAAATAAATACGAAACGCACACAAAAAATGATTGTAATTACATATAATTAGATAGCCTTTGTGGGGAGGTGCAGCGAGTTACAGAGGAGCATTAAACGGCATTAGATCTAGTAAAATAGGTATAATAAATATTATATGAAATTACTGGACATTTTAAGATATTAAAAGGGTGACTCGACAAAATAATTTGAAGCAACAGAGGCACCGAGACTTCACATCACGAGTTGTGAAGAAATCCGGGTTCGCTTTATTTACAGGGAGGGCCACTTCCCTGCTGACAGAGACCACCAATAGCACAGTTACACGTCACACAGAAGAAAATGAGGGAGTCGACGCGGCAGATGCCTGCCTGCGGGAGCTGAGTTCAAGGGGGGGGTTCGCCTACGGCGGCACATCCACCGCCGCCGCCGCCGCGGCGCCGTCCTCGGCGGCGTTCTTCAGGTCGCCCCCCAGCAGAGACATGAGCCCCCCGCCGTGCACGCGCCCCTCGGGCAGGGCGAAGCCCGAGCCACCCGCCCCGGTCTGCCGGGAGGGTAAGGAGGATTTCATCGACGGTGGAACCAGCACCTGCGGCGGAATCAAAAGCTGCTGCTGCTGGTGCCGCCGGTGGGCCGACTCGGCGCAATCGGAGAGGGCGCTCGCCGCAGAGGAGTAGTCGTTGTCGGCGCTGCTCCCCCCGGTGGTCATCGAAGCCGAGACCAGCCCGCGGAAGAGCCCTGGCCCGATCATGCCGCCGTCGCCAGCGCTCCTCGCCGCCGCCATCATGTTCCCGTGGGCGGCGCAGAGGCCGCTCCTCCCGCGGGCGAACTTGTCGCAGCCCTGCGCCCAGTTGCACCTCTTTCCCCCCCCGTGGGCCTTGCAGAAGTCGGTGCTCCCCTGGGCGCTCTTCTCGCAGGCCTCAAACTTGCAGCGCTTCCCCCCGCCGTGCCGCACGCAGCAGTCGGTGCGGCCGCGGGCGCTCTTGGTGCATCCCGGCACCGCGCAGCGCTTCCCGCCGCCGTGCGCCACGCAGTAGTCGGTCCCGCCGTGGACGCTCTTCGGGCACACGCCGCCGCCTTCGTGGAGGCAGCGCTTCCCCCCGCCGTGGCTCTTGCAGAGCGGGGTGCTGCCCTCGGCCCCCTTCGTGCAGCCCTCGAACATGCACCTCTTCCCGCCGCCGTGCCGCTTGCAGTAGACGGTGCTCCCCTGCGCCCCCTTGCAGCAGCCAGGGAATTGGCAGCGGCGGCCTCCGCCGTGGGAGATGCAGAGGCCCGCCTGGCCCTCCGCGCTCCTGGTGCAGCCCTCCACGGTGCACCTCTTCCCGCCGCCGTGCTTGATACAGAGCCCCGACCTGCCCCGCGCCGCCTTGGTGCAGCCCTGGTGCCCGCAGCGCCGCCCGCCGCCGTGGGCGATGCAGTAGTCCGTCTTCCCCTCCGCGCTCTTGGTGCACCCCAGCTCCTCGCACCGCCTCCCGCCGCCGTGGGCCTTGCAGTAGGCCGTCCTGCTCTCGGCACCCTTGTTGCACCCGGGCTTCTGGCACCTCTGCCCGCCGCCGTGGGCGATGCACAGCCCGGAAGCTCCCCTCGCCCCCTTGGAGCACTCCTTCACGCTGCACTTCTTCGGGTGATGGTGATTGTGGTGGTGAAGCTGGCTCCGCTGGGCGGCGGTCATAGCAGCGCTCGGGGCTTCGCCGGCGATGCCCAGGGAAGAATCGGTCGTGGCAGATATCTCCGGACTGGAATGAACTGTGGAATCAGAGTAATTCTCGGTCACTATCAGACCAGCTTCACGGCCGGGCGGCTCCGAATTGGGGGCCAGCAGCAGAGACGGCATGTACCCGCCGGAGTTCCTCTTCGCCGAGGTCGAGCACTCGTCGAGGACGGCGCCGCCGCCGGCATGGGTGGGGTTATGGAGGCTCTCCCCCGCGGCCGTGCTCAGATCGGAATGGCGGCCGCTCCCCGAGAGCAGCCCGAGCCTCAGCATCCCTGAATCAGCAAACTCCGAATTCAAACTCCGGCTCTGCGCGGCGGCGCCGCCCTCCTTCACCTTCATAGTGCCACCGCCTAAGGAGAAGCCGTTCCTCAGATAGGAGCTTGGCGGCGGGCCAAGGCCGAGGACCAGCCTGCAGCGGTCTTCCTCAACGGAGAGGTCTTCCGACATCGTCGGCGCCGCCGCTCCATAGCCGAAACAGTCCAGGCGGAGCCCCGCGTCGCCCCGGTGATCATGCCTCAGAGAATCAGCGCTCTTGCAGAACAGGAGGTTGTCCATGTTCAGATCCATGGATCCGGAAGAACCGGAGGAACGGGAAGAGGACGACTCTCTTGACGACCTAGAAATTCGTTTCCAGAGGAACTCCGTCTTGTAGATCCACACGAGCAGGCCGGAGAGCAGAACGGATCTTCTGAGCAACGGCGGACCCTCCACTGACGAAACCAGAGGTATCAGCTCTGTCCATGGCGCGATCTCAATCGACGGACGGGGTATCTGATCACGTTCCTCGGATAGAACCCTTTCGGAGTAATCAGAAGGGAGACGAGGGGCATCAACCCTGCAAGAAGAAGATGATGATGTTCACGGTGAGAACGAAGATGAAGAGCATCAACTATCAGAGTTAAAACCCTAAATCATATTCTTATATATTCTTTGATCGACTGACTGCGTCTGAATATAAAAAATAAATGAAGCCATGAGATGATACCGAACATTCGGGTGTAAATCACGCCTGGATGGAGAATTACGGGATGAATATCCATCAACTGGGCAAAAATCATCAATTATCCCGCTTAAAAACACCCACGCAGGAATCAAACACCGTGAGGAAAAAAAACAACCAAGAACAGAGGGAGAATTATCTAATACTAGATATGAAAGAACACAAAATCCCAACAGCTGATACTCCAAGAACAGGGAAAACATCAACTGTTTTTTCAAAAAAGGAAGTAACAATCGAAATTGAGTTCGTCGGACGAAAAACAAGGGCAATATGGACAAGAATCTGATACGAAATTGAGTTCCTCGGACGAAAAACAAGGGCAACAATCGAAACCTACAAAGGTCAAAAGAACAGGTTCTGAGATTTCCTCAGATTCGGAATACCGGTCGATGGCCTCGATCCGAAGGGCAAGGTTTCTCGAGGAAATTGAGGACTTCCTGGCCATCGAAACCTCCGGCCATGCAAACAGAAGAAAATAAGAACCCTAAACAACAAAGTAATCGGAGAAGAAAAATCTCCAATAAGAACCGACAGGCACGGAAGGGATTCATCTAGGGCGAGACGAGAAAACCACTGCAGAGCTCGCCAAGCTCCTTCGCCTACCGACTGGTCAAAACCCACGAGAGTCCTGGTTCTAGGAGATGAATACGGGAGGGAAAACCATACCTGCAAAAGGTAGAATTCAACAGAATCAGACCGTCGCCTCAAGCCAACAGAGAAAACCCACCGGGATCTGAGAACCCTTCGCAGCCGCCTCGAGCAACCACGCCATGCGGCACCTCCAGCAGAGAACCAAGGAACTCGAACCAGCCGACCTTATATTTGGAGATAGATAGAGAGTAAGAGAGAGAGAGAGAGAGAGAGAGGAATCAGACAAGGGAGCCTACGAGACGTAGAGAGAGAGAAAGGACAGGGGGGGGAGAAATCAGAATAAAAAGGCAAATCAGAGGAAAGTGAAACTGCGGAGGAGAGACGAGGGTAAAAGGGTGAGATCGAGAGGGGAGGCGCCGCTCGCTCAGTGGCCGATTTCTTCTCCACTCTTTCTTCCTCGCACCACCACCGCTCACCTTTCTTCCATTATTAGGGTTTTGATGCCCCCCGGGTAAAGGGAGGGGGGTTGCGGCGTGGAGAGCTGACGGCGGGTCCTGACGAGCTGGCACACGTCGCCATCGCCCCCAATCGGCTGCCAAGCGGCGGCTGGCTTCGGCTCAGGAGGCAGCCGGCTGCGCCGCCAGTTGTATCTATACGATCATCGTCTCTCGCCGAAAGCCCACCAGTCTCGTCGCAGAGCCCATCGTGAGATCATCTCACAGCCTGCTTCTCTCTCCAACACCAGACTACTCGAGGTTTCGTTGACTTTTTGTGAAGTTTTCAACATCCTGAGTTGGGGCAATTCTCTTCTATTCTTCTTTTGACCGGCGATTGTCGCCAAAAAACTTTCCTTTATGCCCAATGGAAGAAATAATACGATCAATCAAGATCCCAATTGGGCTAAACTTGGCCCGATTGAAATGAATGCGTATTAACCCTGCATACGACGGCGCCCTATCGCAGTCAGAACAATGACCCCTCGATTTATGTCAAACAGAGTTTCTTTTATCGAAGGCGGTCGATTAATATAAATAATATATCGTGAGCCCATAAAAAAGTGACGGTAAAAAATAAAATTCATTGACTGGATCATGACGTCAGCGTCGCTTTCATAACACGCGCGCCCACATGATTATTGTGAAGCCCGGGCTTCTGCGCGTGGTTTGCTTAACTGGGAGAAGAAATTGGTGGTCAACGGTGCCCATAAAAGGAAAATAATGTCTCCGGCGGAAGTTGGGAAGTTATGCTTTCCGCACGAGGGAAACTGTGCTTTGGCTTCCTACCGGTCACCACATTTTCAGGAGCCAGCCTCCTACCCCTATTGGGGCAGCGGCGGCGGCGGCGGCGGCAGCCGACTTTGTGCACCATCTAACGCCGTCACCTCACGCCTCCATGATTGCCGTCGGCGACGTTTCCCCTCGACGGCGACTCCTCGGCGGCGGACCCCACCGCGGAAAATGAACCCCGGCAGACCGCCGCAGCGCAGAGTAAACCACTTGACAAACCAAAAAAAAAAAAAACCACTGGACAATAAATTATAAATTATAGAGAGAGAGAGAGAGGAGGTTTTTAGTGAATTAAATGGAAAGTAATGATATCATGACATTAACTTAAATAAAAAAATTGAGTTCACCGTCAAGTCCGCGTCGCCTTGGCGTGCGGCACACGGAGTTCGTCGCTCTCCGTCGCCGTGGCTGGTCGAAAGCGCTGACGGCGACGGCGAGCTGCGCCGTCACAGAGCGGACAAATTCGCCGTCTGGCCATCTCAACTTGCTTGTGTACGATTGGGCGGTCAGACTGCTGAAAAGTATCTGGACCCACTCACAATAAGACAAACGACTGGAGAAGTGAGAATCGCGGAGTCGCCAAACTGATCTGAACCCTTCATGGAAGATCCTGCGGTGATGAGGGGGATCTGTAGATCGGCCCCAGGCTGGCGCAGAGATATCTCTCCTGACTTGGCCCATGAATCTTCTTATTCGAATATCGAGGTGGCGTGGCCACATCCCTCTCCACACGTTGCCGCAAAAAAGACGCGGCTCTTTTTTGCCCTCTCTCGAACAGCCGCGCGGACGAGCCGAGCCGAGCCGAGCACGAGCGAACATAAAGGGCAGGCTAGGGGGCCATTTGATACGTGTTAGACGGTCATTGGATACTTCGCGCACTTAAATCTCATCCGCATGTTCGTTTGGGGGGGACTGTCACTCCTCCATCCCCACCTGTGCTTCGTGCAACAAAAAAAAGCAATCTCAAATAGAATGGTGACACGTGCACGGGCCCCACCAACCAACCGCCGAAACAGGCCCCGGTTTCCGAAATGATGCCCGCAGAGTTTTCCTGTCGAATCGGACAAGCCTCGCTTCCGACACGAGACATTGACCATCATCAACGACCCGCGCGTGGCTTCTAATCCTCAAGATTCCTCCCCGGCCCACTTGCTCTGTTCTATCAGGACGGCGAGGGGCGGCCGCCGCGCCACCTGCCGAGGCTTTCAGATCAGCCGGTTTATTGCGCGCGGGATGGGGATAATCCTAGGTTACGCCATAAACTTAATTAAGATATTGATTAATTGGTGTCGGCCGCATTCTCATCAGCTTTTTATTTTACACGTGTCATTTTCAGACATTTCGTGTTCTTACTAATCAAACGAAGGAGGCTGAGGGGTTGACCTTGTTGATCTTGTTGATGGCTGACTAGATGCGCAGCTCATAGGAGGAAAGACTTTAATGTGGTTGACATTAATCCCGGAAGATCAACGCACCGCGGACCACAGCTCAGATGAACGGTGGAGATTTCCGGGTCTACGATGGGGCCCACCAAGAACATTTTGACGGCGCAAGATGGGTGCTATTCTGACCACTTGGGGTGGGGGGAAATTAATATCAAGGTCCACATCAATCAGACATTTATTACTGTTATTATTTAATTAACACTCCATACATTTCTCAATTAAGTCCCTGTATTTCCGTGCAATAATTGCAGCTGCCATGATATCAAAGTTCTGATATTAGTTAGCCTTTGTGCCAGCCGTAGCAGCATGGTCAAACTCGGTCAGCGAACAAATTGTGGTTAAAATGACAGGAATACCCTCATCCAAAACTCCCCGCCCACCCAATAATCCGTGGTCAACCCGCATCGAATAATAAAAAATTATCGATAAATTATTTGGTTTTTTTTCTAATTTTTAACATATATATTTATAAACTATAAAAAGGGGGATATTACCAAAAGAAGGAAGAATCAGCCTCACTCATCATTCCCACTGGACGACGGTGGATTCCTCAGCCACCGCCCAGCAGTCCCCCCCGGTCTTATCTTTGGACGATCGTCGGAAGCAGTTCTGTGGAAGGCAGAAAAATAATTCGCCATCTCAGGAATGAATTATCAGAACGCTAAAGGCAAGATAATTCATTTTATACAAAAATCTTTTTTTTTAAAAAAAATATCCCCTGCAAGATCAATTGAGGTTCATTTTTTCTGGTACGATGTAAGATTATAAGCTTTCAATATTTATTAATAATTTTAAGACGAGGGGGGATCGATCATTACACTATTTTATTTTATTTTCAATTTAACATTCCTCATTAATCCGATATCTCTAACGTGGAATTTTAGAAATTGTGATTTTTTTAATATTTTCCAGATTATATTCCAGGATGAACTCTAGAGAATGGATTGTGGTCCAGTTTTCCAAAATCTAGATCTCCAGCGCTGTTGATGATATTACATTTATTCATAATCAAGATTAAACATCCCCAGTTTAGACTTTTCCTTGTGGGATGCAATTCATATCATAAAATCATGGGTGAGAACAGAATAAGAGGATTTCTTTGATAGCTGACACGGTCAAATAATTAAATAAATAAATAATTTAAAATTTTAAAATGGAAATATCCAGGATGTTGAATCAAGATACCTTGGAGCATGTGTAAATGATGACCGTCATCCAGCTCCAATCCCCCAGGGAGCAGGGGGATCGACCGTCAGCAGCTTGCTGTAGAAAAAACAGCAATGGAGGCATCAACTGCATCTCATAGTGCCTCTGTGCCCCACAGATCTCACAGCTGCTGGGCTCTTCCAGGCCTTTTGCGGCCACGAGCGGCCTACCCCCCAGAGAGTACCTAAATAGTAAGAGAGAAGACCAAGCGCGTGGGTCATGTTCTATAGTCAGATTTTTCCAGATTAAGCCGGACAAAGAAAACAGATAAATAAATATAAAAACATAGGATCTTAGCTTTTATAAAATCTTGACGAAGGGAGAACATATACATCGAAGTCAACTCTGAAGACATTGGTTTAATCAATCTCCAAGAAAATAGATAATTAAATAGCATACAGATTCAGGATCAAGAAAAAATAAACAGAAAAAGTAATTTAAAGATAAATGGAACCTTAGTTCGTCTATAATTCGGAATAGATCCCAAACTATGATGGAAATGCATGTTCAGAGATTGCCTGGTGGTATATAAAATCCCAGGCTCCATCATACCTGATGCATTGCTCTGGATGCGCCTCTAATCTTTTCTTGAATTTGAGGTAAGTCCTGTCAGCTCCTAGCGCTCTGTCATACTCATAACTCTCTGCTTCCCACCTCTCTTCATCAGGGAAATCAGCAGGAAGGCTTGGGCTATCTTTGATGGAAAGAGAGGAGCACTGCTGATGTATGTTGTTGATCCTATCTGAGAACTTCTCTTCCTCCTCGTAGAGATAAAAGCATGGAAGCACTGCAAGATAAACAAAAAGTACGCCTATATGGTGCATTTTTTCATATATTTTGGGACAAAAAATGATCATCTCGGCATCTGATTCGTTGAAAGATATTCCAGTATCTGTAATCCATGGCAGGAAAACAGAAGGTAAAAAGAAAACGAAGATTGGAGTTTTACCATGAATGCTGGAATCATTGCATATGGGCTTCATTTTTGGGACAACCTCTGAAAATATTGGTTCATTCTGCTTCTTGGTGCAATGAACGAGAGAAGAAGCTTCTGATATTGCTTGACTCAACTTCATCAGATCCATCTCCTCGTCACTTGCATCACCAGTTGCCCACCAGTCGTTGACACTTGAAGAAGTAGAGGTCAACTGTTCATCTGGCAACTTCCCATCCTGTATTCTGGCTCTTGATTGACTTTCACTTCTAGCTTTCTGAACCCGAAGAGTTCTCCATCTGCAAACATTTCTAGTCAGACACTTGCTGATAAAAAAGGGCAAAAAATTCCTTTAATGGTGCTCTTCTTTCTATTTCTGACAAAACAATGGACAATAATAGAACAGTAAATAGCCCAAAAAATAAGCGAGTAAATAGGACAAGAAATAAGGCATGACTGAGGAGAAAAAATGTCCTACATCAGGTTTAGAAACCTTCTTAGTTCATCTGATAGAAAACACGGGAGCAGACACCATTAATTGAAAAAAAGACAACATACCCATCACAGCTGCTCGCACACTTTGGTCTTGGGCAGCCAAGAACATAAATAGTACGGTCTTCAACCTTAGAACTACCAGATGAAATTGGAGAATAAACCTACATAGGGCAGGGAAAAAGAAAAGATAATTAAGAAAACTGTAGTCATAATACACCGGTCAAGGAGGCTAGAGAACAATGAACGGAACCATGCCTGTGCCACAAGGTAGAGCCTTTCACCACATAACCTGCACTTGACCATGTCCGGATTGATATCCAGAGTCGGCCAGTCCTGGAAGCAAAAAGAAGACCAATAAATAGCTTAGCATGGTAAACATCAAATAAATAACGGGAAGCCTCGACATTGTCGAGCTTCAAGACTCTCATGGGCATTCCACGATCAACTTACGGGCACCCCGCCTATCTTCGTCGTGTAATGGTCAGCCACTTCATGATTATCCTCAGCCCACGGACCAGGCATGCCCAGGACCACTCTCCCCGTCTCTCTCATCCTCGAGCTCGGGGATATCTTCAAGAGATGCGGCATCAGCCAGAAAAATCCTCGCCGATTAGAAACTCAGAATGAATGAGAAATCACTGGAAGAAGGTTAAAATCCGGCCAATCACGGGAAGTCGTCGTCAATGGGCAGATGAATGGGTGAGAAAGAACATAAACAAATCCCGTTCCAATGCGACAGCCAGGGGCTCCGGGGGAAAGCCAATTGCTACAGAATTCGAATTTTCCGAGACAGGTCCAGAAGACCCTATAAAACCTCGGCAGCCGGAGAGAAAGCTATGGCGAGTGCAGAAGACCCTATGAAACCTCAACTGGATAAAGGAGGAGAGGTGGGGTTAAGAATACCAGTCCCAGTAGCCGCGGAGAGGGCAACCCGCGCGACGGTGGAGCTCCCTCCGGTGGCTCAACCGGAGACTCTGGCGGCGGATCCCGATTGCCGCCGGCGGGCCTTCTAAAGCCCTGGTCTACTTTTTAGGTTTCCCGCTTTACGATGAGGAACCCGTAAAAGTGGGCCGGTCCTGATGGGCCGACCTGCTTGCGAAGGATGGGCCATTAGTCGTTGGGCCCATCTTAAACGAGCTCAATCAGGCCCAAAACATAGGAGAATAGTGTCCGTTGGATCAAAAAAGTCGGTTGGTCACGGATCGAACGGTGAAGATGATGTCTGGAGCGGGCTTAGGCCCAAAGCGAAGCTCACTGATCAAGGGCATCTACGCTTCCCGCTGGTACTCTTGCTGGCCCGATCCGCCGGAAGCGAAACGCAGCAGAGCTGCCTGTCATCTCTAGCGAGCAGCCGGAAACGCAGAAGCCATCTCCCTTTCTCGGTCGGGGCGGTCGCTCCCCCTTCCGAAGGGGTTTAGGCTGGACTACTATCTCTTCTCCCAGGTGAACAGACAGGGGAGCGTCTTTTTTGTGAGTTGAAATGCAGCTTTTTCTGTTAGAATGTTGCCGGTGGATGTGCCGCCGGATTCTTTCCATTTGTTCGGTGTGCGTGCAGTATTTTTACGTCGCGTCCTCGAAGCGACTCGTGGATTTGGTTTGTTTTCTCAGAGAAAATTCAAGCTCTGTGCTCTCCCTTATTCGTTTTCGGATCTAAAGCTGGCTGCCGTTCAGTTGAAATTTTGTTTCTTATTTGCACAGCTCGCAGCTTTTCGCCTTTATCTTATTCATATATGTTTATTCTATAAATTCATCAATGTGTTTCGGCATTTATCATTTTTTCCGAAATTTACTCATATTCTGTCTCTGTTCTGTGCAATTTAGCAGGTTCCACAACTTGGGTGTCTGCTGAATTTTCTGCGTAATGGCTTGACATGAGTTGGCTGTGATAACCTGAGAATTAAGCTAGCTGTTTTAACCATCGCTGGTAGGAAGCTGAAATGTATCCGCATAAGTTAAAGGGCAGAACCCGTAATCTGTATTCTGCCATCTGGCAACATGTGCATCCAATAAGACCAGAATCTCGCGGGCATTCGTTCCCTTGTCATAATGCAGGATATCCACACCGGATTGAGCCCAGGTTAAATGATTGTGCGGCTAGGAAATTTTGTTTGTCTCCATTTTCTTTCCCAAGCGTTACCATCCGGGAGAGTCGCCTAGGATTTCGCGGGAAATACGGCCCCAAATGGTTGTGTGCATCGCCGAGATTTTACAGTTCCAAGGGCGATGGCAGGAATGGTGGTGATGGTAAACATATACCGGTGAAAGATACTGCTAATTTTGAGAAGGCAAAGACACGGCGTGAGAAGGTTGTGTTAGACTCCAAGCATCATGATGAGCATGCTTGGCTGTGTCGGCAGGAACAGCACGAATGGATTGATAACGCAAAGTCCTTTTGTGACAGCAGAAAAAGGGAGTCTCCATTTCTGACTAAAAAGGAGAGGTTTAAGAATGAGTTCGTACGTAGGCTGATTCCTTGGGAGAAGATCACAGTGTCGTGGGACAAGTTTCCCTATCACCTGAAGTAAGCACTGCCTCCTATTTCTCTTATTGTCAACAACAGATTGTTTCAACATGCAGTCATGCCATGCCTTGTTTTTGCTTTTCTGGTTGCAGTGAAGACACGAAACATCTGTTGATGGAGTGTGCTGCATCTCATTTAAAGAAAAATAAATTTGCATCATCTTATGGTGCACGATTAGCTTCATCAAGTGGGAGGATATTACTCCAGAGCATCGCAGGTTCCGTATTCACCGCCCTCCATGGTTACATTTTTTTATATTTTAAGAAAACTTATTGGAAGATATGTTTGGTGGCATGCTGGGTTTACAGGAACTGAACTTTATCGTGAGAGATTGGTGAGGGCCCTCTGCAGGGAACTGGAAGTTCCCCTGCTGGTGCTTGATAGTGCTGCTCTTGCTCCATATGTATGGTTGTAATCATTTATTTGTTTCTTTACAATTTTTTAAGGTGCTATTTGGGAATATGATTATATGTAGAGACCTACCTTTCCAGTTAACTGCCATACTTTCTTCAGTGGATTTAATATTTTAAATCCTCAGGATCAGATGATAAAAACTATGTATTGCAGGATTTTGGTCAAGAATGTGGTTCAGAAGATGAAACAGATGATGAAAATACAGAATCTTGTGAAGAAAATGTTGGGTCTGAGGCCGAGGATGACCATGAAGGTAGTAATGAAGAGGAGCTGACTAGCAGTAATGAAGTTAACACTGATGAGGATAGTGATGAAGATGATGTTGATGTGCAAGCATCTCCTGAAGCTCTGAAAAACCTTATTCCTTTTAGCCTTGAAGAGTTTGCTCAGGTAAACATTTCGCAAACTGCTTAAAGAACGCTTATACTAAATGTTAACCTGTATCCTAATATGAATCCGAACCATGATTGGTTATGTCAATCGTCTATACATTAACTATGTTTAGTTCTATCCAAGAACGAGCTAGCATCTGTTTTGATTATGCTAGAAACGACCTATCATATTATATGAGACGGAATATTGTAAGAGTTCTCGACACACATACCCTACAAAAATTCATGAATTATACAGATGTAATCGTAGTCCTTGTTCTTTCTTGTTTGAAGCTTAAATTGTCTGCAGCAGTTCATGCGGCTCATCCTAATCTCCAATTCGTCTTAGTCATTTTTTATGTGGCACTCCTAGAAAATCTTGAAGCTATTCAAGCTTACCCACCAGTAAAAACTGTCTTAGGCGTAGCAATGCTCACATATTTCTAGGTCTGGACATAGAGCTGTGTTTCGGGGGTTATAAATACAATTTAAGAGGTTTTTGAGGCTAAAATGAGAAGCATATATTTATTGATCCATAATTACAAATACCTTTATTTATGGCAAGAATTTCATTCTGTTTATTTACAAGGTAATATTTTCTCTGATTATGAGTGACCGTAGATTATTGGCAACATTTTAAAGTTAATTCTGTCAATTACCAACTTAAACATATTTTTTTCGGATATTTTAATTTAATTTTATAATTTTATAATTCTAAGTTATATCTCATAATGTTGGTAGGGATTTAATCAACACACATTGAAAATCCTTTTTTATTCTTATACCTTGCTTTTTGGGAGTTGTCTTCTCAGAAACTGCGAAATCTGCATTTCCCCCCTACTTTTATTGTTTCTGGGTGAAAGAATTGATTCTTGTTCGATTTGCCATTCTGACGTTCCTCTGTCTTTATTGTAGAGAGTTTCGGGAGAAGATGCAACTAGGTTGGCTTCGGCTCAGTCAGATGCCAGTACATCCTCACGGGAATCAAGAGAGCCCCTTAGAAAGGGTATAATTTCACTTCTAAAATGTTCTACTGTTTGTTTCTAACTTCATAAGGTTGGTTGGTTTGGCATAGATAAACATATTATTTATATTATGTTTCTTGTTATGTGAGCATTTAATTGATTAGAAGAATCCAAATGATACCCCAAAACCTTCTTTTCTTTTGAAATTTGTGCTCTAAATTTAAGACGAGTTTCTGGGTGCGTGACAAAAACTCCCTACAAGAAATAGATGAAAAAGAGGACTGTCTTGGATTGACGCCTTTTTCGATTATACATAGATACTGATAGATAAACGAATTGATTTTTGCTTTCTTAATCTTACCAATTAGATTCCTGAGGATGTCTAATCTCCACTGCTTTCCAGTGGACATCATTGATCTCTTTTATGGAAAAAGATGTCGTTTTTGTCTTATGAAGCTTGCAGAGGACACATCTTGGTGCTGATTTATGATTTTAGAACCCTTTTTTTCGTTTTCAGATGTTACAGTCCACAGATGTGTCTAAAATTAAAAGGGTAGCACACGGTGTTGGAAATTTTGCATATTATTCCAATAGAGCATCACATATGGCACAGAAAGAAAAATAACCTTATTGCAGAGGCTCAAGAAGTTCTCAAGTTCAAGATATACTTCTCTTAAGCAGATAAAATGAGACTTCGAAATGATTAAATTTCCGAATGTCTCTGACATTAGCCACAAAAGCTTTTACCTGTTTGTCAGCAGTCTTGACTTAGAATATCCTTGATGTTCCATCTTAACTGAAATTTCCTCTTGTCTCTCCTATCAGATTGGCTACATCATGACTACTTGCAGAACTTTCCACCAAGCCCTTTCTGATTGCTGTATGTTGCATGTACAACATGACTTTTTGCTTTTGTTTGTCTTTTTTGGTTGAAACTGCCATCCATCGTTTTCTGAGCTGAAAGTATTTTTCTATCTTCTCCTCCACAGAGTAATAAGAGTTTATAAAACTTGTGAGCGAATGATTCACCTTAGTGAATATATCCCAAAGTCCCAACAATTAGCCAGTATCCGACCTTTGTTTTTTAGGTATTCATTATAGACCATCTGCCATGAGAATTAGGAAGCTGATGATAATACACATGGAATGGAAGCTTTGATTACACTAGCTTATGAGTCACTTGGATTTGACAATTGCAGTTCACTGAGAATCATCATTCAAGGTTTATTTTGTTGAAAACTCCTTCTCCATGGATACCTCTGTATATTGTATTACGTTTCAGTTTATGGAGGCCTCGATTTTCTTTTTCCATCTCTTTTCAACAGAAGTGCTTTTGATCACTCCCATTAGAACAGAGCGTACATCTGTCAAAGTGTGGTCCACTGATTTCTTTCGTAGTCTACATGCTTGCAGTCCCCCAACACGTTGTCCTGCCATCAGATCATGGCTGCCTTGAACAGTTATTCCAGATTAAACTAATGGTATCATGTTCGGTATATGTGTGGCTCCTGTAGAATCTGTCAGAATCTGTATTTGTCATTTTGTTACCTTGATAGATACCTTGGTAGCATCTTCTTCTCTTGAAAGCCACTTCCCAGATGAATGAAGGTGCCAATTTTTTTTAGAGCGCATAAAAGGAGGTGCTGGTTGTGTTTTGATATTATTTAAACTGCATTGCTTATTATTTGGCTGTTTGATGTTTTATGAAAATTCTTTCGAAGTTGGCTTGTAAAGGAAGTTCTTCATTGTTACAAACACACCAACCATGAATAATTACATATTATTTACTCTTGTTCTCAGACTGGATGTATCCTCAGCCAATCTTCTCTTTTTTTCCGTTTGGTTGTCAGGGGATAGAGTGAAGTACATTGGGGCCACCGTGCACTTAGAAATTGATAACAGGTACTTAATCACTTGACGTTCATTTTCATCGTCCTTGCCAAAACTTATATCTGCATTCTGTTATTGGGGGGTCATAAAACCTCTTGGAGTCACGTAATCTCTTTTCTTTTCGAAATATTTTCTTTACCTGAGCTAGTTATGATGCACATTTGCTTTGAAATACCATAATCTTGAAGCCTTGATCGATTGTTATCTTAGACAGAATCTAGTGCGGATCAGGATATATGGTTTTTTTAGTGGAAGTGTGTTATTTCATATTCCAGATTAGCGATGAAGATCCATTCTATCTTGGGTTTCGTGGGTTTCTGAATAATCATGGTTAAACCAAGAGATACTGAATGCGTACAGTGACTTAGTGGTTTCATTCACCACTGTCATCGTCGTGATTTTAGGTTTCATCTCATCGAGGGTACACCCCTTATGAAGTGTCTTAGGATGGGGGAACTTTTTTGTTAATTTCTGCTTGAATGAACCTTCTACGCGGTAGTCCTGACGGCCAAAACCTGAAGCAAATCTGAAGCCGAAATCGAGGGAAACCCAGGGGGAGAGATAAAGGCGTGGGAGAAGAACGATCAAAAGACTAGTACTTCATCTGACATTGCTTTCGTCATGTGGTCTGAAAAATGTTTAAATCACTCAACTGGCATCATGAAAGTGGACTGTTATGAATTTCAATAGACTGGTGTTTGGGAATTCCTAGAAACGGTGGTCATTGAACTTAGATGGGAACATATTTGACTGTTAATGAACTTGGAAGAGCTCTCTTTAATCCTTGATTGTACCAAATGCGATTTCCATCAGACTTGCTCAAAGTAACATCAGGTTGGTTGCTAAGGAAAAAATTACTGTTTTGCTGTGAAATTTGAGCACATACAGGTAGAGCGGGACCATGAAAGATTCCTTCGGATTTTCAAAAAAAGAGTTTGAGATCTCATTTGTGCATCACTTGGTGGGGTCCAAGTGCAAGATATACTTTGCCTTGTGTTGTGTGCTCATGTTTTAAATTGCTGTCAGCATAGAATCCTCATGAAGGTGTAGATCTCTCCTGGTGAGGTGTGGGAGTTTCACCTTGTCAACCGGACGAAATTTAAGGCTATGCAGCAACTTTGCTCAATTGTAAAATGTAAAATGTCGTGGAATATTCATAAAACTTTGCTCAATAACTAGCTCAATTGTTTTCTGTTACTCTGGGAATGTAGTTTGGATCCTAGCATTATGTTATCCTGACTAAGGTTGTGGCATGAACTGGAGTTTAATATAAGCTGAAGGTTCGCCGTCTTCTTCTTGAGTTTATGTGGTGGTAGCCCTAGCCATCTTCAAGATTAAATAATATTAGCCGAAGGTGACCCTCCATCTTGGTGGACTAGGCTACCTGGACAAAATTGTGTTTTTAATGCCTAACTTTGGTTAGTTATTTCTTGGATCTTATTTCTAAGAGGCCATTCATTTAAGAAAAATGTGTATAATTCACTTCTCTCCAGTTACGAGACTCATTATAGATGCTAATTGTGATACATATAATCATGTATCACTTATTGACTTGGGAGTTAATCATTGCCTTTGTCGTTTTGGTTCTTTCTTGTTTTATGGCTACCAGCTTTTCTTCCTAACACCTCAAGGTGGTTTCGATGAGGGTGCTTATTTGGAGCTGTTGAATATTTTGCAAAACCATTTGTTCAGCGTGGATGGAGAAAAGAGAACATCATTAATGCAACTATAAAAGGATCAGTGATCTCTCTTCGAGATAAAACCCTCAACACAACTATAACTTGACCTATGCCAATGTAAAACACTAATCCTACGTAATAAGTGCGACTGTTCTTTAGAAAAATGATGATGTCTACCATCTTGTGAGTGTGTTGTTGTCTCGGCTTAAAACGTGTTGAGCTTCACTGTGATTTTGTTTCGTACTATTCTCTCATGTTAATCTAGGTGCAACTAGATATAAAGTGTCTGATAAGGGGAATAAAAGGCTTGGTATCATGTAGAATCATTAAATGCATTAATGATATGGATGCCCATAATTTTCCTTTGTTACTTTCCTTAAAATTACTGTCCTGTTGTATTCTTATGAGATATTTCATCAAAGTGTAGGTATTAGGTTGGTTAATTGGACTTCGAGATTTATTACATAATCATTGAGCCTTCATTATGACAATAGGATTTGCTGACCTTGCCTGTCTTTGATCCAACAGAGCTGCTAAAGTGGCTTGTCTGATCATTTAGCTCGCCTTGATGTATTGTAGTTTTGGTGTGGTCATTCCCGAGTCTTTTTACACATGCTTCAAAACCCTTTTTTTCATTCCCCCTCCATTAACTACGTATTTATCCACTCCTGATTGTTAGCATATATCTTGCATTACAGGGTTAATTTGGGGAAAATACCGAGTTCTGATGGTCCATCAAAGGCTTATACATTCGTTAGAGGCAGGTTTGTAAGTTTTTGGCAATGTCAACCTGCTGTAGGTGTATCCATCAATTGGCCTTCTACAATCAGAGCTTTCTAGAGATTTCATGCCAAGATAAACATTGTCTTTTTTACCTTTTGTTATGTTTTAAATTGGAACTAGGAGCTTGGAATACTGCAGATATGAGTCCCTTTTCCTAGTCAGGATCTTTTAAGAAAGTTTTTTGCGAGAGGAGGTGGAGAGAGAGAGAGAGGTAGGGAGGCGGGGATTATTTTGTTCTCAGTGTGTATCCCTCCCCAGGTTCTACTAAAAATTTAACTGACTAACGCCTTATCTTTTCGGATCTTGTGTGATGAGTTTTTTTTTCTTATTTTTTTGATATATGTTATATATTATGATATATCTTATATTTAATACTAAGAACTTCATGGTATAGGTGTTTTGGATCCTCCTTTTCTATTTTTAGTGCCATAGGGTTTTTTCTGGAAATGTAGATAGGGGACATAATTTTTATGTTTTGGCAGTGAGAGTTTTGGGTGGCATAATGATGCTGGAAATATTTGATGGATGAGTTGTGCACGAATGATCTGTTGTTGTTGCATTGATGTGTGATTTTCCGATGCTCACTTATCTGCCTCTGTTTTGTGTCTTACGCTAACAGCTTCTACATATGAATGCTGAGATATCTAACCTGATATATTTTTGTCAGACACTGGTGATAGAATCAGCTGTTATGATGAATCATTTCCAGTACTAGACATCGATGAATTTAGATGTATATTTTTGTAGAAAACATTATCTAAACACGTCATCTAGATCATCCTCTATTTCTTCTGTTTTTCACTTTAAATGCAATACTACGTACATCTTCGTTTTCTTTGTTTATTTTAATCCGTCATTTTCTAATTATTTTTCTATCATGATCGTTTCTGTATTATTACACAAGTTTGAATAGACAAGTTGAATTTGAATCCATTTCCATTCAGCATTTGTGCTAGGGTTGACAATGTGACCATTGGCCGAAATGTGGGAGGAGAACAAAAGCATGGCAAGCTGATGGGATCACTTTTCTGGTGAATCCTAAAGAAAACACCGGCCTTGAGATGTCTTATTTATTCTCGGGATCATAGATTAAAATGCCAATCTTTTGATTGGGATAATCGGAATTTGAGAGAGAAAAGAAAAGGAGAGATCGCAGGAAGGCTAATAGGTTGCAAAATACTTCTTGGTAGTATCAGAAATGATCTTCATTGAAGAGACAAAAAAAGACGAGACATCACTGGAGATTTTATGAACGTGATAAATCCAAAATTATGAGTCCAGGCGATTTAGTTAATGCTGTTCCAACTTATTTTTTGTACGTATTGAATTTTGAGAAATGAGTCAGATACGAGATGAACTCTCGAGTCACCCCTCCAGTTTAGAATAGACAAAAGTCAGATTCCCTTCTCTTGGTTGCATCAATGTAGACAGTTATGAATCAAGTAGTCTTCTGCATCATAGAGACCACATTCCATTCAACAAAGTCACGCTTGTAGCATAATACGTTTCAACTTTCTGACTGTAGTGCGTAGCCAGTTTCTTTTCCATCAGAAAGCAACATTCAATTCTAGGGTAATGGTAGGTAGTGGAACTAGATGACAGGCATTCCTCCATATATTCTCTCAGCCGCAGAGCTGTTTCGTTCTCCATTTTCCCGCCCAGGGAGGTCACTATGTTTTAGGATGCATCCTAACGAAGATCTAATGGTTAATGCCACAGTCAGATCTTCAAACGTCACATATATTTTTTTTTCCATATTTTATATTTGATTAGAAGTATATTTAACAATTGTTTGTCCTCAAGTATCTGTCCTGATTGTTTTGCAGATTCAGGCTCAATACATGTTTGAGATAATGCTTAAGCACGTTATTGTTAAAACCTTGTAATCATGTGATGTTCCCTACTTTATCAGGCCATTGTCGAGTGGTCACCGTGGAGAGGTTTATGAAGTCAATGGGGATCAAGTGGCTGTTATTCTGGATAGTATTGAGAAAACGGGGGAAGATGGAAAGGATGAACTAAGTTTGGGGGGAGATGCAACAAGACCATCTATTTATTGGATCAACAGTAAGCGCTTGCTATTAATTCTGGTTATACTTTGCTCAATAATTTTGGCTTTGCTGCAGTTCAAATGGAATGGAAAACTATATCTGAGATGAAAAGTAAAGTTATTGACTAGCAAAAGCAAGGGAAAAGGAAAATCACACACTGTAATAAGCTTGTTATTAGGACGATATGCTGACAATCTCTTCCTTTTCGAGAAAAAGTGACGATCATATCCTTTTACATCATGCTGTAACTATCGGGGGCTCCTGATCTCTAGTCTCTCATTGAGCTATTGTATTAAGTAGAAGCACAGGTAAGCTATTCCTGCATAAATTTTCATTTGCCATATAGGCCAGTTGCCTTTGGGAGCTAGCTTCAAGAAGTGAGGTACTGGGTTACACACCCACGTTTGTCTAGAACGAAGGGGAACGAGTGTACACAAACGGCCCATGGGCATCTCTCAGGTCTACATCAATGGGTTTCCCATGTTTCGGAGTCAGCAGAGTAACTCACCTCTACCCCGTTTACTTTGAATGAAATTGGTTGTAATGCCTGCCTTTCTTTGAGGAAAGTCTTTCCATGTACAGAGGCAAAGAAATCCGTTTATCAGTAGTGAATATGGCGGCGAAATAAGTAACTCAAGCGTTTGTCAATAGTTGTAGGTGTGTCACCTTCCATCTCAGTGAGTTGATATAGAAAGCTTGGGCATTTCCATAGTCATCTGAATTCTGCAACACAGCATGAATTAGGGAGGCTGTGGGGTTCTGTTTAGTTTTGCTTCTTCCCATTTGCTGGGGATTCTTGTGAAGACTACTGATAAATTAGCTTGCTTCTTGGATGCGTGGAATTTCGTTGCTCTTTCTCTTCTCAAGAAATAAGTGGGTATATCTCACTCCATGGTGTGTTTCCAAACTTCGAAAATGGCAGAAAAACCGTATTTCTACTTTTTCTGGCCCATCCTCAGATGGCATGCGGTCTTCTTTCCTTCCCTTCTTTCTTGTTCCTATGCTATCTTAGTTTAGATACTATTTGTCTCTACTTAGTTCAATTGAAAATAATAAGAAAAATATATTTTATGTTTTACACCTTGAAAAATAATCTGTTTCGCAATTAAAATAGCAAAAGAAAATTTGTTAATGTGACCTTCTGTTGAGATGTCATTCATTGACACCTTGACACCACCCCAGAGTTCCTAATTCGTCAACACCCTTTACGCCTCCATCACAAGCAGGTCCTGACTGATTACGACAACTGGGAGGAAGAAAAGTTATGGACAACAGAGGAAGTGAAAGATCATGGCAGGAGAGGAGGAAAAAACGAAAAGAAGGACGTGTTACTAATGATGGGCTCTGCAATGATCATAGATTATGATAACAAGAGGTAGGATTAATGACTGCAACAGTGGCAGGGGCATTGGCAAATGATAGTGATAGCAACAATGGTGACGTCAACAACAAACAGTGGGGATAAACACCAATTCGAGGAGACTATGTTTTATAGGGGCTTTTGAATCGGCCATTGAATCTAAGGTTGTGGTCTCAATCTACTCTCTAAACATCTTTTGTAGGGGAGGAGGGGCATGTGAGGTTCTTTCACCAAGGAAATATTGAGGAGGGAGTGAAGAAGGTAGGTCTCTTGATTTTCTTCCATCATTTCTGGCATCTGTTGGGTGATGAGAAGGGAAGTGAGTTTTTGAATTACTGAGTGAGGATGTGGTCCAGCAGATGCTGATAAAGTCTATGTAGAATAGACTGGTTTTGGCATAATAGGGCTGTATGATTTCGATGTGTTGGTGATTGATTACTTTGGAAATCCCTTATTGTGACAAGAGTCCAGAGAGAATACAGGTCGATGGTAGCTTGCCAGAGAAATATGGTAGGTATGTGGTTGGATTTTATGACGGTTGTCCCTAAGATGAACTGGCGATGTGATTATTTGGGGGCCTGTGTGTAGATGGTATTGGGATTTGAAGGAAATTTTCGGGGCCTTTCCCCTTCTCTTTTTTTTTATGATTTATTCTTTAAAAATAAAATTTGTGGATGATTTCATATTATTTAGAAGACACGATATAGTGTTAGATAATATAGATGGCTGTAATAGAGTTCTTGACAGTCTCTCGTTAGGATACAGTTGTTACTTGTCCAAATGTCAGCATGGGAGTAATCCTGAAATAATTCTTGTAAGTTTTTTGATGGATCATTTTTTATGTAATCTGTCTGATGATGGTAACTCTAGAAGTAGCTCAATAAGTTGTATTCATTCAATCGATCTGTCAATCCATTGGTTATATGAAAGCCATAATTATAAGACCGTTGATCACGCATGAGATTCGCTTCTTTCGTTATTCCCATTTGCAATGGTTTAGATACGAAAACTTTCCTTTTATTAAGTTGACATTTTTTCCAATAATTTCCAGTTCAGGATATAGTTCGTGACCTAGACACTCAGTCAGAAGACTGGTACATTGCAATTGAGGCTCTTTATGAGGTAATATTTAAATAAAGGCTGCATGAGGTCGCTTTTTTTCAAATTCTATGTATGATACTTTTGATGTAACCCTTTGATGTTACTCATACCATACTCCTTTTGTCACATGTTTCTGCAGATACTTCCATCTTTGCAGCCAATCATTGTCTATTTTCCTGATTCTTCAGAATGGTTGTCAAGGGCAGTTCCCAAATCTCATCGTAAAGAGTTTGTTTCTAAGTTGGAGGAAATGTTTGATCAATTGCTAGGACCAGTTGTTCTCATTTGTGGGCAAAACAAAGTGGAGAAGGGAGCTCCAAAGGAGAAAGAGAAATTCGTGAGTACTTTAAATTTTACCTTATTTCCGAGGCTAACCTTTACTTTTATACTTGCCAGACTCGATGGTTCATATTGATTTTTTGTTCACTGTGGCACATTGTATATAGTCTCGCTTGTATTTTGTTTTGAAAGTTGTGAACACCTTCAGTTCATGAACTTGCTCAAAATATACTTGATTACATTTGCTAATAAAGTTCTCTATGTTTTTATTGCAGAGAGTGGTTATTCCTCCCCTTGATCGCATTGGTCAGCTGGTAATTTCTCTGAAATGATACGGCCTTTTCTAAATCATCAGCTTGTTCTTCATTTCGATTTCATGCCATTGTGTGTATAAACCCTTAATTTCTCACGGAGCACCCTTCGTTACCTTGGATGTGCTACACTTTTTTTTATTTTATTTTTTATGTCGATCATGTGCTGCTGATCACTCCCCATGACAGTACTTGTATGATTATATTGGCACTTGAAAGTGTTGCTCTGATAAAAATGTTGACGTTGTTGACTTTGGGTGTTTGCTGTTTCTGCTGTTTCATTTCATGTGGAGTCCACCATTGTTTTTGTCCCATCTTTCAATGGGGAGTAAGTCGTCCTCTTTTTTTGTTTCCCATGCGGATTTTCATAATCTCCTTATCTCATTTTACAGCCTTTTTCGCTAAAACGACTTACTGAAGGGCTGAAAGCAGCTAAAGCGTCAAAAACTGATGATATATATAAGGTTTTTACTAATGTTGTCTATGTTCATCCTCCAAAGGTAACTTCTGCCATGATAGTGTCTTAATTGCACTTTAATTGAATTTCATATTCTACATGCTCTAGTTTTAAATATAATTTGCGGTCCTGTAGAATTTATTTATATTCAGCATTATCATGTTTTCTAAATTGATTTGTTATATCCGCAATAGTCACTTTCTATTCTTTCGTGATACTTAACAAGAAAACTGCGAGGAGTAGAAACAAAAACGATATCTTCGAATTCTGATTCGAAGAGGATATCATACATGCAGCCTGTTGAGGTGGGGCATTAACTCTAGGTATCATTTTTGGTAATCTTAATTTTTCTCATATGATGAACGGAAAGTATACTGATATCCTGAGTGTGTACTTCAAATGAGAATTATAATTTAACCTCATAAGAGCAATGTCTGCGCCAATAGCTAGATTGTGCAGGAGATTTATCCTTCTTTCTACTAAGCACTTTAGAAATGTAGAGGACTCTGTCTAATGGATGGCAGATTGGGTCATTAAAGATGGGAGATGATCAATAAGTCTAGTTCCTGCTCTGGATATGCGCTCACACAATCAAACTTTCAGTTTCGCACTGTTAACGCTCTGATATGCTGCATTGTTCTGCAGGAAGAGGATCTACTCAAAACCTTCTATAAACAACTTGAAGATGACAGAAAAATTGTAATATCGAGGAGTAATTTAGTTGAGCTGAGTAAGGTAAACAAGTGTGCGCACAAAATCTATCATTTCCTTGGCAATTTTCCTTTTTCCGCTTATTGGGAAATGATCTTGGGTATAACTTTTTCCATGACTTTCTTTATCTTTCAGGTCTTGGAAGAGCATGAACTAACTTGCACAGAGCTTTTGAGTGTAAAGACTGATGGCATAATCTTGACAAAGCAGAGTAAGGAGATTTTTTTTTCTTTGTTTAATTAATCTTGCCTAGGGTGCTCCATGGAGCCTTCACAACCTAGCTATACAAATTGACATGATGGCATTATGACAAGCCAAAAAAATGTGATGTTGATGATGACGACGATCATCATCATTCATGCTCCATATTAAGAACTGCATTCATAGGTTCTTCTCACTTGGCTCCAATCCATCCATCTGGAAGCCAAAGTCTAGGGTTGAGGAAATTACTCCCAGTCTTCCATACCTCTTGCAATTTCTTTTGGGTGACATCGTTTGAGATACTAATGCATCAGATGATACTGGAGGAACATATTTTGGTTGCAGTTGCTTCTTTTTAACTTATGTTTCACTTGTCTTGTGATTCTGGGGAGTAGAGGCAGAGAAAGTTGTTGGATGGGCGAGAAATCACTACTTATTCTCATGCAACCTTCCTTCCATCAAGGGTGATAGGCTAATGTTGCCCCGCGAAAGGTAATTACCTCAAACATAATGGTATAATATGCAATCTTTTTCTATATGATTCCGCAAATCTTATTCCTTTCTGTTTCATCATATGAAGCCTGGAGATTGCAATATCTAGACTACGAGAGCAGGAGATGGCCCGTTTAAGAGAGAAGCCCTTACAGCAGCTAAAGGTGGGCTTGGGCTCGGTCACGGTTCAACATCTCCTTCAAGGGCTGGCTTATCCTTCTTCTGGAAGAACTGACACAGACTGAATTGCAGAGCCTCGCCAAGGATGAATACGAGAACAATTTCATTTCCGCAGTCGTCCCTCCAGAGGAGATTGGTGTGAAGTTCGATGATATTGGCGCTCTTGAGGATGTGAAGAAGACCCTTAATGAGCTGGTGACGCTGCCCATGAGAAGACCGGAGCTGTTTGCCCATGGAAACCTGTTACGGGTAGACACTGTCCTCTCTCTCTCTCTCTCTCCTTTCTCACCCCATATCTTGAAATGGCTAGGGTTCGTGGTTTGTTTATTTATTTATTTATTTATTTATTAATTCGTGGGTGTTCATTCAATCCCAGCCTTGCAAAGGAATACTGTTGTTTGGACCTCCAGGTACTGGTAAGACTCTTCTCGCCAAGGCTCTCGCCACTGAAGCTGGAGCCAATTTCATCAGCATTACTGGTTCCATTCTCACATCAAAGGTGAGACGAATGGAGAATGCCATTATGTTCATGTGGGGCTCTTCCATTTTCTTCGCATCAACTATACAAAAAACAAAAAGAAAAACCAGAAAAAATAAAATACCGAAGATGAGGAAAAAAAATATAATCTATGAAGAACCAACCTGGCACATTACTTTCTGCTTTTTCACTTAAAGGAGATGATTATATGGAGGATAATAAAATATTTTCGTGAAAAGAAGTCCATTTTCCAATATTCTTTTTTGCGATTGAAGAAGAATACATGGAGTCCATTTATTTTTCTCAAACTTTATTTTCAATATATGTTATTTAAACCGGCTAAGAATATGGGGAGTTCGTTTATTTTTCTCAATCCATCTTTTCCGTATGATTTTTTTATTCTTACATCTTCTGTGCTGTTCTTCCAGTGGTTTGGAGATGCTGAGAAGTTGACAAAGGCTCTCTTCTCCTTTGCCAGTAGATTGGCCCCCGTCATCATATTTGTTGATGAGGTGGGCACTCGCCATCCCATATTGGTTCTAATCATTACTAATTATGGATTCTTAATATCTAGGGGAACCTTGCATTGACTTTCCATATTTGTCATATCGGCTGTGCCGACGTAGGTTGACAGCTTGCTCGGCGCAAGGGGTGGTGCTTTTGAGCACGAGGCAACGAGGAGAATGAGAAATGAATTTATGGCTGCATGGGACGGTCTGAGGTCAAAAGACAGTCAAAGAATACTCATTCTTGGCGCCACCAATCGGCCTTTTGACCTCGATGATGCTGTCATACGCCGGCTGCCAAGAAGGTCGGACTTGCACCGAAAGGAGGTTGACTTTTCACTGTGCGAGTATCTCACGACGAATCGTCATCTTTTGATCATCCTTGATGTGCAGGATATATGTTGACCTTCCCGATGCCGACAATCGGATGAAGATTCTGAGAATATTTCTCTCCCAAGAAAACCTTGACCCAGACTTCAAACTAGAAGAACTTGCCAACTCCACCGAAGGATACTCTGGAAGTGATCTGAAGGCAACTCTCCCCATCATCCCCTCCTCTTGAGTTCATAAAGACCTCTGATCGTTTTCATGATCGCTAATAATAAATTATTTAATCATTTAATTATTTTGCCAGAATCTGTGTATTGCAGCCGCCTACCGGCCGGTCCAGGAACTCCTGGCCGAGGAGGAGGTATGGGCCTTCTGATCTTCCTGCTTTTCCCTTGGTTACTGTTTTAGGGTTCTACAGTAACCTGAACCCCAGATCAGCAATGATTTCCGGTTGCCATTCACATGAACTCTGGGATTTGACTCGGAAAATTCTTCCAGGGAGGCGGGGCGCGATCTGGGTCAACCCTCAGGCCCCTTAAATTGGACGACTTTATTCAAGCAAAGTCAAAGGTACGGGCAATCCTCAATTCGTGCGATTCCTATTGGAAGCAAAGTCAAAGGTTTGCTCATCAAGTAAACGAATGAACCCCTCAGGTCGGCGCATCAGTGGCTTACGATGCCGCCAGCATGAATGAGCTGAGAAAGTGGAACGAGCAGTATGGCGAGGGGGGCAGCAGGAGAAGATCCCCTTTTGGGTTTGGAGACTAAGGCGGATAGAACCCTAATCCTCCCCCCACCCCCCATGCTGCCGATGAGAGAAGGGTCGTATCCTTTGATGCTGGTCAACGCCCAATGGATCCCTGGTGGTCCTGTCAGGTGGCTGCATGCTGCCACGTACCCCCCTTGCTCTTGGTGCGGGCTATTTATTCTACAATTGTATGGTAAAAAGAAAAAAATGTGTTCTTTTGCTGAGTCAGCTTCTGGGAAAAAAAAGAATTATAGGAATTTCTTTGGTCTCGTGGTGGGCCCTTGGAAAGATTCTCTGTCTATGCTTCTGCCTACAGCTTAGATCCCCCCGCCCCTTTTAATGCTGTCTCAAAGTGCTGACCCTGCACCACGTGGCCTCCGTGGGCCAAGGGGACCCACTTGGCCGTTGGAATCAGGGGCATCACATATCAGATCAATTGGGTCCCTCCGATCCGGTCGGATTAGTCAGATCTGATGATCCCTTGATCTGGAGATCACCCTGGGGATTCGCGATCGGACGGTCCCGCGAACGCTGATCCGCGCTGAGATTGCCGTCGCAGGCTCGAAGGTCTGTTGATCTGACGGATGTAATGCTATCGATCGGGATCTGTGGGTAGTTCTTCATCCTCTGCGTCGAAGAGGAGGCAAGGAATCATCCCTACGCGTCCGATGGGCCTTTTTCAACGCTTCTGCTGTTTCTTTCCGTTCGGGCGGCTGCTTTTGAAGCCGACACGTGGCGGTGACCGTAGGCAGCATCCGCCGCCCTTGCCGACAAGGACGCGCCTGCGACAGCTGTCTGGACACGCTGGTGGCCTGATCCCTCCACAGGCGTGCCAGGTTCCCCGCTCGAGCGAGCAAGCGAGAGAGAGAGAGAGAGAGAGAGAGAGAGGGAGGGACAGAGAGAGAGAGAGACAGAGACACAGAGAGAGAGATAGAGAGACAGACAGAGAGACAGAGTCTTATTGGGCTGAGGCCAACGGGAAAATGGGCTGGGCTGAATATGGGTGCCAAATGGCTACCGGAAACAGGAAGCAAATATCGTCGGTGTTTTTTAATCTCAAATAAAAATCGGGAAAAAATGTAAAAAGTTATGTCTATGGTTAAATAATTAAAATATATATTAATAAGCTAATTATGTGCTCAGTATCGTGGCCTCCTTTCTAAGGATGGGATGTTGACAAAATTCTGACCGGTCAACGATTACCTCCCGGTCGTCAAGAACCGCAGGTGGGGCCCGAAAGAGAGCTCTGGACCACCGCGAGGGAGCTTCGGAGGTGATTTTCGTCTTCATGTTGCAAGATTTACTATCTGACGTGGCGGTGAGTATTTATGTAATTATACCAAATGATGAGGTCTTCTGTTCAGATCGGTTTTTATAAGATCTAGAGACGAAGATGAGCACCCGAGGCGACACGCCATCTGGAGCTCCCCCCCACCCCCATTTTCCTTGTGGTGCCCTCTCGGAGCGACCGCAGCGAGAGAGAGAGAGAGAGAGAGAGATGGGAGGACAGAAAGAGGTGAGAGCTTCGTTCAGCCTTCTCAATCTCTTCCTGGCGGCTCTATCTGCTGGATATTAGCTTATTTTGATCAGTGTGCGGTGGCCTCCTTGGCTTCAGTGGGGTTTTCTCTCTGGTTTTCTCCGGAATATCTCATGGCCGCTCTTCCCTGGGCCGTTAGTTTCCTCTCTTGATGAGGGGGCTTCTTCTCTTCCAGTAATCGATCGATCCGCTGATGAAGCTGCGGGGTTCAATGAGCTGGTTTTCATGGCGGGCTTTATCCATTTGCTTCTTCTTCTTCTTGACAATCTCAACTCAGGGTTTCCATTTTTATGAGCAATCCTTTTCTTCCCGGTGACGAACTCGTTGTAACCCAGAGGCCGACTAGGGGTTCTCCGAAACGGGATCTCCTCCGTTTCTCTTGTTGATCTCCCAGCTCGCCTGCTTTTCCTCTAATGAGCTCGCTCCAGCCCAGAACCCCACCATCTCTGCTTCCTTTATGCGGAGATCATCTCTGGTTCCGTTCTTTTCCCGGCCTTTATTTATTTTCCATTTTGCCTGACAGCAGGGAAGGGCCGACGGCGGCGGCACCGGCGGAGGAGGGTGGCTATCGGTCCCGGCTTTCGGGGACTGGGACCAGAAGCAAGACGGGGTGCCGGACTACTCCATTGACTTCTCCAAGATCCGGGAGATGCGCAAGCAGAACAAGAAGGACCTCTCCCGCCTCTCTGTCGGCAACGACGACGAGCTCATCAACCCCACCGCCGCCGCCGTCGGGGCGAACCACCACGTCGTCGGCGGCGCCTCCCGCCCGCCGCCCGTACCCGGCGCCGTCGCCCGCCTCCCTCGCCCTCACCACCACCGCTCCCCCAGCGGCTCCCCCACCGTAAGCTACTCTCACTTCGGTCATCTCTGTCTCTCTGTGTCTCTGTCTCTGTCTCTGTCTCTCTCTCTCTCTCTGCCTGCCGCCGCGCCGCCGCCGCCGCCGCCGCAGCACGCGGTTCCGCCACCCTGTAGGTTTAGGTATAAGGTCACCGTTGTGAGCATACGCAATCGTTCACCGAACTATCACCTAGGAGAACGGCACTCTTAACATACATAGATAGCCCCTCGGGAATCTTTTTCTTGTAGGTTTCTTATCTATCACCTCTCATGAATCCGACACTTGCGTAAAAACGTTGGCATTATTAGTATACGCAAAAACCCCTCGGAATTGGCCATCTTTTCAGATGAACTGAATTTCGATGGGTTCGTAGGGAAGAAGGTTTGGGAGGAAGCACTCTGAGGGTCGGTTGATTCCACGTCGGACGTGGACAGGTCAGCACCAGTTGGCGGGCAGGGTGTGGTCGTGGGCCACCGCAGCTGGCCGCCAAACCATTCAATGGGCTGGCGGCCAGTTTGGGCCCATTATGGCACTGTCAACATCTGAGTGGCGGCCCATTATCTTGTCCTTTCCCAGAGGGCGACGGATGCGTGAAGCAGGGACAGACCAGTTTGGCCTCGTAGTCCGGGTATAATTAGAAGGGTCTTCGGAGAGGAGGGACCTGAGAGAAAAATGGGATTACTACACCCTTGGCTGGCCTTGCGAGTCATTAATGTGCGAACCCAGGGAATAGTTTATATCTACAAAAACAATCGCAAAACATGCATATTTGCGAAGATGCCCTTAATGCTGCCACCCTGTTTCTCAGTCTGCTCTTGAAGCCGCGGTTTTTCGTTTTTTTAATGTTTTTGGCTCGGATTTTTGAGGTGGGTTTGTGTGAAGAAGGTTCCCCTCAGTGTTCAGAGTATTCGCGACCTCTCTCTCTCATCTCTCTCTTATCTCTCTCTCTCTCTCTCTCACTCACTCTCTGTTTCTACCTCTTCTGTAGAAAAAGGAGAAGATCATGAGATACCTCAACTGCTGCGTGTCTGCGTGACCCGGCTTCCTCTTGGAGCGGCTGAGGCTGGCGGCGGCTATTCTCCTCTTCCTCTCAGATCCTGGTAGAACTCCGCTTGTTTACATCTCTGTCTCTCTCTGTCTCTCTGTCTCTCTGTCTCTGTCTGTCTCTCTGTCTGTCTCTCTCTCTCTCTCTTGTGCTTTCTTGATTTTGGAGGAATCCCCACATGTATAAATTGGCCGCGCTTTGCTTGCGTGGATAGTTTCTCAATCACGCCCATCCCTGAATTCACTTTCCTGCCGAGCAATTGGCGATAATCAGCAACCATTTCCTGGGAAAACCAGTTTATTTATTATTATGATTATTACTAAAATAGGAATATTACCTGGCCGAATAGAGGCATGCATGATATGGTCAAAACCGGCACAACGGGATTTATCTCTATAATAATATAAGTAATAATTATCCAAGGTCAACGGCGTGTGATTTTAAGGAGTGAATGAATTTTGAAGGCGTTATTTAGTTATTCTTTAAAAGAAAAAAATCCAATTAATATAAAAGAAAATAATAAGCAATTATTATTAGAACCCATGTGGAGATTGTAATGGCAGAGATGTTTCGCCAGTTGACCTCAGAGGAAGAGGAAGGAAGGGTGAAGAGAGAGAAAGTGCTCAACCTGTCAGTGGTCGTCGAGCTAGATCCAGCTGTAACCTGGCTTCTTCGCCACCCCATCGAGGTCCATCCCCTCCCTCAGCTTCTCCACGTCGACCCACATGTCGTTGGAGGCCAAGATATTGGACAGAAGAATGTACGACCCACTGTCTCCAGGATTCTCGGACAAGGACATCTTGGCGGCGTGTCTTCCAAGGTCAACGTCGCCGAAGAGTTGACAAGCGCCAAGTAACGTCCTCCACACGACCGCCGCTGGCTCCACCGGCATCTGCTCGATGAACTCCCTCGCCTCGCGGAGTCTACCGGCCCGGCCCAGCAGGCCGACCACGCAGGCGTAGTGCTCCGTCCCCGGCTCGATCCGGAAGTCAACTCTCATTTGCTCTAAGTACCAAAGGCCCTCCTCCACGAGGCCCACGTGGCTGCACGCGGAGAGCACGCCGACGAAGGTGACGTACGTGGGCTCCACTCCCGCTGCCACCATCTCCCGGAAGACGGCGAGGGCCTCCTCTGCGTGCCCGTGTTGAGCGTACTTGGAAATCATGGAGTTCCAGCAGACGACGTCTCTGTGGGGCATTCCGTCGAACACCTTGCGGGCATCTAGGATCTCCCCACATTTCGCATACGTGTCTATGAGTGCGTTGGCCACGTGGGCGTCGGACTCGAGCCCCTCCTTCAAAATCTGGCCATGGAACTGCATACCGTGGACGGGTCTCGCCAGGTTGCCGGCGGCGGCGAGCAGCGAGACGAAGGTGAAGCCTTCCGGTGGCGGCCCGCGCAGGCGGAGCTCGGGGAAGAGCAAAAGGGCCTCCTCCTCCCGCCCGTTCTGCGCGTAGCAGGCAATCATGGCGTTCCAAACCACAACGTCCTTCTCCTCCATCTCCTCGAAGATGGATCTTGCGTCGTCTGCGCAGGAGCACTTGGAGTACACGCTGATCAGAGCGCTGCCGGAGAATAGCTCCAGGGAGACGCCGTGCTTGACGGTGAGGGCGTGGATTTGCCGGCTCAGCTGCAGCTCCGAGTGAGTCGCCGCTGCCCCGAGGAGGCTGACAAAGGTCAGCAGGGTGGGGGACAGCGACTCTCGCCGCATTCTGGCGAAGAGCTCCGCCGCCGCGGTGAGTTCGCCGGCGCCGGCGAGCCCCTCGATCATGGCGTTGAAGGAGACGGCGTTCTTCCAGGGGATGGTGTCGAAGGCCCTCTTTGCGTCTGCCAGAGCGCCGCACTTGGCGTACATGTCCACGAGCCCGTTCTTCACGAACTCGTCGTCTGTGAGGCCAGACTTGGCGGCGTAGGCGTGGGCCTGCTCCCCGTGCCGCAGCGCCATGAGAGAGCCGCACGAGGTCATCACGCTGGTGAAGGCGAAGGCGTCCGGTCGCCACCCCGCGCGGCTCATCTCGGCGAACAAGGCGACCGCCTCGAGGTCCAGCTGGTTCTGCATGTACCCCGCGATCATCGTCGTCCAGGAGACGATATTCTTGTGGGTCATCTGGTCGAACACCTTGCGGGCAGTCCCTGATCTGGAGCACTTGCTGTACAGATCGATGAGCACGTTACTCACCGAATCGTCGAGCTCTGCTCCAGCTCGGAAGACGAATCCATGGACCTGCTTGCCGCCTTCGAGGAAACCCGAGGACGAGCAGGCGCTGAGGACACTGGACAGGACAAATCTATCGGGCGAAGCACCAGACGCCATCATCTTCTTGAACAGCTCCAATGAAACGCTGGTCCTCCCGGCCTGAGAATACCCAGAGATGATGGTCGTCCAGGTGACGGAGTTCCTCTCCGGGAGCTGCTCGAACATCGACGCTGCCGCATCCATGAGCCCGGCCTTGGAGTAGTAGTTCACCAGAGCTGTGCCCACGTAAACATCCGAGCCGAACCCTGATTTCACGACGAAGCCATGGATTACCGGAGCGTGATCGTCGGGCAGTAGCTGCACGCACGCGCGGAGAACACTGCCGAGGATGAACTCCCGGGGGGCCTGTGACGAGACCCATCGGAAGGACGAGAAGAGAGTCAACGCCTCCGCCGGACGATTGTGCTGCGTGTACATGGATATCAAGGTCGACCATGAGACCAGATTTCTCTGGAGCATACCGTCGAACAGTGTCTGCGCGTCCTCAAGGCACCCGCACCTCGAGTAGCCGCCCAGCAGGAGGTTGCCCAGGAAAGTGTCGTGGCGGAGGCCAGATGCCACCACCTGCGCGTGGGCCTGCTGCAGGCTCGCCTGATTGGCCTCGCCGGAGACGAATAGCTGCAGAAGCGCCGTCAGGTCCTTCCTGGGGCGGTGAGGACGGGTGAGGGCGGCGGCCATCAAGGAGGCACCGCCAGTGGGACTGAGCCGTCTCTGAATGAGCATCTCGGAGGCGAGTTTCAGCGGAACCTCACCATCGCCGCCGTCTCCGGCGGTCCCCCGAGCTGCTCGTAGGAGCTAGAAGGTAGCCGGGTACCTCCAGCGCCTCCTCGCCACCGTACCTCCGCCGCCGGCAGCGGTGGAATATGTCGTTTGAGAGAGAAGGGAGGAGACTTGCTTCACCAATTTCGCGCCGCCAACCGCCCCCCCATTCCAATGGGCTTTGACGGATGGCCCATTCCCAGAGAAGCGAGTGGATGTATGAAAAGATGTCGAAGCCCATAAATGGGTAGAAGTCCGTCCATCATACGGTCCATCGTGCACGATGATCAGATCGGATGGTGAGATTCTCTGTACCTCCAGGAAACCGTTATATTTGGGCCTAACTGGGCCCAAATTATGGGCATGAGTCTACTGTGGATAGTGAGGCCCAAGCCCAGTGGCGGGCCGGGCTAACAATCGTCCCAGGTGAGAGGCCTCCCCCCATGAGAAAGAACCACGGATCAGGCAACCGTAAAACTCTAATCTCTTCATCCTCAGCGTCAGGGTGGGCAGAGAAAGGAGGCGAGAGGAGCAGGGTCTGTGGTCCACCTCTTCCATCTCCATACGCCATGCCTCTCCAGGTTGATCTTGCAAAAGCCTTGACCCACTTCCAAGGGGAGAAGATACACAGGGATCTCTCTCTCTCTCTCTCTCCTGCTCTTTTCGGCGGGGTGGTGAGGCATTAATTCGGGCTGGCGTGCTAGGTGAGATCCAGCTGGACAGAGTATTCGGTGATTGGTCACGTCTGCGGGTTGAATGACGTCGGAGTGACCAGGGTTTTCATGGAGCTACCATAAATTTCTCACACCACAAATTATAAACTGTAGTAAACCAACGAATCATTTCTCCATTTCGAGGGGGTGGAACCCGAAGAGGTTGATCAGCGTTGGGCATTGATTACCTCGGCAGGAGATCTTCACCAGGATTATTAGGCTAAGATTGATTATTAGGCATAGTATCAATGGGATTCTACCCCAGCCGTACTGGATCGCGCCATGATCGATGCAATGATAGCGTCAGCTTTAAGATCAGTGTGGGTGGGGGATGGAGGGAGACCGGGTGGCTCCTCTCTGGTTTGCTGCCATGAGAGGATTGCTAGATCTTCTGACTGATACTGCATTCACGGGAAAGCGAGAGAGCGAGAGAGAGAGAACCTAGCCTACACCGTGTGCCAGACGGAGCTAGAGAGGTGTCCCGATCAAGAGGAGAATAGGGTTTGAGAGAGGCGTCAATGAGAGAGGGGGCGAGGGGGGGGGGGGAGGGATGGAGAGAGAGGGAGACCCCCCCGCCCCGATCTGATGGAGATGGTCTGGAAAGAGAGCCCAACCATAGTATTATAGTTCATCGAATGAATATAGTGTAGTCAAAAGGGTTACGATATCGAGAACAGCGGGCCCGATACAAACTTTGGCATGGAGTCCATCGAAGACAATGATATTAATCGACGTATCTTCAATTATCGGAGGATGAGATTAATCTGGAAAGAGGTTAGAATACTGTACAGTCCCTCTGTATGAGTGCTTTCTGACCTGTGGCACCCTCTCCCCCTTCGCCCACGACAAAAAGGGAAGAGAAAGAGAGGGAGCATGCGAGGATGGTATTAATGGTGGGTGGGGGCCATGACTTTACACTGGGACACCGGCTCGGGCTGAGCCTGGAAGACGACGGTGGACAATGGGCGGTAATTCGATGAACACAATATGAGGAGCTACACTAACCTTGGTTCGCTCTAGGTATCCTTACTCCGAGCAATCTTCCCTCACCTTGAGACCCTCCGTCCTGATGCGACAGATTTTCCCTCTCTAAAAAGTTCCAACCACGTCACCACTTTGCCCTCCCTCTCTCTTCAGATCTACCCGCTGCTATATCTGTCTCTGGATCTATCTTACGTTAAAATCATCTGGATACGTCGAACAAACAATGATTCTACGTCTAAATCTCTCACTCTGGATGTATGCTTATCAAAATATCTCATTTATTTATCTCCGTCTTCCTGCCGACGTACATTTCTCTTCGCCTAATCCCTTCTCCCTACATCTAGTAATCTCTCTCTCTCCCTCTCTGGATTTATCTATTCACAGCTCCCTTACTCTGGTCCTACAAGCTTGTACGTGCCAATCTTTGTCCTCTCCTCGCTCTTACGCCTACACATCTTTATTCCTCACTCATTCCTTTTATATGCAACAACTTTTATATATATCTAGCTTTGTGTATATCAATGTAATTATGTAATTCTGTATCGATTCATCAATTTTTATATGTGCTTCTCTCTCTCTCTCTCTCTCTCTCTCTCTCTCTCTCTACCCCTCTCTCTCTGTCTCGCCGCTGATACCCACGTTAATAGGGGTCAGGTTATCACGTGTAGACGGTGCTGCCTGGCCCGCCGCGTATTCTGGAATGTCTCGGCGTTGGCGGGGCCGCCCGGCAGAGCTCACGGGCGGGCACCGGGAGAAGGATTCCTCCCTCTTTCGCCGGCCCATGGGAGACGTCCCTGCGGATCAGCATCACCTTCAAATACACCTCTAAATGGACGACGCGACGAAACATAATATCCTTTGAAGCGGACACCACAAGAACAACTCGTCTTTCATCCTTTCCGGATCAATATGCATCAGGCCAACCCGCCATGGAGAATCGTGCTTGGATCTATAGAGAGAGAGAGAGAGAGAGAGAGAGAGAGGTGGGTTGGCCTTGATGTCCGACCTTGAAAATTTTTTGGTTATGTTCTTGGCTTATTCCTACAAATCAACCATGATGGAACACATTTTTAACCGTATAAAATGTGCTAAATCAAGCACATTTTCAGCACAAAATTTATTAAATATATACACATATCTACCTTTTTCTTGATATTTGGCTGGAGAAGAGAGAATTTTTGCGTGCGTTTCACCTTAAAATGTATAATTTGAAATTCGATGATCCGGAGGGACAGTAAATGGGGGGTAGAGCTGAGACCTTGGCACTTTCTCTGTCCTGAACCATGGGTGTTATCTCAAGTGAGAGACGAATAGCCGGGTCACACAAACGACAGATCGAGCCTGTGTATTTCTTCTCTCTCTCTCTCTCTAGAATCACTCGAACCCCACCTCTCTTAATAAATCTCGTCTCTCTAGTTTTATCTCTCCAAGCGTCAGTCATACCACCTCTTGTAATCTATCTCTAGTCTCTTTCTCTGTGTTAATCTATTTTTGAAAACAAAACCAGTTAAGCAAGAGCACATACGTAGACCTTTAGCTTCGCTCTCTGCTGCGTCGAACGCTCTTATTCCAAGGAACTGTTCCCACAGACTCACATGCTCCCTCATCTCGCAACAAAACAGACACCAGGCCGCGGGGGTCCCCTCCCCCTTCACAGACCCATTTGTCCACCTCTCTTCTCTCTCCCCCCCTCTCTCTCTCTCTCCACCCTGTCATTCAATGCCCCTACACGGAATCCAAACGCTCTCACGGGTTGGCCGAACGCGGAAAAGCTCTCACTTTGGTCGCGAACTCGCCTGTCTTAAACACGCACGAAAGCTTCGTACGACCGCTTCAATCCTGCGCTCATAAATGATCGCTCTATGTGGGCAGATAAGATTACGGATTGGTGATCAGATCCACCGGTCTGCCGCACTTTCTGCGATAGAGTCGCCTTAGTAGACGTGGCTGGGAGTCAGAGAGAAGCGTCGGGGAGGGAGGTGGCGGGAGGAGTAAGGGAAGAGGAAGCATAAGTCCCTCTCCCCGCCCCCCGCCCCCCGCCCCCCTCTCTCTCTCTCCCTCCCTCCCTCTCCCTTTGTGGCTTCTGTCATTTTGCATGGAGTGAGGAGCACAGGAGACATGGAGAAGATGACCTGGATGGCATTTCCATTCTTCCAGTTCGCCGTGCTCGGCGTTATGGCGGCTACCGGAGGGCTGGTCTCGGCGCAGAGCTCGGCGACGTTCGCTTGCGATGTCTCCAAGAACTCCAGCGTGAACAGCTTCGTGTTCTGCGACAAATCGGCGGGGATAGAAGCGAGGGTGAAGGATTTAGTGGCGCGGCTGACGCTAGATGAGAAGGTAGGCTTCCTGGCGAGCAAGAACCCGGCGGTGGCCCGGCTGGGCATCCCCAGCTACGAGTGGTGGTCGGAGGCTCTCCACGGAGTCTCCTACGTCGGCCCCGGAACCCGCTTCTCCAGCCTCGTCCCCGGCGCCACCAGCTTTCCCCAGGTCATCCACAGCGCCGCCTCCTTCAATACAACCCTGTTCCACGCCATGGGGAAGGTGAGGTTCATATGAATACTGGTCTCGTTCGTCAAAATTTTCCTTTTCTCATCGGGAAACATCTCTGGATCTTAATCGGGTTTTAATGATTTTTCTTGTTCTGGGTCTGCATTTTAGAGATGGGTCTTCTCTTGACAGGTCCTCCTCCCGTACTGCATTTATTTTTGCGGTTCTAGTCTGGTATTGGTGGCCTGGCGCATTGAATCCTTCCTCTCGGGTTTCTCTCTTTCTCGTACACTAGAACTCATACTTTAATGGCGCGAGAGAGGATTCTAAGCTTGAAGGGCGGCTGTAGCTTCCTTGTGATGATGAACAAGTTGATGCTTTGACAGTGCAGAAAGCAGTCTGTTCCTCCAGTCGTCTCTTTTTTCTCTGACTGTAGATCTCACGAATAGAGAAAATCCTGCAAATTCCCGCGGAGCAGAATTAGAAGACAAGTATTAAATAAAAGCTCGAAAACAATACTCACTGTGCATCAACCCAAGTGTTGTGCCAGATGCCTCTCTCTCTCTCTCGGACTAATCTCTCGCATTCGTGGTTCGCAAATAGTCTGCACTGATTCCTCAGCACTAACTATGGAATTGCGATTTGATCATGCACTTCTCAACAGTGCTTCTCTGTCCTGGCAGGTGGTCTCCACCGAAGCGAGGGCGATGTACAACGCCGGTCTCGCCGGGCTGACCTTCTGGAGCCCTAACGTGAACATATTCAGAGACCCGCGGTGGGGGAGGGGCCAGGAGACCCCCGGTGAGGACCCCCTGCTCGCCAGCAAGTACGCCGTTGCCTACGTCCGCGGCCTGCAGGACGCCGACAAGCCGGAAATGCTCAAGGTGGCCGCCTGCTGCAAGCACTACACCGCCTACGACGTCGACAACTGGAAGGGAACACAGAGATACACGTTCAACGCGCAGGTGAGGGGGCAATCCCGGGGGAGGCCGGAGGAGCTCGTCTTCTCCGGCGCCGGCGAAGAAGACGCTCGCTCACGGAGTTCTCCTCCTGCGCAGGTGACGAAGCAGGACATGGACGACACCTACCAGGTGCCTTTCAAGAGCTGTGTCGTTGACGGGAACGTCGCCAGCGTCATGTGTTCGTACAATAAGGTCAACGGGGTGCCTACCTGCGCTGACCCAGCGCTCCTCACCGGCACCGTCCGCGGCGACTGGAAGCTGAACGGGTCTGTTCCCTGACACTACGTCTTCATTTCGTTGCCAGGGGGCTGTGGCAAGACAGAACTACCCAAAATTAGTAGTCTAAATTTGATAAGTACCCCTAGTTTGAAGTTGACCATGCAAAATAGGACTATAAGTTATTGTTTTGTAGATAAATCATTTTTAAATGGATGATTTTTTGTTTAACTTTGAGATGACTGCTGGCTGACCACTACATTTTGGTCCAGTGGACCTAAATGGGCTATTTTGCCTTCATCTCTTTTGGAAAAATGGGCTCTTTCGCCTCCAAAATGGGCCAATATCAGGACCACTTTTAGGTCAATGGGCTGAAACGGGCTTTCTTACCGCCACCAGATAAGCCTTAATGGGCTTGAATGGGCTCCCTGGTCCTCACCACTTTTAGCCTGAATTTACGGGACACTGCCATGCAGCTACATCGTCTCGGACTGCGACTCCGTGGACGTAATCTTCAACGCCCAGCACTTCACCAAGTCGCCGGAGGAGGCCGCCGCCAAGTCCATTCTCGCCGGTGAGTAGTAGAGCGAAGCGCCGCCGGCCGCCGGTACACACACAGAGAGCTTTCTCTTCCGAGACGATTGATCGATCTCGTTTACTCTTCCACTGGCTTCAGGTCTCGACCTCAACTGCGGATACTTCCTCGGCCAGCACACCAAGGCCGCCGTCGCCGGCGGCCTGCTAAACGAGTCCGACGTCGATCGCGCCATCGCCAACAACTTCGCCACCCTCATACGGCTCGGCTTCTACGACGGGGACCCCCGAGGCGGCCCCTACGGTGCCCTCAGCACGAAGGACGTCTGCACGGCGGAGAACCAGGAGCTGGCCCGAGACGCCGCCCGGCAGGGCGTCGTCCTCCTCAAGAACGGCAACTCCTCGCTACCGCTCTCTCCCTCCTCCGTCAGGTCCCTCGCCGTCATCGGCCCCAACGCCAACGCCACCAAGACGATGCTCGGCAACTACGAAGGGGCACCATGCCGGTACGTGACGCCTCTTCAGGGCCTGGCGGCATACGCGCCGGTTGTCTACCAGCCTGGGTGCCTCGGCGTAGCCTGCGCGGGGGGCAACCTGCAGCTGGAGCCTGCGAAGCAGGCGGCGGGGCAGGCGGACGCCACCGTCTTGGTGGTGGGGACCGATCAGTCTATCGAGAGAGAGAGTCTCGACCGGATCAGCCTGACCCTTCCCGGTCAGCAGGAGGTCCTCATCACCGAGGTGGCCAAGGCGGCCAAGGGTCCAGTCGTCCTCGTCATCATGTCCGGCGGCCCCTTCGACATCACGTTCGCCAAGAACAACGAGAAGATATCCAGCATCATCTGGGTCGGCTTCCCCGGCGAGAAGGGCGGCACCGCCATTGCAGACGTCGTCTTCGGCAGCTACAATCCCAGTGAGTGAAGCCCCCTCCTATTGATTACTCCGCCTTCAAATCAATTGTTTCTTTCTGAAAATTGGATAAAAACTGAAGAGAATGTCCGTCCCCGTCTTTCCAGGTGGGAGGCTGCCGGTGACCTGGTATCCGGAATCGTTCGCCGACAGCGTCCCGATGACGGACATGAACATGAGGCCGAATCCGGCCACCAGCTACCCCGGCAGGACCTACAGATTCTACACCGGCGACGTCGTCTATTCCTTCGGCGACGGCCTGAGCTACTCCGAGTTCCAGCACCATCTCGTGGAGGCGCCGAAGCTGGTGGCGGTCCCCCTCGAGTCCGGCCACGCCTGCCTCTCCCGCCGGTGCAAGTCCGTCCAGCTTCTCGACGGCCACTGCGAGGGGCTCGCCTTCGACGTGCGCCTGCTAGTGCGAAACGCCGGCGGCCGCGCCGGCGGCCACACCGTGTTCCTCTTCACCACGCCGCCGACGGTGCACGGGGCGCCCAGGAGGCAGCTGGTGGCGTTCGAGAAGGTCTTCCTCCGAGCTGCGGAGGAGGGCGCGGTTGCTTTCAAGGTGGACGTCTGCAGGGATTTGAGCGTCGTCGACGAGATGGGCACGAGGAAGGTGGCTCTGGGGGCGCACGTGCTGCAAGTGGGGACACTGAAGCACTCCCTGAGTCTCAGGATATGAAAGTTATGAGAGAGAAAAGTACGAGGGGAGAGAGAGAGAGAGAGAGAGAGAGAGAGAGAGGGTAGAAGGGGAATAAGAGCATCCGCAGGACGAATTGGGGTCCATGGAAGCACGATAGGCAAATCGCCCATGTTGAACTGGTTCAGATTATTCAGGGAAATTATAACCAGAAAAATTTGATGTCAATTATTACGTCGTGCAATAAGCGTAGTCGTCGACAAATTAGTCAACGTCTAAATCTTCGAAAGCCCAACAAAGTCCTTATCCAATGTCCTCCACCGGCAGACGTAAGAGAGAGAGAGAGAGAGACAGAGAGACAGAGAGAGAAGAGAGAATCATCTTATTTATAATTAATTATATGGAGTAAATGAGACAACTCGCCGTAGGGACAAAACGGATGGGATGGGGCAGCGGAAAACGTGACGCGGCGGCTCAGGGTGGATTATCCCTGGGCATTTCCAACAAGGCCGTCTTCTTCAGGAAGGTCTCCATCCCCACTAAGGCCTGCCAACGACAGCATAGAAATCAGAGGTTCAGGGACGCCGAGAGCGAGAGAGAGAGAGAGAGAGAGAGAGAGAGAGAGAGAGAGAGAGAGAGAGAGACCTCTGTTGCGATGGCTGTGGGTGTGATGGCAGAGACATCTCCAAGGCCCTGCTTGGTCGCAAGATCTGCACACGCGGGTGGATCACATGAACAAAGGGGTGTTAATGGGTACGATAAACCTGGAGGTCTTTCGGGCCTCAAAATCAAAGGGCGAAAGAGAAAAATGATATTCGCAGGATTCCAAGTGCATGAATGATGAAGTGGGAGGCAGGAACTTACACTCAAGGCAAACTCGTACGTCAGCATTGGCGTAGACCTCTCCCCTCTCTCGAGACAGATTGCGCAGCCGCACAAGAGCCTACACGGTGAGAATGAATGAATTCCCAGTATGGGACTGATCTAGCCGGATTAACCCATGGGCTGACGTGAGGTCACATCAAAATAGTCAACGATTTAATAGGAAGTCAACGCGCAAGAAGGAGAAGGAGGTCGAGTGGATACCTTATCGTAAGGATCACCAGACTCGTGATGCAACAGCGGGCGAGAGTCGGTTCCCACTGCGGCGATCCTCCTCGCGAGAGCCTCCAAGGGAACATCCAACCACACCGTAATCCCCTTCTTCATGTAATTCCTGGAGTTATTTCGGGCAGAAGGCATGAGCGACTCAGGGCGGTATGAAATGTAGGGGGAGGAGGATGGCAGATCCAGGCTATGAGTACCAGTTGAGGGGGCGGATCACGGCGCCTCCCCCAGTTGCGACAACCAGCCGATGCATCGAGGACAGGCTGTGCAGAACCTCGCTCTGCAAGAAGGAAAATTAGTTGAACGAGTTTCCTTGAAGAAAAGATGATAACCACGAAATCAAGGATCTAAGGGTGGCTTTATGAATCGCAGAAGATATGGTTGGTTTTGATCGACTGCATCAGTTTCCCCTCAGGGTTCTTCCTACAGAGGATACCCGTTTAATCCTCAGAACTAGGAAGATCATGAGCTAGCGAATCGGACTGCTGTGGTGGCGGGTGATTGCAGGGAGGAAATCTGGAAAGATGGGACAATTGAGAGGCCAATGACCCATGCAGTAGAGATCCCGTGAGGAAGTAACTAGCGGGGAACTATAACGGATGGGTGGGTGAGAGAGAATCTTCCTGGCGACTGAAGTAGAGCGAGAACCGGTACCTCGTTATCCCTGAAGAAGGACTCGCTGTATTGCTTGAAAATCTGAGCCACAGAAGTTCCGCCAACCGCCTGCTCCACGAGTTTGTCACTGCAGGATTGGGGGAAAGGGTGTCTCAGTCTAGAATGAGCTGCGAAAACCAGAAGAAATGACATGCGGTTCGTTCTCAAAACCTGTCAAAAAAGGAATATCCTAATGCTTCGGATAAAATCTTCCCCACCGTTGACTTCCCGGAGCCCATCATCCCTGCAGTTTCCATGAGTTTAGCGGTTAAGATCTGAGCCATGATCTGTCCCTCGTAGCTGCAGAAAACAGGGATGGAAAGGAAGAAACGGACCAATGAGATAAATACACCGCTCATTCAGGCGTGGAGTAAGATCTTCTGCCTTCTTCTGCAGTCATGTTGACATTTGTTAAAGTCAAAGAACAAGGCCTTCACAACTAACATTCCGAGGATCAGAAATACGATATCAGGTTTCCAGATTAGGCTCTTCTCCATGTCATCGCACACCATAGAAGCACTGTATCAGGTTGTTAAGAAAAGAGCAAGATACAGAAGTGGAATTTTTTGCCACAGGGAGTCGTCCGCACCTTTAGGAGAACAGCTTCATCTGCCAATGCATGAATGGTCTCGGAATTGACTGCTGATACTGAAGCACCGGATGAAAATAAGTCAGCGAGAGCCCAGAAAGTCAATGAACAAAAAGGTCACAGTCACAATTAGAAACCCATATTATACGCAAGGAATAAGAAGCTACTAGTGTCATTAAGCCAAGATAAATCCCAGCGAAGAAGATGTTATGATACGAAACAAACATAGACAAATGATTTTCATCCAGAAATACTGTGGGAAAAATGAAATACGGTCAAAGAAACATGATATGGATAATCGTTTCAACAGGTTGATCATCAAGAAATGCACAATCCTCAAACCAGGCTTCATTACCATCTCCCCTGTGCTGCAAGTTGCAGTTCTTCTTTCACATCCAAAACATATTATCAACAGGCAATTATCTAAGTGAAGCCCGTTGTAATTTGCCTTCCAAATGATAAATGGTGTGCGCACTTTTCCTTCTTAGAAGGGTAATTTTAATGTGATCGAGGCAAACCATTCGGTTCCCAGCAGTTTCAATTGGCACAATCAAGTAGTTAAATGTTCTAGCACAAGAATGCCAAGTTTTTGTAGTCAGAGGAAATGAATGATAGTATTTTTGACGAACTGAAGATTATGGAACTTGGTTTTCGAGCTGAATAATTAAAGACTTGTCGACAAATTTGCATGTTTAATGTGAGAAAAGAGCGCTGTTGCAAGAATAGAGGAGAAATCCAAGCAAATAAATTAATTAATATAGAAAATCTGGTACCAGAAGCATGAATATAATTAACAGAATGAAAAAAAAATTAACAGAGAGAATGCCATACACCAAAGCAGCAGATTAATCGAATCATCAGTCACCCTATAATCTTTGATAACTATTAGAAAAGCAAAAGCTGCATACTCGAGAGACAGAAAATTGGCTTCAAAGCCAACGTCACAGAAGGATGAAGGGAGAGAAATATTACGATTGGACAGACTAATTCCAACTGTCGTAAAAGTAAAATAATACCATACATTTTCTGAAGATAGAATTACATATACCAAAACAATTGATCTGTGGAACCATATAAATCATCAACTGAAAAAGCTCCAGGTAAGATTGGTTTAAATTTTCATGAAATTAATTCGAAACCAAAATACCATATTAACTAGGATAATCTGGGTTTCGACTCTGTAAGTCGTCAAAAATTGAAATAAGTTAAGATGAAATGCTTCACAATATATATCACGGCTCTGGTCCAATTAGAAGCTGATATAGCGTAAAACCGCAAAGCTCTCTTACCTCCAGATTTCTTGTACAGAGAGGAGAGTCTCGTATCGGAGCGCCCATTTCGACTCACCAAGCGGGTACGCCTTGAATGGGTGAGGCTGAGCCTTTCGACATTCGACGTGTCCTCCGCGGCCGGCCATCTCTGAGGAAGCTGCAAGGTGCTGGTGCTGTGGTCCGGAAGTCCACCCACGATCCCACTCCTCTCACCGGGAATCAGAGAACATAGCTGTAATCTCAGACCAGCGGTACCCGCCTCCATCGGAACTCTATATCCACATAACCCCCCTCCCTCTGGCCAGTACTAGAGAAACCGAATCATCTGCCGTCGCCCCCCCAAAGCGCAGGAAGTGGGACTGTGGACTTCCGGGATCGGCGAAGTTCCTGCACAGGTTTACCAGTCGATTCCGATCGTTTCCATCCACTATACGGCGGATCAGCAGACAGATGCTGAAATGACCGAAAAAGCTGAAGGGGGTCTAGTGAGGCGCAAACTGGGGCGGTTCGCGAGGCAGCAAGCTGCGGATCGGGGGGAAGGGAGCGAGGTGGGTCGGGCTCACCGGGGAAAGGTAAGGTGGGAATAATTCCAATGGCAACCTGCCGCAGAGGCCGAAGAGTTGGTGGCGCCGCACGCTGGATAAGGAGGGCCGGTAGAGGCCAGACGGTAGTGGTCACGTGATTTTGAATCTGACCACCCACCCCCCACGTGTCGTGTGCGACGTCTTAGAAGCACCACGTTATTTAAACAACCTCCTTGACTTTTCAAGAAATCATGCCTTGGATCCGCCGCAGACCGGACGGGTTCATTCCCTTTCCGGAAGCCCTTTCTGGAATGTAAAAGGATCGGCTGCGGAAAATGCATTGCGGATTCTGCTTCGTTGCAACAAGATTAACAAGCCCGCGAATGAAAGATCTCATTCTCAATAGTCATTCTCACTCTAAGATTGGAATGGAATCCGGTCGAGGGCTGGTGGGGGCGCCGCGTGGGACATTCTAGTGCGCCCCCCCATATGCGCTCCGCCAATCGATTGTGAGGGTGCTTATGTAATTTAAGTCCTCGAGTTAGGTGTGCGTGGGGAGGGCGGAGGAGGTTCCACGCGCTTGCCAAGGACGACCCTCCACATCAGCACCACGGCATCTTGGTAGGTGAGAGAGGAGAGCCGATGGGTCGGGTTGACCTTCTAAGCCAATAAAAATGCGCCACGAAAGGACCCTTTACTGGTCGCAACAGCACACGGTGAGAGAGGGTCCGAAAACTCATCCCCACGCACAAAATGTGCCGCCGACCAGCGAGCGTGGCCAGGCCTTAAGAGGACAAGCTGGCCGCATCTGTGCTTTAAATATTTAATATTTACCCCCTTATAACTCCCACAATTGTTGATGCGGACCTTATCCTCTTGTGTATGTGGGTGGGGATGGCGGAGGCGGGTCACGTCTTTGAATGTTTAGTGCCCTGACCCGGATCAAAATGGTCCAACGTTTACAGAATCCACTCTACCGATTAACTGGCATCAGTGCGTGCCCCTAGTGGAAAGTTCAAACCCACGAGGAACTCATCTCCATTGTAGGTTTTCAAGGTGACGATGTTTAGAATAGAAGTTGACAAGGGCTTCTCAATAAATGAGAGTCCACAAGATGTGCTCAACTGGAGTCTTTTTTCCTCTGATAAAAAGTTATTTGTTTAGTTGTCATAAAATGATGAATCCTTACATACAACCCCAAAGCTTTGAGGCATGACATGGATGATAAATAAGGAATGTGTGGATTAAATTTTATAAATAATTTCAGGATGCTAGAGGGGTCAGAGGTGATCGTTTGGAACTAATAAGCCATTACAGAGGTTGAATTGATGGGGAAATCATATTCAAAAACCTCCCCTATTTTCTGCTATCTCCCAACATTCAAAACCTAAGATTTATAAGAAATTTGGAGAACTGAAAACCAATCTGACAGGACATTTAAGGGTTTGAATATTCTCAATTAAAAATCAATACACATGACAATTCAATATTGATATCTTATTTCTTTAAGTCAATCCCATGAGGTTCTATTTTTGTTGAAAACATAATGTATAATACATCTCAAAATAAAATAATATCTGATAATGCTTTATTTTTAGGTAATAATTTAGTTGAAATAAAACATTTGATACATGAATTAACATAAAATATGAATTATTTAAGTTAAAAAAGATTACTACTCGTTTGAGAGTAATGTGATGAACTTATATCTAATTTACTAAAATTTTATGATTTATGTGAAACGAATCTATAATTTTGATTTTAAATTCATGAAAAAGATTCAAGGTCTATATTCTTGAAAATTATTTTACAACTCACAGAAAATAGCTCATGAAGTAAGAACTAGAAAAATAGATTTATCTTGTATTTTTTATTAGAAAATTACGCAAGACATTTTCTCAGCCATTTCTTTTAGTAATTTAGATATTATGAAAATAATGGGAAAAAATGCAGCGAATCATGGACACATCACCAAGAGGATGGGTCAAGGGTTTAAAGAGCAATTCAGCATTTCTTGGCCATGTCAACAGCTATGCCACATCATTCATGTACGCATCATTTTCCATGCTCTGCATCTGGCTTGTAAAATAGACAGGGATAATTTCGTATTTCAGATGGTTGTTGACTTATGATTTATATGAAATTTGGAAGGAAGTTCAAGAGAAAAGCTAGAAACTTTTTGGATGATAAAAATGGGAAGATTGGCGGAATTGGGAAGCTTTTTGAGCCGAATTCTCTCTAGGTGATAGGTGGAGATGAGAGAAACGATGTTGGGCACTTGCGAATTCGATTGATCTTTTAATTGCTGTTTATTTTCACTCCTGAATTCGTCATCTGGGTGACAGGCAGAAGATGAGATTAAGGCTTTAGTCTCATTTTTTTGCCACTTTTTATATGATTTCTGAATTTTCGATACTCTATTTTTAGGTGACAGATGGGTGGAGCGATAGATAGATGGTGAATACAAATTATGGTTTTCATTCGATTTTCATTTGGTTTTACGTTTTTTTAGCTCACTTCATCTGGGTGACAAGCAGAAGACAAGATTGAAAATTTTAATTCACATTCTTATCACTTTTTATTTCCTTTTCCTATCGGCTTTCCATCATGGTGGTAATATGTTACAAGGTGAGACGCAGGGATGAGCTTGTCAACTTATTTCATTTTTTTAAGTCCTTATTACTGCCATGTCAATATTTCTAGTAAAAATAGACTTTTTTACGATCATCTTAATATATTTGTTTAGAATTTTTACTTAGTGTTTAACATCATAGGAAGAAAAACCCTGTGGTGGTGTATATTTTCTCTCTTCCCCTATTTTTCTCGATTTTAGATATATTTTCCATTACTTGATTTTATTTTATTTTTCTGATTTTCTCTGCCATTTTCTTTAGAATATTTTGCAGGTTTTGAGTTAATTATTAAATATGAATGTGAGTAAACATCAAAATTCAAGGATTTATAGCTCAAGTAATTTGAAAGATTTAAATCTTGGAAAATATTTATTCTTTATTTTTATTTCAATAGATTCTTTAGAATGAAAGAAATTTTATTGAAATTGACCATCATCCTTGAGGACGAACTGAATTCACCAAAATTTAATTTTCATTCTTACTTTGTTCAGTTCATAAATATTTAAAATTTGATCATTTTGTTAACAACAACTAAAGTGATATCAATCTCAATGTGTAAATTCATAACTTTCGTGATAAAAAATATTTAAAATTATTTCATAAATGATATTTTTTAATATCTATAAAAATAGAAGGTACAATAAAAGAGGTTTAAATTCAATTAATTAATTTTATATCAACAATATTTGATAGTACGATTTAGCACTATGAACATCTAGTAGATTTCATACTTGGGTTTTAATTAAAAAAATGATTAAATCAAATGTGCTAATCATTACTTTCTCACAATGGTCATTTCTATAATGATGGATAGTTTTCATAATATAATATATAATGATAATTTTGATGAATAAAATACATTAAATTCTAGAATTCAACATTATGATTTATGAGTATGATTCTTTGGATTCCTATACTAATATATTTGTTTTAGTGTAGGTCTAGAGTGCAGTATTTTCAGATGATACTTCTACAACTTTTGGCATGATGTGGCACATCTAAACGAAATCAAGCTATTAAAGCTAGATTTTTGTGTTTTAATTAGTTATATTATATTATATTATATTTTTAACTTTCAAAATAAATATAAGATTATATTGTTAATTTTAAGTCTAAAGTTAAAATACTAAACATAATTTTTGATTATTTTAAAAAATAATAGATAAACAAATATCACTACTTACTAGTAAGTCGACACTTGGGTAGTTGACTTAGAAGAGTGCTGTAGTCGATTGAGTAGACATAGACAAGGGGAGCCATGAGTTGGGCTTGAGTGGTAAAGGACTCACTCTATGCATGTGTGCATCACCCCCTTGTCATGTCTTATTGGCCAATTGATCATGGAGCAATGAGTGTCATACACATGTGCACATAAAAGGGTGGATGATAAGTCTTTATTATCATGAGTTAATAATGAATAAATAATATATTTTTTGTCTTAAATCTTAATAAATATACTTATATTTATGTTAAATTATGAAAAGTGGTTTTCAATTGATTAAAGTAAATTTTTAGTTAATTATGTAATTTTTTATGAATTTATATAATTTTTATATTCCTATTTTTGAGATAAATAAAGAAAAATAAATGAAAATAAAAATATAACAAAAGGAGGGGACTCGCCAGCCAATCGGACTTGTAAGCACATCGGAAGTGTAGTTAGGGGAAGTTGCGAGTAGGGGGCTCTAGCAGCTAGAACCAATGGGGGCACGTGTGCGCCACTCTCTTTTTATGTCAACAGTTATGGGGCAAAGAGTGGTTATACACACAGGAGAAAGGGACTCATTGCTTGCAAATATGAGATTACTATATATTCGCCCAAAACTTCGGCGCACAAGTGATGTGAGACTAAATTTGTGTCACACCTTCTCCTGAAAGGCTCCGAAGATTTTAATACTTAAACTACCCCTTAGTTATAACAAAGATATACCATGATGACGTTACTTGATAAGGACATTTAAGTACTTATTTTAATCTCTCTCATACAGGTAGGCAACTAACGGGAGTTCAAATCCTCTTAAAGTCAAAACTTATATTTTTTTTTATTTATCGCGACTTTCTTGCAGATCGCTGGTGAAAGATTAAGTCGCCAAAATTACTAGATCATC